GGAGCTTAAGGCTCTCAGAGAATATCTCAGCAAGGCACTATAGAATGGGTGGATAAGGCCCTCCACGAGCCCTGCAGGCGCACCCGTTCTGTTCGTGCTAAAGAAGAATAGCGAGCTACACCTGTGCGTAGACTACAGAGGCCTTAATAAGGTTACTATTAAGAATAGATACCCCCTACCACTCATTCTAGAGATCCTGGACTAACTAAGTGGTATAAAGATTTTTATAAAGTTAGATTTTAAGAATATATATTACAGAATATATATTAAGGAAGGCCATGAGTGGAAGACAGCATTTCGCACGCGCTACGGCCACTATAAGTACCTAGTAATACTATTTAGCTTAGTTAACACACCCGCAACATTCCAGGCGTATATTAATAAGGTGTTAGGGAACTACATCAATACCATATGTATTATGTACCTTAACGATATCCTCATCTACTTAGAGGACTGGGAATCCCACGTGTAGGACGTGTGTGTAATACTTACGCAGCTGCAAGTACATGACCTATACTGCAACCTTAAAAAGTATAAGTTCTTTACTAATGAGGTTAAGTTTCTCAGCTTTGTGGTCAGGATAGATAGTATGCGCATGGATAGAGTAAGAGTAGTAATCATTAAGGAATAGCCTACACCAACGACCCTAAAGGAAGCATAAATATTCCTTAGGTTTTGCAACTTCTATAGACGATTCATTAAAGATTACGTAAAGATTATAAGGGGCTTAACCAACCTTATAAAGGGAATAAAAAATAGTAAGCTGACAAAACTATTTAAGTAGACTAAAAGTATAGAGTAATTATTTTAGATACTATAAGACGCGTTTATGACAGCACCAGTTATCAGATATTTTGATCTAGAACTACCAATTAAGGTAGAGATAGATATGTCGCAATTCATGATAGCAGAGATATTATCCCAGTATAATAGAGAGGGCTAATAGCGCCTAGTGGCATTCTATTTATGTAAGATAAAAGATACCAAAATAAGGTATAAGATATATAATTAAGAGTTATTTATAATTATAGAGTATTTTAAGTAGTGGAAGCACTATCTGGAGGGAAGTACTACTCTAATTAAAGTTTATACAGACTATAGAAATCTAACTAGACTTATAAGGGTTATATAGCTTAATAGTAGGTAAGCCAGATAGGCTATACTATTAGTGGGGTACGACTTTATCCTTCACCACCATACGGGTCTATCTAATCCCGCAGATGCGCCCTCAAGACGCCTAGACTATATAATAGAAAAAAGACTGTTAGACAACCTGCTTCCAATACTATACTAAAAGTTGGTGGTATTACTAGAAAGTGCTGTGTGTGCAACCCTGGTGCTTAAAAACAGATTAAAAGTAATTAGGCATACAGGGTAATAGCTAGGGACTAGTCCAGAGTGCAGGGAGGCGAGCCCTTATAGTAATACTATAACTGCGGCCTTATACAGTCTTCGCATATCTTAGATATAGGAAGAGTACGGGTATCATGGGCAGCGAACAGCGGGATAAGTAGGGAAAAGCACCTACCTATATTATATTATTATGAGAGCCATGGAAGATAAAGCAGCCTATATGGAAAAGGAGATCCCTAATATTTTACAAGAACTATAAGCTTAATACGAAATTACCAAAAGTAAATATAACATATTAGAAGAGTGAGTTAGGAAGAGGGCAGGTAATTAGTTAGTGAACCATTAGGATATCCTATTATTCTAGGGTTGAGCCTATATACCGGACGACCCAGCAGTGAAGTTTGAGCTTATAAGAAGGTACTATAATAACCCTTATGCAGGATACTTTAGAGCAACCAAAATAATTAAACTCTTAAGTAAAAAGTACCACTAGCTATCAATGCGCCAGGACGTGTAAGAATATATGCGGATATATAACATATACCAGTAGGTGAAGATGAAGAGATACCACCTATATAGCAAATTATAGGCGCTACCTATACTGGAATATCTATAGATAGAGATCACTATAGATTTTATGAGTGGCATCCCGCTATCTAAACACAACAGTAGTATATATAATACTATCTTAGTAATTATTAACAGATATATAAAAATAGCACTCTATACCCTAACTATAAAAGATTATATAGCCATAAATATTACTAATATACTGCTTAATAGGGTTATAAGAAGCTTTAGCTTACCTAAAGGCATTATCTCAGACTGAGACCTAAAATTTATGAGTAAATTCTGGTCAGAACTGTGCTATACATTATATATATATAGATATATAGGAACCGCATTCCATCCGCAAACTGACGGACAGATAGAATATTAAAATTAAATAATTTAGGAATACCTGCGCGCATACTGCGGAGAGCACCTGAAAACATAGGTAAAACTACTGCTAATTACTGAATTTATATATAATAATAGTGTCAATATATTAATAGGTACAACCCCATTCTTTATACTATATAGATTTTATCTAGAGGTTTATTATGACATCAAGAATTAAAATGTAGTACTAGATGTGCAAGAATAAGTGAAGTAACTCTATAATATCTGCAAGAAGCTAGAAGAATATCTAGCTAATGTAAGCTAAGAGCAAGCAAAATACTATAACCATAGGTATAAACTGATGACATTTAAAATAAACAACCTAGTCCTACTATTAATAAAATATTTATATCTGAGGTATATAAGTAGGAAACTTATACTATATTTTGTTGGGCTATTCCGAGTCCTTAAATCAGTTAGTATATAAGTATATTAACTGTAGCTACTAGTATTATAGAAAGTCTGGAATATATTTTATATCTCTCTACTGGAAAAGTACTATTAGTATGTAGGCGGTGATAACACAGTAGATTACCTACTACTCCCAGAAATTATTGATGATAAGGAAGAATGGGAGATAGAAGAAATCCTTGATAAGAAGAAGTGTAAGGATAGTGTATAGTACCTGGTTAAGTGGAAGGGTTACCCTGCAGAATATAACTAGTGGTTGTTAAGAGAAAACTTAGATAATATGTGGGAGAAGTGTAATAAATTTGATAACTGGTTAAAAAGAAGATGCATATAGAATATAAGAGATAAATAATATATACTATATATTAAAAGAAATTATGCTAAATATATTATATAAATTAAAGATATAAGGATTATATCCTTAATTAGAATAATTGGAAGAAAGCTCCATGATAGAGCTCTTATGATAATAAAGGGTAAACCTACCCTGGCTTGATAAAGGCGCTGTAGGCAGAGGTAAAGTGGTGGTATGACGCTACTGATAAGAAGAGACCACAGGGTTGAGAGAGGAATTGGGCCTAAAGGCCTGGCGACTATAGTAGCGGGAGGAGAAGATAAGTTCGGGCGGAATTTAGGGGATACCCCCTAAACAACCTAGTAGTGTACTAGCCTAAATAAATTAGTAGAGCTAATATGCTAGCAGAAAACTATATCTATAGGCAAAGATAGAATCCCAGCTAGGGTATTTATATCCTGAACTAGTTATTATATTTAGCCCAGTAAGTTGCGAAATATTACCTCCAGGGTTAGGCGGTGGTAACCGCCCAAACAGTTGTTGTGGGTAATGAACACCTTAACTGCAGTTTTATAGCATATAAATATATATATATACTCTACCTGGTCAACCCAGACTATTGATATAATACCTGCCTTATAATCTTTAAGAGCTCTTATAAGCTTAATAAGACGGGCTAGGTAGCGGCTAAATTATAGTAGGACCTATTTATAGTGAGATAAAGTAATAGAAATATAATTATAATTGCAGAACTCGAACCTCTTCATATTTATAGTACTAGTATAAGTATTTAGTATACTTCTAAAATATAGGTATATTATATTTAAGAATAAGGTTAACATCCTTACTGCATCAGAGGCAGATAAAAACGTCCACCTCCACCTTGTTCCCTCCCTCTGGTTAAGGTAGGATTTTACCCCTACCTTAAGGAAATAATAACCCTATTACCTTAAAAGTAACCTAGTGATGGTGACTGGGAGGCTCCAGTACTGAGACACTGTTGCCGTGATACCGACGCCTGGAACTTATCTTACTATACTGGGATGCTGATAGTAGTGGTACAGGGGTTAGGGAATAAGGAGATAGGGAGCGAGGGCAGGGAGCATGCCCACGCCCAGAACTTGCCTTACCGCGCTAAGGAGTTAATAATGGCGGTATAGGTATTGGTGAAGGAGAAGTTGGGGAATAAGATAAGGAATGCCTATAACCCGCACCGGAGGAGTGAGGCGTTGATAAACTCTGTCTTACCCCCGATAAATGAACGGCTAACTACTGTAAAGATGCCATTTTTTTTTATATATATATGTATGTGTGTGTGTGTGTGTGTATGTGTGTATATATATATATGTATATATATGTGTATATATATGTGTATATATAAATAGTGGAAGAATAAACTTTAGAATATAAAAGAATTTATATCTTTACTAAATATCAGAATTATAATATTGTTACTATGTAATGGCGATAAATATAATAATATATATAGCATAATACTAAGATATAATAATAATAATAAATAGTGGAAGTGACAGATAAAATACACTCAATATAATACTATACTAATAGTGGAATATAATTTTAGCAAGTCTGGGGACCAGACTATGGAAGGGGGGGAAGAGTTATGAGGAATAGAGTAGGAATATATGCACAGTACGGCTGCGCTCAGGCCGCGGGTTATGTGCTCTAGGGGGAAGCAGTATTTAAGCTATGCACAGTGTCCACCTTAGTTTGACTCCTTAGTCGTCAGTTTTGATACCAATCCATACTTATTGCTCCCCATCCTGATATCACGCTTACATTCACCCCTTACACAGTAAGTAGCATACGCAGATATATAATAAAGGCGTATTAGTTCTAAGTATACTAATTAGAGTTATAGGAAGTGATTATTACAATAATAGAATAAGTAGAATAAGCACTTATTTATATTTTCTATAAAAGAACTCTGGTTTTCCTCATTCTTTGAAAACTGTAATTAACTAATTTGTTTAGTTTATTAATTTCTAAATCTATTTCTATCCATTAAAGTGTATCTACCCTAGGTTATAAAGACTCCTATAGTATATTTATCCTCGTCTAATATATTCTAGAAGTCCCTCCATTTCTCTAGGAAGCTCATCTGTAAGAGGACCCTTACATCAGGCACGGAGGCCAGGAAGCCGGGGCACAATGCTGGCGCTAGTGCGGCGCCACCCTATAATATATATATATATATATATATACATCATAGCTAGAGGATACTTCGATCCTTAGCGGTTACTATTATCACATAACAGATCCTTTGCTGCTCCTCCTATGCCCCATTATCTTGCCTCCATTCCCTTTACACTACTTAAGAAAGGTCTTGACAGAATAGGCAAAGATTCCTAACAGACCATTCCTTATTATGGCAGAGGCTAAACATTATTTCTGACACATTAAGAGCATATCCAGCTGAAATGCCGAGCGTATAAACCGAGCCTGTGACTTTTATGACCAGAGTTTATGTGAGGACATGAACATACATACCAGGAACGTGTACCCTGTGTACCATATGACCCCAGGTTAAGGGGTATATATTCTACGCATAGCCTCTAGCATAGTCTGATCCCTTAGTTGTCAGTCTTGATATAATCCAGAACCGCTGTTCACCATCTTGCTATCACGCTTACGCGCACTCCCTTACAAATTACCACGTGAAGCGGGTTAATCCTCGTCACGCAGACATATGTAACACAACATCGTTTTGATGATAGATCATTTCTTCTTTGGAGGTAAACTCTCAAAAAGCGCCCTTAGTTTGTCATCCACATCGTGCCCCTCTTTCATCTTTTCTATGAACTCTGTGACTTCCTTACTTCTCGTGAGTGTTTTAAGCAGTGCAGCGTCCGCCTCTGCTGATGCTTTCTTCAGTAGTTCTACGAGCAAGTCTTCTGTCTCCTTGCTGTATACATGGCCCTGCTCCAGTGGCTTCTCCGGCAGTTGACCAGCAGCGTACTCCCCACCTGGCGGCGGGGGGTAGTCGGGAAGCTTTGCGACGTTCGCGCCGCGACCCTTGCTCTTTGATTTTGCCCTGGCAGGCCGCAGATAGTCCCATTGATCGTCGTTCGTAAGCGCGTCCCATAGTGCCTCGTTGGGCTCGTTAAACTCGATAACCTCGATCTGTTCGCTGCGAACCATGTTCGCCTTCCGCATCTCCTCTTTCTCGGCTTCTGCCTTCTCCGGGTCCTGCTCACCACTATAAGGGTCCAACTGCAGAAAGTGACTTCGCTGCTGCCACTTCTCACCGCTTGAAGGCACAAAGTACATCTTGATACCAATCACGAAGCCTCCATATGCCGTCTCTTCTAGCTCGAAGCCTCCTGTTGCCGGATTTACGGACTCAACTGTCCTTACAGCATTCGGGAACGTCTCGTGTAGTATGAATGTAACTTTCTTAAGCCATGCCGTTAGGCAAGGCCCGTTAGGAACCGGCCGAAGGTACACTCGCCAGCCTGAAGTGGCGCCGGGCTGGTTCTTAGGATTCTTCAACTCCTGCTCCGATAGTTTCCATGCTTCCGAACCGATGATAAATTCGCGCGATATGCGTTTGTTCTGCATATTCCGTTAATGAAGATTTCTCTCGAAGAAAGTCGAACAAAGGATCGCATAAGCTCCGATGCTGTCCACAGAAGTATGATTTACCTTTACACGCCGATTCTGCTTGTTTGACGACATTTCAAAAAACGAGGCCGAGTTGTCACGATGGTGAGGTAAAAAGTAGGACGATGTATTTGAAGAGACGCCTCCAAAAGTCTTACGTGAACAGGTCAAGCGGCGCTGTGTTGCCCTTGAGGCCGCATCATTCAGGCACCCTTCTCCCGTCTGTCACAATGACCGGATCGCCCCACCAACTTGTGGACTTGGCAACATCATCCTTCAGGAACCTGCGTCTTTGGAAATTGGCATGTTCTTCACATACAATACAACAATGTTTCATCCATCAGATGTGTAATTTTTTGTATAGCACCAAAGTTTAAGCTCGGTATGGCGCAAGTTTTGAAAAAGAAAATCGTCGTATGCGGGGGCAATGGCTTCTTAGGTGAACACTGCTTGTAGTCCATGCTCTACTGATATCTGCTAATCCTCCGCGACAAGGCAGCAGAATATGCAAGGCAGCCGTATCCAGAGGATGGGATGTCATTTCAATAAGGTGAGCGCTTTGAAAACCTTATTATTACGTGTCCTCACAGCATCAAGCCGGTCGGGCGAGCCAACGTGGTCATCAGTTTTGTCTTCTTCGTCACGTCCGTCATGGTCTTCGTCTGTCGAATGGCACAAAGCAGATATTCTCAAGCCTAGTACATACAAAAAACAACTCGAAGGCGCAGATGCCGTTGTGCATTCGATGGGAATACTGCTCGAGGCCGACTACAAGGGCGTGTTGCAGGGCAAAGAGCCTGTACTTGCAGGGTTACGTCGTGCATTCTCAACAACGAAAAAAGGGAGCCAGAACCCGTTAGAGCAGAATGGAGAGAGTAATTTCAGCTCGATGGAGAAGGATGGGCAGATCACGTATGAGCTAATGAACAGAGATTCTGGTGTGTTAACTCCCTCCCTCTGCTGTCTCCGGATCTCGTGTAACTGACAAAAGAAGCTGTTCTACTCGCGCGAGAGTCGTCAACGGCCAATGTTTCGACATTTGCATACATATCAGCAGCGGCTGGCGCACCTGTTCTTCCATCGCGATACATAACCACGAAACGCGCTGCGGAGTCTACGATACAGTCCGCTTTTCCATCTATGCGCTCATTGTTCTTCAGACCAGGTATGCTGTATGACCAGTCGCGTTCCATTACAATGGCGTTGGCATGTGTGACCGGCGTGGGAGCATTGACGAACAGCCTTGTTGGCGGCCGATTGACATGGCTGATGGGTGCTGGTGGGACAAAGCCGCTAAAAGCTGATGTAGTCGCTGAGGCTGTAGTAGAAGGTATCGACGAGAGCAATGTTGAAGGAATTATCGAAGTACCTCACATAGAGGAGCTCGCGAATAAAGCTTGGAGACGGGGAATGCTCTGAATCATCAGTATCGCTCAACAGAGGGCATGTAATATCAGTGTACAAAGAATTAAAAGTCATAACTGATTTGTCGCGTAACATGCACCAAAATCAGCCATAAGGAATTCTTTTTGTGCTAGATGCCGGTGTAGCTAGTCTTTTAGCCCATGGACTATGACTTTCAATCTGGAAAGCTTTTGCTATCAGAACCATTGTTCAATTCTAAATCCTCTGTAAAATCAGGGACTTCTCAAAGCCATAATGCATCAAATATTATCTAGAAAGCTTTCGCCAATCTTAAACAACGCCGAAAGTGCCGAAAGCCATAAGAGCTCATTTATTGAGTTGGCCTGGCTATCTTTGGACGTGAGCAACGGTCTCAGTGACATTATAGATCTGGGTGGTGAGACCATGCTGAGCCTTAAGAATCGGTGTAATGCGAAGAGATGTTTGGATGTGTTTGGCAGACCACAAATGCCGCGGCTATGACTGATCGAGGATCGGGCGAAGAAAAAAGCGTAGTGAAGGCGAAAGATGATACCGTCGTCCCCACACAGTGGTCTAGGTGCATGATCCAGGCCAAAATCTCGAAACACAGTCAAAGGTTTCTAAGAAGATTGCTGTCCCATCTGCTTTCTATTGAGCCGTTGCTTTTTTTCATCCTCTGATATTACATCAGTTCGCCGTCGTTAGGAAATTCAAACAAGGGAAGAACAGCTGTCCATGCTATTGATCTTTTGATCACTGGTGATCTGCTAGATGCATGCCAAAAGTTAGCCGTACATCAGACTGTCCAACCGTCTCAGAGACCAGAAACGTCTGAAAGCAATTTGAAGCTTTAGATTCTCTTAATCGCCCACTCAAAGGCTTAATATTGCCAAGAGCTACAGTCTTAATTTAGTTGTAGTGTTGCTTCGCTGCAAGCTATCATTCGAAGGGCATCTGAAATACTTTTAGAACTAGCAACGGCATTCTAATTCCGGCCTCTTCAGGAAGTGCGGATCTGCCCGCGTGCTCGTCATTTTCGCATCTCAGTACTCTTTGCAAGCAACACATCCAAACTTGACCGTTATGATTTTTGGTAGTATTTCTGGAGTACCATGAAGATTTCCAAACAGCCGTGTCTCTTATATTTATCTCTAACAGCCAGAGCGCAAATCAGAAAAGCAGGAGACGTATGGTGTAGTAAAGCATATAAATCCAGGTCAGCATAGCGATGATCTCTTTCATGCGCGTCATTGACATAGGGTATTGATGAGAGTCTCGACCCAGGCGGATGGCTTGAAGCCCTGCGAAGGCTCATAACTCTCTGCTTAGTCTGAGAGCCTACCCGCGCATGAACATATATACCTTGGCAATGAGGATGAGGCATCAATAATTGTAGACGCTGAAATTGGCGACCGCATCGGCGTACCATATTGCCCGCTCCCAGTGGAGGGCCAAGCTGATGGCAATTCTACCCGTATGGAGGAAGACTGGGAGCTCATCATTGAGAGTGTTGAACTGCTGTGGAGGACGGATGTAAAAGCGCAGATGCCGATAAACTTGACAGAAAATGAGTTAGAAATCTCAATCGCATCGTTTCTGCCAAGATTCGAGCCGTATGATCTCAAATTACCTGTCTGTCTGCCGAAGTGTCACCAAAACATTACCAGGACTATACAAATCTACCCATTACCTCATCGAACTGACGGTGGTAGTACCGCGAAGCTCGACTTCCTTTATGGTGGGCTACACATACATGAGGCAGAATCATGGAACCCGTTCTTCCCGTTTGGTTTCTATGTCTCCTGGGGTGACTTTCTCAGATACAGTTCCAGCCAAGACCAATACAACTCACTTGGCTACAATCTCGCCAGTCCACTTCCAATTGGCGGAGATACGCCGTTCGAACAATGATTTTACAAACTATCTCAAAAACCAGGACACGAGACAGAAGTCAGTGATATACAACATGGGGTGAACATATAAAAACCAGACTCTAGTCAGGGGCCAAATTGAAAAGTTAAAGAAACATCCATCAATTTTGCTATGGCACACTGCCGACGAACGTGGAGGACATGTCGATACACTGGATGCACCATTGCATGCATACAACCTAATTCAGAAGTATGATCCGTACCGTCCAGTCAGCATCGTACTGAACTGTGCAAATTATCATACGATAAATACACACGTGGTGCCAATATTATCATTACCGACCCGTATCCTATTGCCGTAAATACAAGTTGGAGCAGTCGATGGCATACCGTATGCAACACGAAATACGGCTGTTGCGGCTGTGACAACTGCAAGGGCAGTTTCAGAGACATCCCTGACCACCTTGACATTTTCAAGAGGTTCCAACACTGGCTGTCAGACTTGCCGTTGGGCGAGCCTTCGATGGATCCTGGTAGAAGTTCAGGCGGTCCGAAGAGATTTTGGAGTGTTCCTCAGGCTTTCGGCGGGAGCGAGTACTGGACTCGACCTCTGACGGCGGAGGAGCTACTTGTCATGATGTGGTTGTTTATAAATCATGCGTTAAAGGCATTGTAGGATGGCTATTCCCGACCACCCAAGAATTGACGGACCTCACCTCTATAATGGCAAATATCGTGACGAGCCGCGAAATTACCACCTTGTTGCTTGGAAATAATCCACGCAGGCTTCAAATCGACTGTGACGATGGTGTCGATGTTGATGCCGCAGCTTGGATCGCAGGAAAAATGATACTCATTAGCATCGTGCATCTTGAACTTGAAGATGCTCTTTCGTCCATAAGCATCAAGCTTCCTAGAGCAGTCGCAGCCGATACTTCAAAACTGGTATGGCCACAGTATAACCCGGACTTGAACATGCAGGACAGCGGCATGGAAAAATTCCTGTTCAGATTTCAAAGTCTGGATGACGCGCAGTTACGGGATGGACAGCGCAGCTGTTGTGGAGGATAAATGGCAGTAAAGTCAAGAGTGTAGGACTTTCAGCGTTGTCTGGAACCATCGTGATGGTTGGCTTAAGGTTGTGAGGAGCGTGCCGAACCAAACCTGTCGATTATGAATAGTGTATATTGTATTCAATAAGCTGTCATTTAATGACGCCGATCTCGTAGCCTAGCATGACCTCAGTACCTGTACCTTCCCATCCGCGGTTGCCAGCGGTGCTGATCAGAAACGTGCAAGTCGGGTCGATATACAGTGATGATATGATGCCGGTGCGATGACCCGGAATGATCAGAAAAGGAACAGGTGTATGGCGTGATTGTGGAGCGGCCTGTAGATCATACAATCGAAGGATGTCGTGTGATGCACAAATCAAATGACGCCCATTCGGCATGGCTGCCAATGCGCTAACTGGTCCACTGCCGGCAGGAAATCTGAAGGTTCGCTCAGGAGTTTTCAAACCTTTATGCAGCGAATACTCTTCCACACAATTGTTTCTTCTGCCGGCGTAAATCGTATTGCCATCTATACTCCACACTGCGCTCATACACCAAGGAGGGGTTCCCTGTGGCGGCCGTATCCGAGCGACAGGATTTGATTTTCTTTTATCCCAAATACGTATGGTACCATCAAATGTAGCATCGAGGAACGTTGTGTCGGACGGAGGTGTTCTGTCCACGTCGGGTTCAGATGAGTGCATTTTGACATCTTGAGGTTCTTCGTTGATTGAATGTGGCAACCCATTTTTCTCTGATTCTGTGCCGACGCCTACTTCTGCACCGGATTTGTCATATCCCGCGGCGTCAGCTGGTGCCGTTGATGTTTGGTCGGCGACTGGCCGCTCGCCCAAATTCGCTTCCCCAGATGGCATGGAGATCCCAGTATCCTTCATATCAATATCGCCAGTGTTGTCCTCGTCAGCTGTTTGTAGCCCTTCGGCGATGGCGCGGGAAAATTCGTCATCAATATCACCTAATTGCATTGGCGCTTCCAGCTCTCCCGTATCGTCATCCCCAAACAACGAATTCATGTCGTCGTCATCCGCTGGCGCTTCTTGCAAACCGTCATCATTCTGAATCGTACTGCCAGTTGCATTGGATTCGTCCCCGGCGGCCGCAGTTGAGAGTCCGTTCGTGGTTGGCTGCGACGTATTATTGCTGGAGAATGTCCCGCTTGGCGCCGTCTCAGCAAAATCTTCTGGAATAGGTAGGCTAGATTGTGGGCGCGGGTGAATCGCTGAAATCTGGCCACCGCTGCCCATGAAAGACCGCTTGATTGAACCTGTATTCAAATCCCAATCCAGAATAGATTTGTCCCAGCTGCCCGAGAGCACTGATTTCTCATCTGGCGCCAATTGCAGAACTGAAACAGCAGATGTGTGTTTGCGAAGGGTGGTAATACGAGTGCCTTCGCTGTGCCTTACTGACTGAAGATTGATGCCGCCGAACTCTGTACCGGACAGTAACCACACTGCTTGGTTTTGGACCGCTAGCGAATATACAGGGGACAATGACACAGGCTCGTCGTACGAGTACTGTCGACCTGGCGTATCATCTGGTGGTTTTGTTAGCCCAAAGAAGATGTCAAAGGTGCTTGTCATACTTGTGGACTCTTCGTTTTCCCAGTAGCTAAGCAAGACTCCTGCTTTGGTGACGCTGTCCACGAACGGATGCCGCTGCGCAACGGTGAGCGCGAGCTTCCCATTCGCGCTATCTGCCCAGCTAAATTTTCTGATGTAGCCGTCTGTCCCGCCAGTGAAGACCCACCTCATATCCGGTGTCGCAGTGACTGCATTGATTGATGTGCTGTGGGGAGCGGCGATAGTGGGCACTATGTCGTACGTGGTGGCTGATATTGCTTCGGGTCGGATAGGTGGTCGGAAGGGCAGAATTGATGGACGTGGAGAGGGCGAACCAATTATACCATGCATATTACCAGAACCGTGCCTTGAATGCGCAGCAGAGCCGTTCGCCACGGGCCTGGGGGAAGTGAGTGGTCGACTGGGAATTCGATTTTGCATTCGCTGCATAGAGGGAGATTCTGCATCTTCCTGATCATCATCGTCGTCATCATTATCTGCTTCATCTCCTTCTATCTCCGCTTCCACTTCATCCTCGTTCTCATCTGCTTCGTCGTCCTCCCCCTCATCCTCATTGTCGTCTTCATCTGCTTCAGCATCGTCGACTACGTCTTCAATATTCTCATCCTCGTTCTCTTCCTCTGAGCCGGATGCTGCAAGCCTATTAGCTCATGACGCAACACGTACGGTGGAACAGCTAGGCTGTAACTACCATTCTCATCATCGTCGTCGTAGCTCATGTCGATGATGAGCTAGTGGAAATCCTAAAAGGAACTAGATGTCGTGGTGCTGATATATAGGCTCGAAACAGCGAATTACAACAGGAAGATGTGTATATCGAGACAAAGGTCAATAAATGCGAGTGCTACTCAAAAATGATCGTATATCTGCTTGCTTTTTGCTGTTGTCGGATTGCTACTAATCTATGTTCCGCAAACTAATCGAGTTTAGCGGGAAGCCAAGATGATATCGGACCAGCGCAGGGTTTTGTGCCTGGCAGATTTTAGTACTCGGAACAGACAACGATCTGGCCACCTTCACCATAGATCAGACACGAAAGAATGGGGACGAGTGGTAGAAATGTGCTCGTAGGAGAAAGAAGCACACAAGCGATCGGACGACATGATTGTTTCGATATTTTAATCACGTCGCATCGTCGCCATGTCTAGAGAGTATATTCTACTAGTACTCCGTGCTGTCCAGGAGATCTTCAAGTCCTCATTAACTCTGTGAGCATTTCCCTTCTCGAAAGTTGATGAAAATTGTTAATTATAATCATCTGTTGACATCAAATTATAGAAGCCACATCATGGCTCGCAAAATAACGGACTGGCTTATGACAGCAGACAATTGTACGAACACTTAGTGATAGGTGCAAGTACACATTGAACGACTGCCATCTTGAAGTTTTTGAGACCGTACAACGTTGTAAATATATCTGCCATACAGTGAAATACTATTTGTTTGGCTTTGTTGTCTGCTTGTGTACTGCTGAACCAGCTGATGTCTAATGGCAAACAAACCCATGTATAAGTTTGTTTAGCCAGAATAAAAAGGGGATGAATATACTTTTCTATGCCAAAGCGAACCTTCAAGTCGCAGCCAGCAGGTAGGGGAAGTATTTTTCCAGATCGACAATTCATGTATGCCATCCTTCGAGCACTCAGCGCCTGGAGACCAGAAACTTAGCGATTGACGTTATTTTTGGTCTTTGCCACACATATTAGGTTCTAAGAACGGTGCTACTTATCCCGCTCTATAAGGTTCTGCAGTTGCACTTTTCTGTGAGTAAAATTTCAGCGGAACAGAGATATAAACATAGTATAAATCCTCATCACCTATCCTGGCTGATATCACCCAACATTTTCGGGCAGCCCGCGATACCGTAATCACATATTGCGGTCTTTCAATTCTAGTAGTGTTTACCAAAGTTTTGGTAACGGAGGCGAGCTCATTAACTAGACTGGGAGAAGACAATTTAGTGAGACTGGTCACCCGGTACAACCAGGCAGCCGCAGACATATAAAGGGCAAACATCGTGCATCTAAAACTTCACACCTCACTTGCACGTTCAAGCAGAAAATATCTTTCTCAGGGCGAAACAACACTTCGCTTTTTCATTTATGTGAGTGCGAGGGACCTCCATTGTCAACACTATCTGCCCACTTCTCATTTGATCGCCTTGTTTGTTGTTATAATTATGTCTTTCGCTACCCACGTAGTTCGCTCAGTAATTCTAGTGACTGCTAGATGCGAGCACGCAATATTGACTTCTACAGCTTTCGATTTAATGAAGCACTCTATAAAGATAGCACATTGCCGTCTTTATCTTGAGAGCAGGGTCTGAAAGTTCCACAATTCCAGTGCTACTTGATAACCAAACTCGAAGATAATATTTTGGAAACTCATACTCAGGAACTCACTAGCATTGTAGTCAGTGAAGGCCTCTTTACAAGATGTTTCAAAGTAACCCTTTCAAAGTCCTCTTCAGTGACGAGGAAATTAATGGCTCAGCGGTGATGCAAATGTCAACAGACGAGTCATTCTCGACAGTCCCGGTTTCACGAAAGGCTCTAGAAAGTCATGCCTCACTTGATTCATCTATTCATTTTCCACCATTGTCGGGGTATATACCGTCCACTTCCATAGAGGAGTGGACAACCATCCCGAAACCTGATAACCAGGAAAGGAGCTGCAAGAACCTGTCGCCATCTATCTCGACACCACAGCCAAAAATCTCGCAATCGGAGGTCAGAGATCTTGAGCCCAAAGCCCGGTCGAATGAAAAAGCAGTGATTTACTCGAATTCACACAAACGCCCCAACTCCACGCTCCAAGACCAAAGCAATGTCGCCAACAAGTTCCACAGCAATAGAATACGGAAGTACGTTGAATGGCTCCTTAAAAAACGTGGAAAAGGTTCTTGGATTGATTGCCCAGAGATTCCGACTGCAAAAGAGCTTATGGACGAAAATGAGCCGTGGATGAAGCTAAGGACTCTAGAGAATGGCAGCGAGGAAGTAGTTATGGAGGGTAACAGACTGCATGGGGGCTGGCCTGATGTGGAGACATATCTAGGTGCCCACTATGGCATGCTGAGAGAGGAAACTGTGCAGCCACTTCGTCAAGCAATCGCTTGGATCAAAGCCTTCCCTACTGCTTCCGAAGACATTAGCCCGTACGGTAGTATCGGAATTTACTCCAAGGTACGGTGTCCAATTTTAACGTGTGAAATGCAATATTGAGTAGCTTTAGGTTCATATCACAGCAATCACATTCTCACCTCGTGGCCTCGCCATACGAGTGGTGTTCTCCCTTAGCAAGGTTGGGAAGAAAATACGTTGGGAGCAGTCGAAGCGTTTGCTTGCGGGGTCACTCGTTGCGCTCACTCCGAGCAGTGATATATTCAAGACGAAGTGTATTGTAGCTACAGTGGCCGCACGTCCACTTGATATGTTGACTAGTCAAGACCTGCCACCCATGGTGGACTTGTTCTTGGCAGACACTACCTTAATTGACTTGGACCCTACCATCGAGTATACTATGGTCGAGGATCGTACAAGCTTCTTCGAAGCTGTTCGGTAGGTCTAGATTTATCTTTATTCAAAGGAAGGATGGTGCTGATCGCCCAATTAGTCACATAGCCATCAGCCTGCAACGACTGACAATAGAAGAATTTCCACTGAAGCAGCACATCGTACACATTGATCCACACATCACAGCGCCAGAATACATAAAAAAGCGACCTGCACTTGATTTAAGCGTGATATTTCAGGGCGAGAGAGAAGATGACTATCGCAACGTAGACGTTCTCCGTGACTGGCCAAAAACTCCTATAACTTCATTGGATAAGTCCCAGCTTAATGCCTTGCATTCAATGTTCAAACAGAGACTTGCGCTTATCCAAGGCCCTCCTGGCACCGGCAAGACTTACGTCTCTGTTATGGCTCTCAAGGGTTTCATCAAGGTTCGTCATGAACGTCTCACTTTGTTCTCGGCTAAAAGTTTTAGAATATGACTCCGGATGATCCACCCATTGTTGTTGCCTGCCAGACAAACCATGCTCTTGATCAGCTTCTAAGGCACGTTGCAGAATTTGAAGAAGCCTTTGTTCGCCTTGGTGGACGTTCTAAAGATACTGGTATCGTAAAGCAACGAACCCTGTATCACCTACGACAAAAAAAAGAGAATCGCTATAAAGCACCAAGCGGCATGCAGGCATCGGCAAGACGCAGCCTCGAACTTCTTGAAGGCCAGATCCGTGACGTGATAGCGCCTCTAGAGTACGGGAAAGACCAAATCAAGACAAGTTTCTTGAGCTTAGGGCTTTATCACAACATGGGCGTTCTGACAAAGACACAGTGTGACAATATTGAGAGAGGGGACAAGGAGTGGGCAGCACCTTCAGATTATGGCTTACTTCCGCTTGAAAAATGGCTGGGTAGTTGCCTCCAATACAACCAGCGCTATTTTGAGCCGGATAATATTGGTGGTTTTGAATTCGAGGAGGCTGATCTAGAATTTGAACAACTTCAGGAGCTCGAGGCAGAGAATATCGCCCAAGACGATATTGATCATGATTTCGAATCTCTTCCTGGAAATGGATTCCCTATCTTCCTAAAAGTTAGTGGCAAATCTTCAGCTATCGGGGAAGGACAGATTGAACGTTGGCTGGAGAATGACGATATGTGGAAGATACCGCCTAGACATCGCGGCGCAGTTTTCAATCACATGCAGCGCAAAGCGATCCGCATAATGAACGAGAGATTACGAGAACTGGCTGATAGGTATAACGAAGCTGCTTTACGCTATCGCTATGGAGGTTAGTTGCTTGAGATGCAATATTGGAGTACCTGGACTAAATACAGCAGGGTTTGAGAACAACGCAATTCTCGTTCGGCAACAAAAGGTTATTGGAGGTATGCAATTGAATCGTCCATGATGCTCAAAGTTTCACTGAAAGTTTAAATAGTCACAACTACTGGCTTGTCCAAATATAGGGCCTTGATTGCGGCAGCATGCCCTCGCCTCGTTATGATTGAAGAGGCAGCTGAGACGATGGAAAGTCCTGTTACTGCAGGATGTGTTCCGTCTCTTGAACATCTCATCTTGGTAGGCGATCACAAGCAACTACGCCCTCAATGTAGCGTGAAATCTATGGAGGAAGAACCTTTCAACCTAAATGTATCCATGTTCGAGCGTCTTGTTGGGAACAATCTTCCATATAACATGCTTAAGCGACAGCGCCGTATGATACCTGAAATCCGAAGGTTACTTGTGCCAATCTACAGGAACGAGATCTATGATCATACAACCGTGTGTGATCCAAAAGTGCGGCCCCCAATTCCAGGAATGGGTGGGATCAACACGTTTTTCTACTCGCACTCGTGGCACGACACTGCTGACGAAAACATGTCTTCCACTAACATTCAAGAGGCAAATATGGTCGTGGGATTTTACGACTATCTGATTAGCAATGGCCTCACTGAGGACGAGATCACCATTTTGACCTTTTATAACGGCCAACGCAAGCTACTGCTTCGCAAGCTCAGAAATCATCGTCGACTCAGACGAATAGGAAGTGAACAGAACCGAATTTTCAAAGTGTTCACCGTCGACTCTTACCAAGGCGAAGAGGATGAAGTTATTCTTTTATCGCTAGTAAGGAGCAACGAGGAGGGCAACATCGGTTTCACTGGTGTTGAGAATCGCATCTGCGTTGCGTTATCCCGTGCAAAGCGTGGATTTTATCTGTTTGGCAACGCCGAGCTTCTCGCCAGTGAATGCAAGCTCTGGGCTAAGGTCATCGAAATCATGCTGACTAATAAGTCATCTGTTCAAGTGGATGGTAAGCCCGTTATCGAGACTCTTGGTAGAGTGGTCTTTCGAGTCCCATTGCAGTGCAGCAATCATAACAAGAGAATGTTCATTGAGTGTGTCGAAGATTGGGACAAAATTGACGGCGGATGTGAAAAGCCCTGCAAGGGCATCCTTAGCTGTGGCCACCCATGCACTCTGAAATGCCATCCGTTTGGCCACGAAAAGGCTCTCTGCCTTCAGCACTGTGCGAAGACTTTGGATTGTGGCCATCAGTGCATTAACAGGTGTTGCGACAAGTGCCGCTGTCCAATATGTGGCATCAAACAACCTGGTTTGCATAAAAATGACTCTGGCTTCGTGGCCAGTGAGTCCATCGACGATTCTGGAAGATTGAAGTCCAGCCCAGAGAAGTGGCAAGAGTTTGCTCTTGGGGGTGTACATAAGCATGATGCTATCCTGGTAGAGACGCAGCGTAAGCGTTATCGTGAGCAGCAGATGAGGAAATTTACTGCCGCAGTCGAACAAGCCGCAGCGGAAGGTCAAACCATCTTACAAGATGCGAGGGACGCAACCCTTTGTTCAAAAGTTGGACTTCAGTTGGCTGCTGCTTCGAATCATGATGTCTCTCCTGTCATCCCACCATCACTCGCTGCTGAGGTGAAAGACTCAACGGCACTATTTACACCTGAAATGCCGCAAAAGGCGAAAATCTCTCATAGGGACCGCTTCAAGCGCTCTTGTCATATGGCTAATCTAGGAGTTGCGGAGATGGCTGCTTCAGTAAATTATTTGGCCACTGCCTGTGCTCCAGAGGCTGTTGGTATTGCTACACGTCAGCTGCAACATCTACAACCCATCACCAATGATCAGAGTTCTTCGTGGATCAGTACATCTACAAATGATAACTGTCTGGTTCCATCGCAGCCCTCGCAATTGCTTCTCCACAATGAAGAGCTTCTGATTGACCTTAGCTGAATGGTAGTGGCATCCAAAAACTAACAAGGGTGTAATTCGTCAGGCGTGACCAGTTTGCGCTAATAGCTGTTCGAAAAAGAAAGTTTTCATATCTCGACTCGACGAGCACGTTTCCTTATAGCCTTGGTGGTCGAGCGACGTGACGCTGTTTCTTGGTAGTCCTCCAACAGTCTGACAGAGATTGCGAGTTGGTGCACAGCCTACCTGCTTTCGTCGCTGTATACGGGGCATTTCAAGCATATAATTTATAATGGGAAAAATGTTTGGAATGGGAATTAAATTGCACATAAAGTCCCAGAGTGACTCCAACGTCGTGCTAGTTGGAGGGTGGAAAAACATTCTGATGCCTTACATGGTCTCTGAAAATATGCCACACAGATGCCGAATCCCGAATTCGTTCAAGTCTAATAGATGACATGCATTTGGCCTTGCTACTGTCCAATACTGCTCTCGTGGCCCAGAACTAAAGCTAATAACCGGGAGGGTTGATCCTCTGGCTTATTCTCGTCCATTTCGGTACCTCTGTATCAATTTGGTTAGCCATTTGTCGATTCTGAACGTCAAAACAAGGCGACGTACTGTGAATGCCTTTCCTGTATCCTCTTTGCTTCCGATCAAAGACAGTGTATTTGTCCTTTGGCATAATTTCATGTTCCGCGGGCATCTCAGCTTTCCATCTCTCTACAGCCTTCAATTTCAGGCCTTGTTTCGAAAGAGCACTGTCAAGGATGGACACAATCTTATCAACACGCTTCAGTCGTAATCGGTGTCTGTACTTTCGCGGACTTGAAAGGCGCCATGGAATTTTCCTGTACGCTGTCAGTTGGAAGGAATGCGATAAGAAAAAGTGACAATTGTAATACCACAACAGCCCACCCAGTAATTTCGATGTAGCCTTGAAAGGTCCGAACATTGTTTTGGCTGGTAGGAACGATCTCGACGCTTGTCGCCAGAAATGAGTTCGGAAGTGAGGATGGGAAAGTCCGCAAGCTTGGCATTTCCGCTTTGGGCCATCGCGAGGAAGTGCACAACCACCACGCACCTCGAAACGCCGATGGTGACAGCAGAGAGAAGAAAACACCAGGAGATGGCACACTTTTCTCGATAGAATAACCTCAGTAGCTGTTGGGAACTTGCTAAAATGTCCTTCTACTTTGTTATCGTAGGCCATCGGGACAATCCACTGTTCGAACATGAGTTTGGCACTTCTAAGAGCGGCGGCGACGGCGGCAGTCGCTTCACGCAAGAGCAGAGACGCATGAATCAATTTATTGTGCATGCCAGCTTGGATGTGGCAGAGGAAGCGCAATGGGGCACTCAAAATATGTACATACCACTTTGCACATCTTTGCGTTCGTTGGAAACACAGCTAACAGTGGACTGCTAGGTACCTCAAGTACATAGACCGCTACGCTTCGTCGTACATATTCTGTTTCTTGACCGGTGGCAACGTGAAATTTCTGCTCCTGTCAAATCCGGAGACACATTCGGCCACAAACACACTGACTACTCCCGGGGGTCGCTCTTCTGCTGCGGCATCTGCCCGCTTGAGTGCGCAAGGAAGTATGTACAATCCGACAGCGGCAGCCACAGAAGAAGGAGTCAAGAATTTTTTCGTGGAAGTCTATGATGTGTGGGTCAAGACACTCATGAATCCGTTCTATCATACGGACATGGTCGTGAAGAGTCCTAAGTTTCGGGAAAGGGTTGCAGCTGCAGGAAGGAGATATCTGTGATGTTTCTGGTGGCCATTCTGATAAATGAGATAAATGCACATATGGAGACTTGTGTTGTCCGAAGGCTCAAAAGCCCGTTTATGGACTCCTGGGGGACTGAATCAGGTCTCTTGCGTGTTACTTACGCCATTGACAAATTGCGCTGGGGTGCTGAATCTGGAATGAATAGATCACGAACGCTTCGATATTGTATCTCAATCGGAAATGGCTCTCGATGGAGATGAATAATAACGCCTGCTAGGATAAATGCGAACAGAGTAATGTTGTAACTGACCGTACTACGGGAAAAAACGAGGACTGCGGTTGACTAGCCTACTACAACAAAAGGTCATGTTGTTAAAACAACTGACAGGGACTGGAGTGAGTATGAGAGCAAAAGTCTGCAAAACCTCAGTGCCATGCTATGATCTTTGTTGGCAAAGCTCTCAGAACGCCATTTCTAGGCTCAAAACTCGGCGAATTGCGTAATCAAGGCGGCGTTGATGGTCGAACTTGTTGGGTGTCAAGTCTACCTGATAGTCACACCATTTTCCTGTCAACTGCGAGGAGACGGTATTCTCGACTCATGCTCATGCAGAGTTTTCTAATGATGATTGTGAGAAATGCGACATCACGAGGGCGAACATGTGGAGCATTCGTGCTGCAAGGCCCAATTAGTGCGACCGTTGAGGATGGGTCCGAGTCTGCTGACTATAGAAAGGCTACGATTTGGCGGCGGCTTTCGCATTGCATGAGTCAACTTGTGCGCGCTTCGCATTTGAACGGTCGAAGATGGGCTGATCGTATCGAAAGCAGTCTTGGGCATGGCCTTGTAGCAAGTAGAGCCAACAACCAGATACTTCCCGATTTCCAACAATGGTGAGCTTGAACATTAGCAACTCAGAGAGCTTTTTACTCTCGTCGCCGGACGTGGCTGGAGTCGACATAGCGAAGGATGGCTATACTGAAGCGGCAGTGATTATAGATGACTGGGTTTGAGACTGGAGCAGCAATGGAGAAGGCAATGAAGCTGGACAGTAGTCTTCAGAAGAGCACAATCATGATAAGGTTTAAACTTGTAGCTGGTTGGTTCTTACTGACTGTATCGGTGAGAATGAGCCAACATACCTAGGAAGCACAAGAGAGCAGGTAGAGGTGAAGATTTAAGAAGTCGAATGTGACGTTGTGATCGCCGCACATTCCGATGTTAAGAGAGGTATACTTGTGAAGCAGTGAGACCACTTTTATACCTTGTGTCTACATGTGGCGAAATAGTCTCAAATGAGATAGTCTCATTGTAAAAGGAATGGCGGGCAAGCACGGGGAAACATGAGATTGATAGGACAGAGTACTTCCGATTGCAAACGTCGTAGTCGAAATGGGAACATGTGTGATAAAGTACGAATAACCTGGCATCCAAAATGCTCCATTCCCCGCTGTGCCTGATCAGCCTGGAAGGACAAGACCTTGTAAAGGACAATCTAAACTTGTCGAAAGCACTGAATGCCGAAACAGGGAGGAGTTCGGGTTTGGCTGTTTTGATTGCGGTGACTAAAAGTTGCCGGGTAGGGCAGTATGGAAACATGTCTTTGAATGGCGGTTGCGGACAAGACTGTGAACGAAGTAGGTTGATGTAGAACAACGTCGCACATGCCCGGGTGTGCCTGGCCATCCTCGGGATCTTTCTGCGCGAAACACAAATCAGTACGACGAAGTCCATACTTTGATTGCTTATCGGCCTTCATTGTATCTTATAAAGTTCGAATCCGTCATTGACAAATAGATAGTGGTGCAAAGGAATCAAAAGGGATGGTATCATGAGCTGCTAGCCGCTCTTGGACAAGGGGAGTAAAGGGACTCTTCATGGCATTCGCTCAGCAATATTTATCTTTGTCGAAATAGAGCCGAATAAACGTTTTCAACGTTTGCTAATACGAGTGTAATACTTCGATGCTAAAGCCGATCTTGGAGCATTCGCAATTGTTCAATCTTTTTTGTTTGATGCTGCTGAGCGGCCACATCACTTTTCAGCGGCAAGACCTTGCTCTAGGCGAGCGAGGGGCCTCCTGGTATTCCGGCCGTAGCTTTTCAACTTCAGTCTGTCGAGAGAAGCTCAGCGGTGGAGGGTATCGCTGAATGGATCCAGGATTGCCATTCTTCCTCAATCATCTCTCATCGCAGCTTGCTTTGGGACGACTCCCGCGGCAGTTTGTGTTCTCTGTCGCCTTGTCTGAACTCTCGGTGAAATGGACGCATGATGCTGCTTTAAGACGTACGATATCATGTCCATAGTCCATAAGGCCCACTCGTGAACTTCCACAGTTTGATGTTCCCGTCCTCACTGGCTGTAGCGTACAGCTTGCCATCTGGTGCAAAAGCACATGCCCAAACAGGCCCATGGTGACCTTTACCTATCTCTAAATTCATCTGTTAGCAAAAACGTTTGGAAAAGAAGGCGTAGTACGAGGTCAATCGCTAACCTGTTTCAATTTCCGTATCGTAATCCCAAACCCGTACCCACGTGTCGTTCCTATGGCCTGTAACAAACTTGCGTGCCGAGCCGTTTAAAGCCACACTTGCGACTTCATATGGAGTCTTGACCTGCTTGAGAAGGCTTCCAGGCTTAGATGGCTCGAAAAAATAGACGCTCTTACCCGCTGCAACGCTCAGTGTGCCATGATCTGAAACCTCCTTTAAAGGCAGACTGTCAAGCTCGCAAGTGCCAACCTGCCCTTCTAGTGTGTATTCACCGATAGGCGTCTGAGTCCGCAAATCCCACCAACGTAAAACTCTGTCATCCGCTGCAGTAATGAGGACATGGGAATCCGGAGACCAGACGATTGAATTGATGGTCGCCTGATGAATGCCTTCTCCAACCTCCCAGCTTGGTGCAGATGTAGATCCAATATCGTCGGATGCTGCTCCGTTTGCGCCATTTACAGGAACACCTCCAGCACGTGAGAGGTCCCATATCCTGAGCTTTTTCTCTGCCCCTCCAGTCGCCAATATCTGCGGATTCTCTTGTGGCGGGAACGCAACTGCCTTGACGATGTGGTTGTGAGGCAGTGTGTGAAGAACTTCCCCTGTTGTTGTATCCCAAACTTTGGCAGAGAAGTCTGCCGAACCTGTCGCTGCCAGACCTGCGTCGGCGGAGATGCGTGCCTGCCACGTCGCACCCTTGTGCCCGATAAAGGTTCCGATCCAGTCACCCGTAACTCCATCACGAAGCATAGGGTTGTTGTCTTTGCACGCTGAGACAATGTAATATTTGTCGTCAACGATCGGCGAGAAGCTTAGGTGGGTGACGGGTCTAGTATGTCCGTGGCAGGTAAGCGGCACCACTTTGATGGTTTCTAGTCGCTACCGTTAGCAAAGATCCCAATCCTGCTTTGAGTGCAATCTACCAGTAGTTGCAGCCATGATAGAATTTTCGATCTCTGAGAACGCAAGAAGTTGGCTCGTATTCCACTTCACCGTAACCGGTCTCCAAGGCTGGCCGAACGTGGGAACGACACGAATCACGCTGACGAAAAGGAATGAATATGAATGGGAAGGAATGACTGTTCACAGCATCAATCAACCGCAGATCGTCAGATGCCGTGTTGTTGCGTGAATGTTTCTACTGTTTCGAATCCTCTACGGAGTAACCTCGAGCTGTGGTTGCCCCACCCACAATTCCTTTTCACGTCATGTCCAACCCGCAAAATACTAAATTCTCCAAGCGCTGTCATCTGTGCAGCTTATTGGTGTAACGCAGTGCAAAAGTATGTTTTTGGGAGACCTATCTGTTTCTTCATTTCTTTTTTCTTTACTCTTTTTTTAAGAAAATAATCTGGGCAGCCGTCGATGTGTCTGAAATTGAAGGTTTTCTCAAACATCCGCAGCGCAACGTTGCAGTCGCTTGAATCACTTGTTAAAGTCAGGAAGTGCTAGCCATCGCTATTTGATGTTTCTCGAGGAGAATTATCGATCTAAAATTTCCTGTGGTGGGAATAGCTTGACACGTTGCTGGATTGGACCCGTGCAGTCAAGCACGATTGGATACGATGATAAGCATCCGGCTGCTTAACTGACAATCTATTGTCTACAATATATGTCGATCTCTCTTAACTATCCATGTGAGCTCGATCACCGTATGCGCACAACGTGTACGAAACTGTGAAGCATTTACTCCCTCGTCTAAGCCGGCCTTTTGAAATGAACGACTACAATTTGGGGAATCTCGACCTTAAGAATTGACTTGGCCATGCAACATCCACACCCAGCTGCCAAGCAACCTTGAGAACCCACTCCGGTTCTCTCATGAATTGTCTAGCTACCAAGATGGCGTCAGCCATGGGCTCGTTGCCTTCGGTCATCTTGACCGCAGCTTTGACCTCTTCCGCTATGCATTCTCTCTCGTTATTCACTGGTGCACTCTTCCCGGATTGTGCGACAGGCGTTGCGGCTTCTTGCACAATGTCTCGCGCTTGCTCCGCCTCTGTGATCAAGCCAACTGCCCCGATGAGAAGATTGAGACCCTCGGCATGAATTTCTTTTCGAATTCGTGCCGCGATTCTAGTCTGGTAGTCCTTTGAAAGGAACATGTTGACGCTCTGTTTAGGGTGATTTCCGCCGCTGCTAACATCGAGAAGGTCGACGCCCAGAGAGGGAAGCTGTTTGGCCACCCTGATTGTCGATTCGACGTCCCAAGAGCCATACTGTTTGGCCAAATCGCTGGTCTCCATCCATTCCGTCGACGAGAGTCGCAGAAAGAGGGGCATGCTTGCTGGAATGACTTCGCGCACTGCCTTGATCGTTTCAAAAAGCAGGCGTGTGCGGTTCTCAAAGCTTCCGCCGTACTCGTCATTTCTGCGATTGGTGATCGGAGACAAGAACTGGTGGATCAGGTAGCCGTGAGCTCCATGGATCTCTATTACGTCTACGCCAGCCTCAACACTACGACGAGCGGCCGCTGCAAAATCCTTCGAGATTTGCTTGACTTCATCCGTGCTTAGCTGTCTTGGTGGGTAGTATCCGCTTTTATCGTAGCTTTTGCCGTCCCACAACTCGCCCTCGCCACCCATGGGACCTACAACATTATCTGGCCAGCCGCCAACTTCCTTGGGCGCTTTGTTGCTTGGCTGTCTCAAGCGGCTGCTTAGCCATGGCGCGACGGTGCTACCTTTGCGACCAGCGTGAGCCAACTGAATGCCACACAGGGCCCCTTGGCTCTTGATGAACTCTGCCACCTTGCGCACGCCATCGGTCTGGTCGTCACTCCAAAGCCCGGGACAATTCGGTGTAATACGTCCATTTGGCTGCACACCAGTAGCCTCGATGAAAACCAAAGATGCACCCTTGAGTGCGTAGTGTCCCAGCGTTGCGATGTGGTAGGGCGTCAGTTTCCCAATCTCTGGCCCGTCCGGCGCGGTGCTATATTGACACATGGGCGCTACAATGATGCGATTGCGGAGGGTAACATTGCGGATCTTGAGTGGCTTGAAGAGTGTAGGAGTCTTTTCGTTCGGGTTAATCACTGCACCTGGCGAGTCTTTGTGTTTAGGAGTGAAAAAAGATATGCCCTGAACAGGAGCATTTGTGTTGTAAGCCGTCGCCATGGCTGTTACTATATGGAAAAAAAAAACAAAAAAAAAGGAAAAAGAGATGTAACGCGCAAAGAGATCTGATCAATTATTCTAAGAGCCAACGTATATTAGCACGCAATAGTCCCCCTGATCCACTTTGGAATTATTAATGCTGTAGGAAGCCGTAAGTTAGGAGATAAGTCGGCATTTGTGACGTGGGAGGGGTCCCTCGGATATGGATTGGCCAAGAGATGCGATTGGATAATCAACTCATTGCCCGCTTTGGGTATTTTGTTTATGTACCCTTGTTATCGGGTTCTCGACATACACCACGAAAATTGGTCCGGGCCTGGAGGCATGTAATGATTGCTAAAGATGCATAAGAATGTATATGGCAGGAAAGCGAAGCAATCCGCTTTCACCGTCTCCAGCATCTTCGTGGAAGCTAGCCCCAGGAAGCCAGGCGCAGAGGAGCAAAGACAATGCGACCGCATCGAAGATGACGTTCTCCGAGCATCCCACACACTGCAAAATTTGAGCGTCCAGGAGGAAAGAGAAGGAAGGATCCTCGCAAGAAAACCCACGAGGACGCCGCTGGGTACTAGAGACGGCAATTCAGGACCAACGAGTCGAAATGGCGGCCAAGACGAGCCGTCTACGGGCGCAAAGGTCAAAGGCTCTCGTCGAACAGTTCAAGAGAGGGTTTCAAAATCTTTGACAAAGCAAAGCGAGGATACCGCCCAGGAAGAAAGAGCATCTCGAGCTTCGCCCATCCATGAGCTGTGCAACTTGTACGTAAAGCCGCTGGTCGCGCTCACCAACGAGCAGACGGCTCCTCTCGCCTTTGATGCTTGGTCCGAAGATCTGGCGAAACACTTCAAAGTATCGAAAATCGCAGAGGCTTCGTACAGCGAAGTATACCGATTGTCGTTGCTCAACAAGCATCCAGATCTGACTTCGGCAGACGAGTCGGTACTTAAATTGATCGCGATCAAGCCGCCTCAGCACGCGACGGACAAAAAGAAAAGCAAAGCGCAGCAGAAACGGGAGGAAGATATGAGCTCAGTCGAAGACGTTGCGTCGGAAGTGCGGTTGCTCAAACGAATGACGGAGATACCCGGCTTCACCAACTATCGCGCCCTTCACGTCTTGCAAGGACGACCTTCGAAGGCATTCACGCAAGCGTGGAAGGAATGGAACAAAGGACGGCCGAAGGGCCACAAAAGCGAGTTCCCTGACCCGAGCCGCAAAGCTAGCTACGAAGAGAGCCAGCTTTGGGCGGTGGTGGAGATGCAAGATGCTGGCACGGATGTTGAACGTCTGATCGAGGACGAAGCCAAACAAGGCCAAGGGGCCGAGAAAGGCGGCGTCTGCATCAACAGCATATGGGCAGCCTGGGACATTTTCTGGCAAACCGTGCTAGCGGTTGCAAAGGGCGAGAGTGAAGCCAGATTCGAACATCGCGACCTGCACCTGGGCAACATCTGCGTGAGGCGGAGAAACGGGGAAGATGTGGTTGGGCTGTCGGCCGATGCGCCGAAACGAAAGCTGCGATTCACAAATTTGGAGGCCACGATCATCGACTATACGCTCTCGCGAGCAGACATGGCACCGCCAGGGCAGAGCGCGCCTCGAAGCCGGTCTTTGCGATCGTCGTCTTCGAGAGCATCCTTGAGTTCGTCGACAAATTCGTCGATCGACGCTGGCGTCGCGTATAACCCACTGCAGAAACAGCCCAAAATATTCGAAGGCGATGCGGACGTAGATTACCAGTACGAGATCTACAGGTATATGCGGTCCATTGTCAGTTCTGGCGCGCTTGAGGACAGCGAGCCATGGTCGACGTTCCAGCCCCGGACAAATCTGCTGTGGCTACACTTTGTGCTGTTCAAATTATGCGAAACGCTGCAGTGGCCCTCCCAGACAATGAAAAAGTCGAAAGACAAACTGTACAAGAGGGCCCTTGAGCTCGAAGATATCCTTGTTCAGGTTGATCAGTTGCTCGACGCAGAGAGATTGCTGGGCGACAAAGAGCGCGTTTTGAACTCGGCGGCAGAGCTTGTTGCTATTGCACTGGAGCAGGCGTGGCTGTGTCATGACGATGTATATTACTAGACATAGAGTGCATTGGAATCTTGGACATGAGGTTGCCATGTTCGTAAACATCCTTACCCGCGTCCACACAAAGAACCAAGATGCTGTCAAGTTCATGAGAGCAAGGCGCAGAGGCTCAAGGCCTGCAATTCGGACTTAAACTTCAAACCGCTTCCGGGCAGCACGATGAACGAGCCATTCAGTTTCACTCATGCTGCCGCGCCATTGATCCTGATGGTTTGTCCACTCAGCCACTTCGTACCATCGCTTGCGAGCATGGCAACAAAGTCAGCAATGTCATTTGGATCACCGATCTTGCCGAACGGGTTGAGACTTTTGATGTGGTTGAGCACGGCCTCGGGCTTGTCCTTGAGAAAAAGGTCGGTCGCCGTCGGTCCGGGCGCGAAGGCGTTTACCGTTATGCCTTTGCTGGCGAGGTCTTTGGCGAGAACGCGCACGGTTTGCTCGATTGCGCCTTTGGAAGCCATGTACGGAAGGTAGCCCGGAGTAAAGTTGGTGGCTGCCGTCAGTGTCGTGGAGACGAACAGGATTTTGGATCCTGCACGCATGTGCGGAACGGCTTTCTGACGACCGGTCAGTGATTTCCTTATGTCGTCCCAAAGACTGTGCAAGGTACCTGAGCGAGGAAGATGGGCCCCTTCGTGTTTACGTCCATCACTCGCTGGTAGCTCTCCTCTGTCAAGTGCTCCAAATCGATCATGGGCATCGTTCCCGCGTTGGGAATCAAGACGTCGATCTGTTTAAATTTCTCAACCGTAGCTTTCACAAGCCTTTCGAGGTCCGAAACTTTTGACGCATCGCCTTGAACGGCCAATACCTTGTCTGCTCCTAGCTCCTGGACGAGCTTCTCTGCCGCTGCGGAGTCAGCGCTGTAGCTGACGACCACAGCGGCACCCTCTTTGACAAACTTGGCGGCGATGGCTGCGCCAATGCCCTTCGTGCCGCCGGTTATGAGCGCAACCTTTCCTGCGAGAGACATGTTTCGTGGTGTGAGCAGATATGTTACACTGTGTCCGAGTGTGCAAGCGTGGTCTTAAGGGAAACGAGAAAAAGCTACGCACGTAATTCTTTGAAAACGTTCCAAAGCCTTCGCTGTCTGTTCTGTTCATTTAAAGCGTTCTGCCTCGTGTTTGAACCGGAATTTATCAGTTCGTTGAACTTATGTCCTGGACGGACATTACACATCGTACAACGTCACCATAATTCGCGCGTGCGGAAGCAGCCCGCTGGCATTGAATCGCATCAGCGAAGGAGATCGAAGAGCCTCTCTCAAGTGAGCAGCTTTGCCTCCCCGGGCTTTTTTGTCATCAGAGCCTTGGAGCGGACGAGGTCGGTCCCTCCGTCGGCATTTTGCCAGTCTTAACCCCGAATCCGAAGTTCGGCAGGCAGTTCGAATGTACGCCTCGACACGCCACATGACTTCGAGGAATCATACGCATGTCGATTGGATTGACTACGGTAAGAAGAGATAGGATAGCGTGTAAGATATCATACTCAAAAAGAAAAAAAAAAAGGAAAAAGCGATAGCGACCCTTGTTCAGGTACCCGACGCATTTGGATGCTGTTGACAGCACCTTGATCTTACGCCAGCTGCCACTCGACCCAATCCACGACTGTGACGCCTTCATGCTTGAGTTGGTTCTCAACATCCCTCTCAATCTCAAGCGCTGTCCTAGTCTTTGTGTCGTACGTCGAATGCGCGCCGGAAAGCAAGGTGACGTTGAACCCAGCCCGTCGTGCTCCCCTGCATGTCTCGAGCACGCAAAACTCGCTTTGAATGCCAAAGGCTACGATATTCTTGACTCCCTTGGTCCTCAGCTCTGCGGCAAGTCCGGGGTTCGACTCAAACGTGTCACCTGACCATGCATTATCAATCACAGATGAAATGGCTCATGATGAAGACGGTCATGTCGTACTTGTGGTTTTGGAGACAAGTTGCTCGCAAGCGTTCGTTGCCGACGGAGGGAATACCAACTCCCACGGCTTGGTTCCTTTGTTCAAGAGACCCTTGTCCGGACTTTCCTCGTGTTGAACAAAGGCGAGCGTGATCGATGGGATCTTGTCCTTTTCCACGGCGTCTCTGATGACACTCCGACTGTTTTTGAGGAGTGTCGCTGCTGCGTCGCGGATCCGTTGTGCGTCGGGGATTTCGGTGTCGGCGCAGCCCGCCAGATCATTCTGAATGTCAATCACAAAAAGCGCCGTCTCTGTCATTCTGGCGGATCGTTTCTAACTTAGCAAACGAGACGCTGACGGATCGGTAGGTTCGAAGTCGGCAAAGAGAACGTTGCAACGCCTCGTATTCTCCCCACCCAGTCTACGTCAAAATGCTTTGCGCAACGTGTTGATCCCGGCTTGCTCTCCCCAAGGTACTTTCTAGGAGCCTACAATCGCGTTGGGGGAATGGAGCGTGCTTCATGGTGGACGTATCGACCCATGAGATTTTCTTCTTCGCTTATTTATTTGTTTATTTTCAAACGGAAACTCAATTTAGTAAAAATTAGTACTCATTGCATTACACAGAGAGCAAAAAGAAAGGAAACGGGCGCTGCTCCAGGAATTCGCTCGCCAACTGCCTCGGGGCAGTGTATGTCGTTCCGCGTATTTTACCAGCTTCTTGGCCAAGCTTTTCCTTTCTGCTGACACTCTGCGGGCGATCCAGCATGATAGTACAAGTACTGCTGCTGTGAGCTTCCATGACGGTGGCCTGCAGCGCTAGAACGGCTGGGGAGGACAACTATTCGCTGATAAGGTCATGGGGTTTGGTGGTGCGGCCCCAGCCTCTTCTGCGTATACTATACCGAGACTTGTGCTTATACGCGTATTGTGTCCTCATCTTGCTAGGATCAGCTCCCAACCGGCTTGGCCGTTCCAGGCCATTGGACGTTGGTTCAGTTCTGCAGCCTCGCAATTCGCGCCCACCGCACTAGCTAGAACGCCTAGCAGGCTGAGCCTGAACTATCACGATGTATATGTACAACGTATACATATATATATGTTTGTGTGAGTATGTGTATATGAAAGACTCGATGCAAAATATTGGATCAACTTCATCCCAATAACGTCTTCTCGTCAAGGTCTCGCTTCAACACCATTCAACACCCTCACCTTTTAACGTTTCGGTCGAAAGTCTTCTTCATTGCAACAATCCTTATTGCTGTCCTGCCCTCCCTCCTCTCTCAAGAAGGACACCCGTAGACTCAAAAAAAGAACATCCATCATCAACATCGTCATGAGCTACCCAGCTAAAAATGCGGACTCTCTCATGGATGCCTACAGCAAGGAAAAAGAAATTGAGGCCGCAGTGCCTTCAAGTCCGATCCCCGCCGACTACGACATCACCCAAGTGCAAGCGTACGACTTAAAGCGGACAAAAGCAGACCTGATTTACAAGGGAGCCTACGATCTTCGCATCCACGGCACAGAAAGGACCGTATGGAGCGTCCAGATCCACATGAACTCGCTCGAGGTCTTTCGTGCAGACGGCCTTCAAATCGGTACAGCGATGTTGAAGTGCTGGTCCGGCAATGTACCGGTTGCGATGCACGACACGAGCTTGGTACCAGAGTTCACCATGACGGGCAAGGGAAATGGCTTCAAAGGCTTCATGGGCGAGCGCAAGAGCTTCGAGGTGCGCGGCGTGAGACTGACCTGGCAACGCGCCGCCAAAGTGAAGTCCAAATTTGAACTGGTCGATGAGTCCGGCCTTGCAATCGCCTGGATCGGCGCGACGAGCTGGAAGGGCCGTTTCCAGCTGCGTATCCTGAAGGCAGGTATGGACCCGGAGATCGTGGAGACGTGCGTGGTGACGGCGTTGGCCGTAGCCGAGCAGGAAAAGCGATTAGTGTGGGCCGTATCGACAAGTTCTGGCGTGGCCACAGTCGCCGTGACATCTGGTGCTGTCTGAGCCATTCAGAGTGGTCCTATCTCTTCTTCGCCATCTGTATTTCTCCGCGTTTCATTTTGTTGATAGATCCTGCACCAGACTGTCTTGCAGAGCATTGATTTTGGTTAGTAACTGCCAATGTTTTAGAACGACAAAGAATAAACTTTTAAGAGGCCCAATTCAAACACGGTTGGGCACTTTTCCTTTCGCCTCACGGGGTTTTAGGGTTGAAATGCACAGTGCCTCTGTGATGATAAGGCGTCGGTCTTAACTTAATGTGGTTGCTATGGTGTCAGTTCACGACAGCTAAGATCTAGTTTCGCCATGCAATGTCATGCCATGCTGATCGGAGACAAGACTGTCTCGATCAGATTGACGCTACCCATGTAGGGGAATGACGGGATGTTGCCGGACATGTCCAAAAGTTTCATCACTTGTTCATCCCCTTTGCACCATCTAATCCATGCATGTCATGGGCGATTGGAGCGTTGTCAGGATTCGTCTCGCGGGCGAGAATGGGTATCATGAACCGTCAATGGCCTCGATCATCTCAGGTCCTTCTTCGTCAAGGACGGACAAACGACTTCTCACGAGTGAAGCCGAGCGTAGGCTTCTCTATGTCATTTGATGCGAGGCCATTTGTACAGGCCGCTTGCAGCAAGATCAGGACCGGAAAAGCGCCAACAGCAACTGTGAAGCTGGGCTTTCGTAGGCGACAAATGTCCAGCCGGCTCGTCCTTTCGTAGGGTCCTTGAATCGACTAGCGAGTTTGTCTTGCCAAGCCGAAGACCATGGCTCAACCTGGTTACGCATGCGAATCGGTTCGAGTATGGGCAACGCTTGGCAGAACGAGAGTCAGCACCCTCTCATCTCGGAGGGATTAAGGATTGTGGGGTCAAGAGATTGGGGCAAGCGTAGCCTCCGCTATCGCAGGCCGGAGGAAAAGGTGGTGGTGATCAACAAGCACTTTATGCCTCGCTCGCAGGGTGCGCACGATGAAAGCGATCCAGCTACCGGCTCGGCGGGAAACATGCGCTCGGCAGCCGGGCAGCCAGATAAACGCGCAAAGGTAGTGCGAAACACGGAAAGACGCTTTGCCTTGGGTGGTGGGCGGTGAAGTTGTGCTGTCCGCTGTCCGGCATTGGCTGCGGGAAGGCGGGCAATAATGAAATGGATCGAAAACGTTTGGATGCTGACAAGATGAACACGTTGCCCTCCAGCGGCGCGACCGTGTTTCGCCGACTCCACCATCGGTGTTGCAGAGGCCGGTTGCGCGTACAGGGCACATCAAACACGGTGACGTAGGACCGGTCTTCGCAAGGACGCGCGTGGGCTGCAACGGGCGGAGCAGCATCGAGGACTGGCCCCGAGGCCAGCAAGTACGTGCGGAGCAGCATACGGGCGCGGCGACTGCTGTAAGACAGAGTCGCTCGTAATCTATTTTTTCCTCTCCGCCGGCCTTCCTTCAAACCAGTGCTCGTGACAGACTGAAGCCGGGTCAGCCAAGCCCTGCAGCCTGAGCTAAATCGGGGCCGCGTGTGTGTGTCTCTCCTATCGAGGCGGAGAGAGCAACAGACGAGAGCTCCGCGCAGGGAGCATGCGCAGATCTGCCGCTGCGACAAGGGCAGCCCAGTTGCCCATCCATCAGGCTTTGGCTTTGCGTGGCGCGCATCGAGGCTGCCAGCGAGGCCTAAAACAAGCCCAAAAATTCGAAACCGAGATTCCCTCCCGTTCCCTTCTCGACGAACTTGCCCATGACCCGCTGAACGGAGCGCGACGGCAGCGGGCTCAACCTCGACTCCTTTCGCAACGGAACCTGGCTTCGGCGCGAACAGCGAGCGTCTTGCCTGGGCCCTCGGTGTGTTTGCCTTCTTCACCGGCATCTTCGTCGTGGAAATGCACCGTCTCCTTTGCCATCGCCCACCTTTGGCTTGCGGAGTGGAGAAGCGCCCTTGTGCGATTTGCCGTGATGACACGTGCATAGATACAGCCCTTGGTCTGGGGAGAGACGAACCAGTCCGTCCTTTGATCGCGAGGTGGGCTCTTGCAGGGGCATCGTGGACGAATGCAGTGTCACGGAGTACAGAGCAAGTATTGCACGTCGATGCACGTCCGCTGGGGTGGGAAAGGTGAGTGGTGGGGGAAAGCTTAGATGAGTGAGGCTACGCGCAACTGTCAACGCCGTGGCCCGGCTTCTATCCGGACTTTCCAGACCGCCATGTATGCGGGCCCCGTTCTACTGCTGGCTGCATCGCCGATGTTTATTTATGTCGGCTTCTGATGGGTGCGAGGGAGAAGGCAAGGCCGTCAGCATGTGCTGCAACCCAATTTCAAGCTTATGCCTAGTGACGGGAGTTCAGCCAGAGAGTGCGGTGCAGAGACAGGCAAAGCCGGAGCCACGCCATGGATGACGACGATGAGTATGATGGCGGAGTCGTAAGGGACTGTGCTCGCACAGCAGGCATTCGGCACGGGCTGGAGGAATAACAGAGCACAGTGGCAGGCAGATGGCAAAGTCGAAGAGTGGAGAGGCGGGAAAAAGGCATGGATGGGGGTGATGACGAGGACGACAGCATTTCCGGGGGGGCGTTTGTTGGTTGTTTTTCCTTGTGCGCGGAGCAGCAGCAGCAGCAGCAGCAGCAGGAATAGAGTAAGTAGTACTGCCGGCCCGCAAGCAGGGCTTTTGTCCCACGCGTGGACACATTCCATACACGCAAAACCAAACGTTTCGGCGATGAGCTGGGGCATGAGAAAGCTCCGCGACGTCCCCGTTCAGCTCAGGTGCGAAAAGTTTGGGAGCGTGTTGTGGAGATTGAGATACAACGGCCAACGGGGAACCTTCTCCAGGACACACAGTGAATGACGCGGATGAAGTCGTTCAGAGCTGGGCCGGACACGACGAGCACGAAGTCATCGCATTGTTCTGGTGGCCAGCAGCTGTGCAGCGTTCCCCATTCAGACCGTTCAGGTTACGCAGTCCGTGACGAAATTGCAGCGACGACGCCGAGTGGGCCGCGTGCTGAGGCAGGCCAGAGTCGGGCGTGGCGCTGGGCCCAAAAGAGAGTTTTATTCTAAAATCAGCGTCGACCATGCACCGCCCAACCTTCTTCCACAGTTCTGCGATGGTGCCATGGCGGCCATGGGGCCCATGGGATGGCCGTCTAGCGTGCGCCTTTGCCGCTTCGCCAGCTTTGCTAGCGTGTTGTGAGAGGCTCCAGCCGGATGCTGAACACGCACACAGCATCGGGCACTGCCCACAGCACTGGTGCTTGTAGCGCGACCGTGGTTGGTCCTTCGCCTGCAATCAAAATCCCTCCCTCCCGTTCGCCGCGCCCGTTCTGCTCGAGAAACTTATCTTCGTCTTGTCCGCCGAGAAACGTCGCCTTTCTCTGCAACACGCTCACCTTCGTCGAGAGCACGATCCCCTGTGCTGCCCATTCTCTCTCTGCTCGTTCCCTTGTCTACATCAAACACCACCCGCCTGGCCTTTAGACCAAGACCATCTTGCTCTGCCGGGCTGGAAGTCGGCGTCCTAGCCTGGAACAGCGAGCCACCAGCACGGTGTACGCGGGTCAATGCCAAGTCTGCGCCATAGTCCGCCCAAGCCTTCCCTAGTATACGCTGGCCTTACACATTAACAACACCACGCAATCCGCACCCCCTAACCGCAATCCTCTGTTCAAGGGGCTTTTTTTTTCTGTCGAGCTTTTTTTTTTTTTTGTTTGACTCTCTCTGTTTGCCAGTCTGTCTTCTTTCGCGGCAGTCGCCTTGACCACTGCGTCAAACCGTGCTTTTCACGGGCCCTCTCCCTCTTATCAGTCCCTCCCTCCCTCCACGCCCGCTCCGTTCTCATCCACGATCGCTCCTCAGTGGCCGCGAACGTCCGCCGTCCGTCCGCCGTCTTCAGCCTGAAGTGTACAGCGCCGTGCCCAGCGCGCGCCCTCACACGAGATGCTCACTTTCAAGCGAGCCGTCGTTCTCGCGGCCGTCGCGCTGAGCCTCCTTTTCCTCATGCGAAGCTTCCATCGCGAGGAGGAGCCCAACGCGGACCTGCTCCTTCCACATCCAGTGCGCATGAACACGCACCTGGAAGACAGCTTCCCTCGGGAGAAGCCTGCCGAGGCCGATGCCGCCGCGTCCAAGGAAAGCGCGATTCTGCAGGATTCACCGCCGCCTCCGCCTCGGAAGCCGAAGCCCGCACAGATCCCGCTTGAGGACCTGCGCAGCCGCCCGCTACGGCAGCAGCTCGAGTATCTCTTTCCCTATGACCCGACGTCCAAATTCCCAGCCTACATCTGGCAGACGTGGAAGACCAGCCCGACCTCGCAGGACTTCGACCAGGCCTTCCGTGAACCGGAGGCGAGCTGGACCCAGCTTCACCCTACCTTCGTCCATGAGGTCATCACCGACAACGTTGCCGTCCATCTTCTGCGCCATCTGTACGCCTCCGTTCCAGAGGTGCTGGACGCGTACCAGGCTCTGCCGCTCGCCGTTCAAAAGGCCGACTTCTTCAGGTATCTGATCCTGTTGGCTCGAGGAGGAATCTACTCGGATATCGACACGGCCGCTCTCAAGCCGGCCATGGACTGGGTGCCCTCCGAGGTGCCCCGGTCGTCCTATGGCATGGTCATTGGCATCGAGGCTGACCCGGATCGCCCGGACTGGTCGGACTGGTACTCGCGCCGCATACAGTTCTGCCAGTGGACCATACAGTCTAAGCCCGGCCATCCGATCCTAACCGACATCGTCGCCAACATCACCCAGGAAACGCTCTTGCGTAAGCGCGAGGGTCGCCTCTCCGACCGTCACGAAGACATTGTTGAGTTCACGGGCCCCGCCCTGTGGACCGATACAATCTTCCGCTTCTTTAACGACCCTGACTACTTCGACATGTCCACCAGCAAGGGCAATATCACCTGGGAGCATTTTACGGGCATGACCTCAGCCAAAAAGGTTGGCGATGTTGTCGTCCTCCCCATCACGAGCTTCTCGCCGGGCATCAAGACCATGGGAGCCGGCGAGGACGACGATCCCATGGCTTTTGTGAAGCATGGCTTCGAAGGTATGTGCCATTCATTTCTCCTTCAAACCGCAAATATCTCTCTGCGTCCTTTCGATACCTTTGGTTTATTTTGCTAATCAATCTGTGCAGGCACCTGGAAACCTGAGCATCTCCGTCACATTGGAGAAACCGATGGTTGACGGCGTGTTTTTTCTCCCGCCACGATAATGATTTCTTTTGATTTTCATAAAAATCCTTGTCTTAAACGGCATTGAGGGATTCATAAAATTTTCCGAAGAATGCGTTTCACATCCTCAAACGCACTGCGGACTTTCATCTCGGAACTGTGCGAAACCACACGGAACGCACGACACACTGAGCAGCAAAATTCGCGAGCTGAATCACGGGGATACCCTAACGGCCGAATATCTTTTCGTCACGAAACGTGGGACCCATATCTGAATTTTTGACGCACACTGCGACGTTCTCATCTTTGAATCTCCCTAGAGGACGGGCGTGAACACATCTGTGACAACGTCCTATCTTGACACATCTAGATTTAATTTGCTGACATTTTTCTGGTGATTGGGCAAGCATAGAGGAACATGGCGTTATGATCGGTGACTTCATTTGTTGCGGTTGTATGGCGCCCAGGTGAAATCATCTCAAAACTTGAGGTCGCACGTGTTTGTCGGGTCTACATCTTATGATGGAGAATGCGATGTCCGAGCCAAAAAAAAAAAATATTGGCTGAAGCTGGCAATGCTTGCATTTTCTGAAAGAGTGTTTGCCTGCGATCGCCGTCGCGACTTCATCCGCTTTCCTGTTCTCATTTTTTTTTTCTTGACTGTTTACAACTGGGAGGCATTAAACGTTCAAGTGCTGAACTGCGTCCGGGTTTTTCAATCCTGTATACTTGTGAGACTCATCATTTGATGGAATGGAGCATTGGGACACCAAAATTGCTTTGTTATCTCTGCCAGCGCATCATCGGCCCTGGCTTTGGGATTTTGATTGCATATCCTTTATTTTCCAGCCACCGCTTTCGTTCACACAAAGTAGAATCTCACACGGACGGAACGGCATAGGCTTCACTCTATCTACTGTATCTTTGAGTATCCGTACAACAAGCTCAAGTTCGTTCGATTTTTTCATTTTTTTTATCAACCTCGGACTGGGCTACGTTTAGGAGGGAAAGAAATGTTGTACATATCCGCATCCAATTTTATTCCTTCGAGAATAAACGGCCTGGTAGAGGATATGCAACTTCTGGTTCCAATGCGTCCCGCTTTTGTTTTCACCATTCCCTACTGAGAATGCGCTTTCTGCGCTCCTTTTGTCTTCATGTTGGTTCCTCTTCGCCGTCGCGATGCTTATGCTTGAAGTAGCACGGCTTTCTATGGTTCCCTCAACGATGTGCTTGCACGTGCGGAGCCTTCTCTTCCACCGTCTAAGTTAATGAATATCATTCTGCTTTTCCATCCTATCTTTCATCTGAAACCCCCCTGCGTCTCCCCTTCGCGCCAGGCCAAGGAGACCCAGCATGAATGAGAGGACGAATGTGTACCACTGTTTCTCTTCTGTGTGATCTGTCCAAAGACGACTACTTTCTCTCACACACAAGCGATTCGTACGTCAGCAACGCGACACGTCGCCCGTTGCTCGCCTGCTGCATTTTGCCTCCACGATAAGCTCACGTGCTTTTCACCTGGGGCGTCTTCGGATCACACCCATCAACCGGTGGCTTCTGATGACGCAGGACGATTCCGATCGTCAATGGGGGTTGGTCCTGTCGCGGCGATCCAAAGGCATGGCCTGTGGGAGTGACGGGCTGCCTGCCGATCATGATTTAGGCTTGGCGATGGTGGCTCCCGCACGCGAAGGCTGTTCCTGGGTTCTTGCGTGGGATTGTTCTCGCTAACAAAAAGGCTGGGAAGCGACGACGAGCGGCCGTCATGACGTGCGGCAATCATCCTTCGCTTGCGGGCCAAAAGGGCCGCCGGTTACAAGAGGCTATTCGTTTCTCTGTGACGCCGTGGGTTCGGTAAGGGACTGAGCGTGTGCAACCGCTTATGCTACCTTTGGGTCTGTGGAGCTTCAGAAGCTATCACAGTGATAGCTGGCTGTTTGAAAAGGCCCTCCACACCGACAATTGGGCGGTCCAAGGAACCATGCGTGAATGCGGCCAGGCGTAGACCAGGTAAGGAACCCGACGTGCAACCGTGGTAGACGAAGAACTGGACCACGAGACCGCCTTGTTCTTCAGCGTGAACTTTGTGAGGGCGGTGCGGAATCGCGTCGTCTTCGATAAAGCAGTACGTTCTTTTATCCGCTTCGGATGGCCGATCTATCTGGTGTTGACCATTCTGCCAACCGCCGAGTCGCCGTACAGAGGCGTAATCTTAAGTAGAAAAATACGATGACGAGAGGAGATACTTAAAAAGGCACGTCAAACGATCAGGCTGCAGACGAGGAATGGTCATGAAGCAAGGCAAAATATATTGCTCATGGCAGTCCGCACACGGCTTCAACTAGGGAAGTTCCAAATCACGGTCATGCCCGCTCGACGCCGTGCATTCAGCGATCGCGATCTGCGAAATTTGCCAGGAGCCCTGTGCAAGAGACATACACACAACCATACAAGTATAAATGTCACCGGAATGCCCTGAAATCTACAGCATGTCGACGGCCAAGAAAGCCGAGTGACGCCCGGCGATGCGAAGTCCGTGGAAAGCATGGAAGCCGAAAGGTCGCCCCACCACACAGTCGCACGCTTGATAAAGTCATGGCCAGGCACTGGATGCAAACTTCAGATGGCGAGCGTGTAGGAGAGCAAAAGGGCCGACTCTCCATTGCCTTGGAAGAAGATCGTGCCCACTTGCAGAGGCTTTCGGCATGAGTACCCCAGCCAAGCAGGTTACAGCCGCGAGGCCGTACGCGTGGCCGCACGACCTGTCGCTCGGAAAGGCCACCACGGCTTTGGTCGTGATCGATATGCAACGAGACTGTACCAGACCCCCTTTCCTTCCCTTCCTCCTCCCCTTCCAACACAACCACCACCACCACCCCCGCATCCTCCTCTTCTTCGTTCTCGCAGGGCTCACCCAACGTTCCGGTCTTCGCTGACGTTTGCCCCGCGGGCTTGACCCAGTCTGCGCCCCGGACGGATACTTCGCCGCGCTGGGCTACGACGTCGCGCCCATCCGCGCCGTGATCCCGAGGCTGCGTGCGCTGCTGTGCGCGTGGCGCCGCGCGGGTTGGCGCGTGTATCACACGCGCGAGGGCCACCGGCCCGACCTGTCGACGCTGCCGCAGCGCGAGGCGTTCCGGAGCCGGGTCGGCGGCGCGGAGATCGGGGCGGAGGGCCCGCTGGGACGCTTTCTTGTCAGAGGCGAGCCTGGTCACGACATCGTCTCCGAGCTGTATCCCGTCGCAGGCGAGGCGGTCATAGACAAGCCGATGCGGAGCGCGTTCAGTTGGACGGACTTTGACCTGTTGCTGAGGAACGCCGGCGTGAGGAATCTGGTGGTGAGTTCGCTCTTTGCCCCGAGGGTTGGGCGGCTGCCTAGGCACGGTTTAAGGCAGCAGAGGCTAACAAGCAGGCATATCTGTGGGGTCACAACGGATGTGTGCGTGCTGAGTACGGTAAAGGATGCCGTCGAGCGTGGCTATGATGTGTTGCTACTCGAGGACGGGTGCGCGGCCGCGAGAGGAGATATAAATGACGCAGTCATGCACAGCGTGCAGCTGGAAGGGGGTATAGCAGGCTGCGTGGCCAAAATCGATGACGTGCTTCAAGTGTTAGCACAAGCCTAGAAGAGTTCAACAACAGAAACGATGATTTGTCAAAGATAAATTGCTTCAATTGTGATTTGCCTTGCTACTCTAGCCCCATGGCAAACTGTGCTGAACTACCGGTGGTAGAAGACAACAAAACCCAAAAACGCCAATGTGACACCTGTTGTCTTCGTAGAATTACCTATGCTCAATGCCAACCTCAGTTTCCTCGAGAATCGTCGTCACGACGACGGGGACTGAAAATGACTACAAACATATAGACGAATACATCGTGACTATCCTGCACTGCAATCGCAGCACCATCCCTCCGGAAAGTTTTAGTTCTGTCCTGGCTTGAGGATGGGGAACACGGCTGCTAGCAAGTGGAGGGAAAGCGTTACGCGACAGCGCTTAACCACCGAAGCCGTACAGGGTGCGACCCTGGCGCTTCAGGGCGTAGACAACGTCCAGGGAGGTGACAGTCTTGCGCTTCGCATGCTCAGTATAGGTGACAGCGTCACGGATAACCGACTCGAGGAAGGACTTGAGAACACCGCGTGTCTCTTCATAGATCACTGTTGGTATTGAGGGTCAGCGACGACGTTCATACAAGCAAGAGCTAAGGAGGAAGCCCGACGTACTGGCAGAGATACGCTTGACACCGCCACGGCGAGCGAGACGACGGATGGCAGGCTTGGTGATGCCCTGGATGTTGTCGCGCAAGATCTTGCGGTGGCGTTTAGCACCACCCTTGCCGAGGCCTTTACCGCCTTTGCCGCCTGAGAAGGAAAAAATGTTAGCAGAGTACAGCAACAGGGAAATCCGACAAATGGTCTCTTGACGGAACTTGGAAGAGGGCTTTGTGCAAGATTTCTTTTTTTTTTTGTCGCAGCAGGAGTGACTGCAGGCACAACGCGGGTGCGTATGCGGGTGGCAAGGCTGATTGGAACCCCGACGATACGCGTCGCAAAACAACCCGGCCGGAGTCACGACACCTGTAGACGCAACACAACAAAAAGGGGCGACGGTGACAACCACATGCGACAAACTGACAAACGCTGTATTGCAGCGTGGAATAAAGGGAGTACTTACGTCCAGACATTTTGTATTGGATGGAGAAGGGTGAAAGTGATGGCTGACGCGGGGAAAAGTAGCGTGAAATACGCGATGAAATGGAGCTTGCAGTGGAAAATGGGCAGAAGCGGAAGAAAAAAGTGGTTGAAGAGTTGCAGGTTTGGAGGGCGCGGGCGAGACTCTTATTTCGAGCGGGCGAGGACGGCGGGCAGGCAGGGAGGAATGAACAGGCAGCGCAGCGCAGCGGCCGTTTGGAACGAGTGGGCGAAAGCGACAGAAAAAGCCGCTAGCGTGAATCAAAGGCAAGACGGGAAAACAACAGCAGTCGACTTTCGACCTGCTGGAAAGCAGCAACTTCGAATGCTGATTGTGCACAGCCGCGCTAAACCCGATCGGGCCATCCTTTATTTCGGGCATCTTGTGCCACAGTCACGTGCTTCGCCTTGCGCCAGCCAAACACGGTTAGAACGATCCGCGCCCGCAAACCAGTGCGGAGGAGCGAGTCACTTGTACGGACGGCAACAGCCATTTGTGCCTTGTTTTTGCCTGGGGCATTCCCGTTGCAGAGCATCCGCCGTCGCGTCGTCGCTTCCCCTTCGCGAGGCGGCAGCAGAGCCACGTGAGTCATGCGCGCGACTTGGTCATGTGCGCTTTCGACAGTACGTCAACACAAAGGCTAGGAAGGCGCGAAGTGCGGGCGGTTGCGACCCTCGCGTTCGAATGCTCCTCGACTCTTTCCTGGTTGTGATTTCAGTCCAGCCGGCTGCACCTCCAGTTCCCACCGTCGCCTGAACATGATCGAGCACCCGGCATCTTGTTACGTGCAGTTGAGGTTCATCCTGACAACCCGCCTCGGACTCGACATCCTCGTGTTCATCTCTCTTGCGTTTTATCTGCCGTCGCCTCGACTTCATTTCGTCACTTGCGTTACTCCTGCCGTTACTCCCGATTGGACAACACCTGCTCGAAGAATTTGTATCGGCAGTCCCATTGTCGCGAGCCGAATGCGGGCGGGCTGAGGACACCGTTACGAACAAAGACAAACATCGGTCGTGACGTCTCTGCGTTTACACGAGCCTACTGTGTCGAAGTACGAGCGGACTCTCACAATTCTTTCGCTACATTGCCAAAGCATGCTAAACGTGCCACTGAAGCCTCGATAGGTCAATCATCACACAAAATTTCTGTCTTTGATTCATTGGGAAGCGAGCTTGCCTTGCTTTAACCTACAGTGCGCGTTCACGTATGAAGGCTGCTCGTCATTTTGGGGGGCCAAAAGGTGGGAACTCTGCAAGTGCCTTTTCCAATACTTCATTCAATTTCTTTTCAGCTGCCGCAAATTCAGGGTCCTCAGCCATTTTCTTCTCGTAGCTCTCGTTTGTCGACAGCGCCGGATATGGCGTGTCAACGCCTCGCTTGACAGCCGGACGAGCCCAGATTCGCTGCTGCCATCTATGCACGTTTGGCCACCTCTCAAGGGGGCCCCAGCCCACGAAGCAGCTGTTGTTCACGTACGGAAAACAGCCTATGTCAGCGTAAGAGAACTTGCCCCTGCCAGTACCAACAAGATAGTCTCGTCCTTCTAGGGCCTTGTCGAGGACATCCAAGACTTTCAGGCCCTCACGGTGAAACAGTTGCAGCGGAAAACTGTGTTTCTCGGGGAAAAACCTGAAGAAGCGGATGCTGTTTCCGCCAGTAGGCGACATGTCACCCTGCATGAAGTGGATCCATTGCTCTGCTTTCGCAACCTCTGCTGGCTCCGTAAACGAGAATTTGTGTTCTGGATCGTGTTCTCGGACAAGATACTGCAGAATAGCTGTGACAAGCTCGTGAGCACGTATGTCGGGCCTCGGCCACCGAGAAGAGAATGCTACATACCGCCGCTCTCACATACACTAACACCCCCGTTGTCGTGATCAACAATGACTGGGATCTTGCCGCTGGGATTCAGGGCGAGGTACCAAGGCTGTTTCTGAACGCCCTTTGGTAACGCAATGGCCTGGACTGAATAGTCCTTTCCGTACGCTTCCTTAAGCTCTTCTAGCAAGATTGATGCCTTGAAGCCTGCAGTTTGCTTAGTGAACTGAATCGAAATGATGCTTGAGTATGGCGAAATTATATGCACTGTTCATACCGTTGGGAGTTCCCCAGGTCAGCAACTCAATCCCTTTGTCAGCCTTGAGCCCAGTTGACAGAGGCAGCTGCACGGCGAGTGGATGGTGAGCCATTCGTGTGGAATGAGACGTAACAGTAGATCTATAGTTGCTTGACTGAAGAATTGTTGAAAAGCTTTCCACTCTGAAATCCACGCACAGTTGTGTCGAGGTATTTATTTCTGTTCGCAACATCGAGGAATGGGTCGCATTCACAATTAGCAGATGTGGCCAAGGCCTGAGGACAACTTGCCTGCCAATCACAGGGTGCAAACCTCGGATCCGAATTACCAGAGCTTCTGGCTGCCTGAAACGATCGGCTTGCTAGAACTACAGATATGCGAGGAACCCGGGAGACGCCTTCGCAAACTTCAGCCTCGCCGGCACGATAACGAGGAGGCTTGACTGTATTTGTAATCTGAATGAGCCTTCCTGGGCGGTCTATGGCTGGACTGGAGCCTTCTTATTAATGACTAACGTCTCTTCACGACTGCTTGTTTCTCACACCGCTTCAGAATGGCTACTGTAGTACTTCGTCAAAAACCCTTGTCTGCAGTGCTGGGATTAGGGAACAGCCGCGCCTAGGATGTGAAATTCAGAGCCTCGACTGTACCCCATCATTTCCTGTAAACACTACTCTGTCAAAGTACCGACTCACCCAGCCACATTACAATCCGGCAAGTTGGCAGCTTATGCGAAGCGCTCCCCCCCTGCCCTACCGACTTTGCCTGGTCCTCCAGGGCGGTCGTAGCTTGTTCTTAACAAGGGTAGATAAAAGCACATAATACGACAGGCCAAGACGTGAGATACATCACAGAGACATTTTTTTTCTGAGCGTACAATGTGTGTGACTGGCGTCGAGGCTGACAATGAGCTTCTTAGAACTGAGTTACCTGCATTCTTCTAAGGCCTGGAGCTTGAGAACAGCATATATCAATGAGAACCAAGAATAACAGCATCAATCCTAGGACAAACAGCGTGTTGATATGATCGTTTATTCATCCTTATCAAATTGCCAAAACTTGGTCTCTACACTTTCGTGTCAGGCGTGTCATCAGCTCGAATTTTTGCGTTGTCAAGTCTCGCAGCGACCTTGTTCGTCAAGAGCTTTTCGGTGTTGGGCGACAGCAAGCCCAACATTACACCTATCACAGAGAACGCGATTGTGGTCAGCCAGACAACTTGGTACGATTGCGTCAGACCCATGAGATTGGCTTTGATCGCAACCCTTTGAATGGATGGTGTCAGTCCTGGAACTGCCTTCCATGCCGCCGAAGAACCTGTGGAGAGCGCCGAGAGAAGAGGCTTGATACTTGACTTTGGTAATCCAGCACTAGTGACCGCCGGAATGACGTGTGCCGGTACGTACTGTGCCTTTTTGTTCGCAAGAACGACGCTGTAGACTACCTGGCAAATGGCTGCCACCAAAGTTCGAACAGAAGTCGCGGCACCTCCTGCTGCTCCAATCTCACGTTGGTCCTTGAGTGAGAGCAAGGCGTTCGTAAGTGATATGTCAGCTAGGTATCCAATAAGGAAACTTGCGAAGAAAAAGAGGCAGCATGTCAACGCCATGTGGTCCGGAGATTTGATGGCCAAGCCTGTTGAACGTGGTCAAGCAATGCAACGATGAAAGGAGAGGGGGGGCTTACACGCCAGAAGAGCCCCACCGGCTCCAGCGGTAAAAGTAGCTTGGAGCTTTTGATGCCCGAGTGGTTTCGCCAATATGCCGCCAACTACACCACCGAGGATGATACCAGCTCCACCAAGGCAGGCGAGGTATGCTCCCTTCATTACGCTACCGTTGGCGTAGAAGGCAGTGACAAGAGGAGGCCATATGATTGCGCCTGCGTAATACACGCCCGCGGAAATGCCAGACAGCGTGCTTGAGACGACCCAATACCTGTTTTTGAACAGATTGAGCGGAACAAGAGCCTCCTTCAGCGGCGCGAGACACTCCCATAAGACGAAGACGATGAGGGACACACCGCCAATCGTAATGAAGGATATCACCTCTGGTGATCTCCAGGGATACTTTCCTCCGCCCCAACTCATTCCCAACAAGAAGAACACAACTCCGACGGCGTACAGAAAAGTCCCAGCATAGTCAAATTGCTTGATAAATGTTATTCTCTTCTCTCGCATGCCGTGCTTCTGATGGAACGTCGGTGGATGGTAGAAAAAGAAGTAACAAAGCATAGAGGCAGTGTTTACTGCCGTGAGCAGGTAGAAAACAGACCGCCATGTTCCCGCGGATCGAGTAATGGATGCTGAAATTGCCGGGGCGAAGATGCTTCCTGGAATCTGGAACACATTCAGGATGGCCACGTTGGCATATCGGTACTTTGCTGGCATGAGTTCCGCTAGGGCATAGTAGCACGAAAGCTGGGTAGAAGCAGCAAGAGCTTTGATCATGGCACCACCGATCAGCATGTCCACGTTGACAGCCAAAGCAGAGATGAGAGTCCCAGCCATGGCCATGAACGCGCCGCAGATGAAGAACCAGCGGCGGCCAAACAGATCGCCGAGCCTTCCGATGATTGTCTGTCAAGTGGCGGTTAGAAAGGTCATTGCGTGCGCCATTAGGAAGCCGGCAAGTCGCTTTTTTGGATGCAACTTACCATGCCCACAGTCAACCCGACTGGATGTACAAGGGCCACCCACTGGACATTAGGATCGGGTCCTAGGTCGGCGTTGATGGTGGAGAGCAAAGGCGCAGCGTAGGCAAAACCTGCATTGCCGGCCCAATACCCCAAACCTATGGCCATGAGAGAGCCAAGAAAGGAAGGGCTAAAGTAATAGCCCTTCGGCATGGTTTCGAGGGAAGCTTGAAAGCCGGCCTCATCGGTCGTGATTCTTCCATCGTCCTTCTCATCGATATTGGGGTCGACAGGCGCAAACTCTGTCATGGTCACATCGTCCTTTTGCGTATTGTTGCTGTTGTTGTTCATGGCTAGGTTGGACTCCAGCTTCTCAGAGGTGTGGTATAAATATTGTTCGGCTCCCAACGTCTTGCGATGTTTTGTGGTGCAGAAACAGTGCAATGATATACATATCTGCCAGTGATGTCGACTTCTCACGCTGGAATATCAAAGTGCATGCTCTCGTGAGCTTTCGCAGGCTAAAAGCCCGCCACCAAGTCTGGGAAAGCCTAGGTTCAGCGTTTGCAGCTGATCGCGAACCATTTTCCGGTCCGCTTGTCACTTTGACAACCCCAATCATCGCCCTCAGGACACAGGTCGAGGGTTCGAAACCGAGCTAACAGAACTTCGCTACGTGACTGTGCAGGCTCTTAGGGCGAAAGCACTTCTGGGGTCTGCAGCCTTGTGCGGAGTCGTCGATGACATTGCGTGTGGGGATGCTCGGATCTCATCTGGCTGCACAGCACTAGGCGATTTCGAGCTTTCGTTTTTGAAGCCAAGTCCAGAGGAGAGCCAAAAGAACATCCGTTCGACTCGTTACACCAATCACGGAAGTGACCTTATGCATTGTCACGCAGTGTGTCCATGGGTTTTCTGCCCATTGATCTGGACATTTTCATTTTCAAACCACCTCCGTGTACGTGGCCCTGTGTCTTGTCATCGCGATGATCAATAGTTCTACGCTCAATTTTTGTTCAACCTTGTCATAGAACATTCAAAGACATATCGTCCAGAGAACTAGTGCTGATCATGGTTTCCGAAACGGATCGATTATCATGCCTGCGGATTGCCACGCGCAAGCACGGCCGTGGGCAGTGGTATGAACCAAAACATGCCGCTCGGAAATCAACTAGTACTACGGAGGTGCAGATGTGCTGCTGAATAGTCGAGCCCCCGCAGACTACTGATCAGCATCGTGAAATATCGTCGTGTCGACCCGTTGTACAGCAGCCAAATTTTCTCGCCCGTTAGCTTAGCGTTTTAACATTGTCCCCTCGAATATTTCTACGCATAAAAATCTGGGACCAAAGCGTTGCAAATATCTGAAATTTGTAGACATACACCGACGTTGATCCAAAGATGCTAGAATATGATAAGCTGTTGTCGGCCAAGGGCAAACATACTCGGCTCCAGGTCGACGAGATAGATGAAGCAACCCCATTGATTGGAGAAAACTTTGAAGGCTACCGAGTGCGCACTCTTCTTTGTCCATTCCCAATCTCCTTCATAGCATTTGTCGAGACTAACTGTTTACAGAGCTGCGGGAATGGACAGGTCGAACCGGAAGAGTCTGCTGCGGAGACGACGGACAGCCCGCAATCAGGGCTAGTGGGCATGATTGTGGTTTTACTTGTCGGTACGCAGGCATCAAGCGAGCGAAGCCAAACGATATCTGAAAGTCATGCACAGGTGTTTTTGTCTCGCAAGCAGACGGCTCGCTAGTCCTCGCAGCCTACAGTAAGGTATCTTCCGAATTTGGTGACTTCGAAAACGGCTCGTGGCTCTTTTCGGCGTACGTTCTCGCCATGTGCGTAACGCAGCCTCTCTACGGCAAGCTGTCAGACATATACGGACGCAAGACCTGCTTGCAGATATCATACATGCTCTTTGCTCTGGGAACGGCGTGCACTGGCCTCGGTCAGAGCATGCGGCAAGTCATTGCTGCAAGGGCAGTTCAAGGAGCCGGTGGCGCTGGCATGGTCTGCATGGTCTCCATTCTCCTCACAGACCTTGTGCCTTTGAACGAGGTTGCGCTCTATCGAAGTTACGTCAATATCGCACAGACCGTCGGACGCAGCTGTGGAGGTGCTGTTGGAGGATATATTGTGGAAACTCTTGGGTGGCGCTGGTAAGCAACACGAGCCAACCTGATGGATCAAATGATGACGTGCAAAGGGCATTCTTGTGCCAGTGTCCGGTGACTTTCATAGCCATAGGCCTCGTAGCTTGGAAACTTCCCGTCTCATCGAAGTCTGGTGGGACGACTGAAGCGGCCGAATCCAAACTTAAGCGCATTGACTGGGTTGGTGCTGTAACTCTCAGTTTGACCATCCTGAGTGCGCTTATTATCGTCGATATGGGGGGCCAGAAATACCCATTTTCTCATCCGATCATCATCAGCGCGATGGTAACTTTTGCAGTTGCTGGCGTTATATTCCTTGTAACGGAGGATCGTTACGCAAAGGAACCAATATTTCCACTGCATTTACTATCACGATACGTCGTTGTCACCTCGTACGCGGTGCTCTTCTTGCAAAATTTTGCACAAACTGCGGTGGGTGATTTGCTCCATGTTTGCTAGTTGTTGCTTACCTCTCGTCCAGTTGATGATGATCATCCCGATTTATTTCCAAGTCACCAAGAAGGCTTCAACCGCTGTTGCAGGCACATATCTCATTCCCGCAGTATTCGGAAATACCATTGGTGGCCTCCTTACAGGATTCTTCATCAAGAGGCGAGTTTCCAAGCGTCCTTACACACTTCTTTTCACTAAAAGGTCCTAGAACGGGTAGATACAAGCTTCCAACTGTTGTTGGAGCTCTTGCATCCGGAATCGCTTTTACATCTCTCTTGATCGTTTGGAGAGGTAACACCACTGTCGCACAATCTCTTCTGATATTTCCTGGGGGATTCGCCACTGGAGTAGCACATTCTGCTGTCTTCATCGGCTTAACGTCAGGAGTAAATCCAGAAGAGGTAGCCATTGCAGGTTCTGGACTTTACTTGAGTGGAAATGTCGGCGCTGTAGCTGGTTCAACTGTGTCCAGCGTAGTCTACCAATGGACACTACAGCGTGGTCTATGGAAAGCTGTTCAAGGATTGCCACACGCTCGAGAGGTACTGTGGAATACCAAATTCGTAGTAAAACAGGTGCTAACATTTCCGAGATTGTACGGAAAGCGATGTCTGACCTGAATTATATTCAAAGGGTCGATGATCTTATGAGGCAGAGATTAGTTCCTGCGTTTGTTCGCGCTGTGCACAACGTGTTTTGTGAGTATCGCATTCCCACGTTTACGACGGCCGCGGCTTACCATATCGCTTGTTAGTCGTTGGTCTGATCTGTGCAGCCATAAGTTTCTGCATTGCCATCATCACACGAGAGCGACGGTTGAAGAATTGAAAAAGCCTGGAATTGAGAAGACTTTCCAGAATCGGAATTACCATGTGAATTCACAAGATAAAGGAGGCAGATACATTTTGTAACATGTTCAAACATGGTGTTTGCTACCATCGAGGCATTGAGTTCATCTATTTTTCCTATTCTGCTTACCAGGTAGACCTCTCTTTGGTAACAAAGGGTTCGAGAAAAGGAAATACTTCAGTTACATTGGATGACCATGAATAGTTTTTAATGTCGCGGATGTGTTTTTCAAAAAGTGGGCTCAATCTGAGCTCGTTTCCAGCCACGCTCAGAAAAATATCCTCCTCTCTATACCACCAGTTCACAGAATGTGTTGCTCCTGTCACGGAGCGAAACAACTCAAACTGTGACCAGTCCATCTCATTTATGAGAACGTCTCTTGCTCCGGGCCTGCAAAGATCAGCCAAAGGTTACGAATTGGGTTTTCTTGAAGCGCTCATACCAAGGCACGAGGTCGATCCAAATAGGGTGTGGAATGCTCAATTGAGCTTCTGTAGGTCGCAAAAACTGAGGCATCGATTCGTACGTTTGCTTCGATGGTAGAACTAGCCACTGTGTACCTTTAGCGCGCTTGCGTTATCAAAGTTGAGTGTTTAACAAAAAAGTCGTACCCTGACATAATTGCACATCAGATACATCAGAGCCACGCGCTCCGCCAGCCTTGGGCACTTCATCGTCATTTTGCCGTGATTCCCGATAGCACTTGAAACTGGTTTCTTCGCGTTTTTGGTCTCCGGGTTCAGCAAGGAGGCCACGCTCGGAAACGTGGGTTCCGACAGCTCTTCTATGTGCGAACTGTTCTGGACGTGCTGTCCGCATGACTTTGTTAAACCAAGCATGACAGCCTCGATTTTGGAGTCAGGAGGGGTATGAATTGGTAGCCGCCTCCATGTCGGCAGGCTCTGCGTCTCCACGGCAGGATCCTTATCAACAAGTTGGATGCTTTCATCCGGCACGGAGCCCAAGACTGGATTGGTGCAGTCCAGCAGGGTGAGCGAGAATGCGTTCGCTGGAGCGTATCCTGGATCTTTGGAACTGCATTAGAAGTGTGACATCTCTTGATGCTGCAGGTACGTACCTGTAGCTTCTTCGTGAAGCGCATTTGGCATCTCGAACCAGCTGTCAAGAGGTAAAGAGAACGAGAATCCCTCCATTTGCTGGGCAACTTCGACATTCTCGAGATCGACCTGGAACGGGTAGATGCTAGTTGGAGAACTGTGCTGACTCTGACCTTCAGCATCAGGTAAAGTCGTCACCGGCGTGATGCTGTACAGATCCTGATTGCTCACCATTGGAGTTCCGTCTTGAACCGCGTTGTTGGACGCCAGAGACGTGGTCTCTGGCGAAGGCTCGGGGTCTCCTTCGTGTACGGCATTTTGCAATGTCGACAAAGCACAGCGCACCGCTTCTTGGAGACTTGCATTTTGTTTCCGCAGCTGCTCGGCAGTTTCTTCCGCAACTCGCAGGCGCTCTTTCAAATCCTTGACCTCTGCCTCCAAGTCTTCAAGCTTTCCCTTTTTCCGCAGCCTGCACTCGTGAGCAATCGAGGTTCGGTTTTGTCATGTTCTTTCATCCACCCTTACCGGGACTGTCTTTGGTTTTCGCGGTCAAACGCGCGCTTTCGATACAATTGTACGGGGTCTAATGCCGCCACGGTTCTGTCTAACATGTCAAATCGACGCTTCTTCGATGTATTCGTGCTTGTGGATCCTGCACCATCAACTACTCTGCGATATTCAGAGTATTTTGTGAAGAGGACATTGTCCAGCCGTATTCCGGGGAACCTTTCCCGGACTCCGCTCTCCACGCGTCCTCATTCGAGCTGGCTAGAATTTACCCCACAATGAACCCCGGGATCCGCTATTTTATGTGGAGTACATCAGGTGTCAGCAAACTAGTTTTAAGTCTACGCGCTACGTGACATTGCATGATCCCCTAGCCTGCCTAGGCTAGCTTTGCTTAGATATTGTGGCCGTCACAGATCAGTTAGTCATTCGAGACCGAGTAATGAATGGCTCGCGGCAACGCTTCTGAAGTTGACAATGGCGCAAAGGGACTCTGGATAAGCTGGCGTATTGCTGAGCTTGGAGCTCCACCAACGGCGGCTTTCTTTAAAAGAATATGTGCTCCAGATTTTCCTTTGGTTCTTCTTTTCAACTCCTTTGTAGTCAATCTCTTTAGAATAAGGCAATTGGGATCTTATTATGCCTCCAAAATTCACCTTTTTAGGGGTCTTTCAGGCCCTTCTCTCGCTTTCGACTGCTGTGAAGGCAGCCACAAAGCCAAATATTCTGTTCATACTCACAGATGATCAGGTACATAAGGAGCGCGAAGAAATTGAAAACTTGACTAACGCATCGCAGGATTGGCACATGCAGTCTATGGTATGCAACGCTAGAATCGCCAGAATGCATTGCTAACATATACTCTCCAAGCAACATATGCCTTTTCTTCAAAAGTATTTGATAAATGAAGGAACGTTGTATGCAAATCATTTCTGCACAGTGGCGCTCTGCTGTCCATCAAGGGCCAACCTGTGGACCGGTCGAGCAGCGCACAACACGAATGTAACCGACGTATGGCCTCCATATGGTAAGCGGTCAACTCCATTTCAACGGTTCAGTCTGATATATGCAAGGCGGATTCCCCAAGGTTGTCCAGGAAGGCATCAATGACAACTACTTGCCTGTTTGGATGCAGAATGCAGGATATAACACATACTATAGTGGGAAACTTTGGAACGGCCATACAGTCGATAACTACAATTCCCCAATGGCAGGTGGGTATAACGGATCAGAGTTCATTCTGGACCCAACTACTTATGAATACTATAACGCGAAGATGTCACGAAATGGTGCCCCGCCTGTTAGCTACAAAGGGCAGTACTCTCCGGACGTGACAGCGGAAAAGGCATATGGATTCCTTGAGGAGGCAACCTCTCACCCAGAGCCATGGTTCCTGACGGTGGCGCCCATTGCTCCTCATGGAAACATCGTCCTAGGTGGTGACGATGGCGAGGCGCTGGTGACTACCGACGCACCAAAGTACGCCCCACGGCATGCACATCTCTTCAAGGATTATATAATCCCAAGAGACGCAAATTTCAACCCAGAAAAGGTATGTACAGTTGGCTGTTTGACAATGTCCACGTTCTCTAATGCAAATTATAGCAAGGTGGAGTCGCATGGATCAAGAATCTTCAACGTCTCAATGACACTGTGATCGCTTACAACGACGAGTATCAGCGAGCCCGCCTACGTGCTCTTCAGTCAGTAGACGAGATGGTTGAGAAATTGGTGAAAATGCTCGAAGCGAAGAATCTTCTGGACAACACGTACATCTTTTACACCACGGACAACGGCTACCACATTTCACAGCACCGTGAGTTTTAATTTATGTTATAGGCGGCTATGTATGCTGACTTTTGGTGAGGCATGCATCCAGGCAAAGAATGTGGATTCGACACAGATATCCATATCCCACTCATCATCCGTGGGCCTGGTGTCGCCCCTGGCCGGGTGACAAACACGGTTACCTCACATACCGACCTCGCACCAACGATCATGAGACTTGCCGGCGAGTCGAGGGACGATTTTGACGGCGTTGCCGTGCCACTCGGCGACGACGAGACGATGCCGGGCAAGGAGTTCGAGAGACACGAGCACATCAACGTCGAATATTGGGGCATGGCTATTCCGGAAGGCATATATCGCGATTACGGAGAAGGTGGACAATCACACGGATCCCTGAATGCAGCACGAAACAACACATACAAAGCCTTGCGTATCATTGGCGAAGATTACAGCCTCTACTACGCAGTCTGGTGTACCGGAGACAAGGAATATTACGACGTAAAGGTAAGGAAATCTGCATAAACTGCACGAAACAAAAACGTTAATAGAAAGGTAGCTTGACCCTGGCCAATTGGACAATTTCTATGACGACGAAGATGGAAAAGCAGGCTACCATATAGCAGGGCGATCTTTCAAGCACATTGTAAATCGACTTGACGCCTTGTTGATGGTGCTCAAGTCCTGCAAAGCCAAGGAGTGTCAGGAGCCGTGGAGCGTCCTTCATCCTCATGGACGTGTAAAGACACTAAAGGACGCACTAGCATCTGACTTTGACACCTTTTACCACGAGCAGCCAAAGGTTTCTTTTGATTCATGCGAGCTTGGTTACATCAGGGAACATGAAGGGCCACAGCAACCGAACATATACGGTGAAGACGCATACGCGCCAGTCGCGCCAGTCAAGTCGCACTTGGAGCTCAGGCAGCAAGGTTCATTCAAGTACGCTGGAGCCTGGTCAATCTGGACTTAGACTCAGATCGACGAACAAGAAAACTCGCGGCTTCAAACACGGGTTGGTATGATGTGCTTCAGTACACGCTTGACACATAAAACCAGGTGGGAAAGAGCCTGATTGAAGATCTCTGATCTATGAGAAAGTGGGGAAAGGGCTCATTGCACTAGCAGCGGTCTGAGAATCTTGTTTCCAAAATGTACTGTACTAGCCATTGGAAGGGATGGAACAGACAAGTCGACAGTTATAGCAGCCGTTGGCACTTCTACATGACCCGCCTTCGCACGAAACTAAATACTAGGTTCCGTGTTAGGCTTGATTTGACTGAGCTAGGCAGCATGAGGCCTCTATATCGGAGAGTAGTCAAGGTTTTCTCGTGCCTCCTTTTACATTCTTATTTCTTTTATTTTGTGATGAATTTCAAGATGCTCATGTGTCGTCACAGGCCGCCGAAACAGGATTTTATTCCAAGAACGCGTTAGATGTGATGGCTTTTTCTGAAATTCCTTTTAAAGTTCGAAAGTGAGCTTTAGACTATGCAGCCTTGCGGAGTAGAAGTAGAGGGAGAGGAGGATGGGTAATGATGGCACAGTCGAGTAAAGGGATAGCATAAAAAGTAGACGATGTTCGTGCGTTCTGCCTTCTGCGCGGTGAAGCCGTTCAAGATGCGGTTCAAATATGAGAAACACTGAAAAGAATTGCGAACGCCTATAGTCCTGCTTGCCTGTCCCTATAGAGTACCGCGATGTTCAGATCGCATACATGATGATTATCATCGTAAAAACCATTAAGAGGCATGTTCTTCTTGCTCTTCAAATTCTACCAACGCCGTTCCAGCCTTGCACATGTCACCAGCATTATGAACAACCCTTCTCACCACGCCATCTACGGGGCTTCTAATGACCGTCTCCATCTTCATGCTCTCGATAACCACAAGCGGCTGGTCCTTCTTGACCGAATCACCCGGCTTCACATCTACGCGGAGTACTTTACATGGCATGGGTGCCAAAACGCTGTTCGCAACATCGCGCACGCCGAGAGCTTTTTGCATCCACGGTGCAGGAGAGAGCTTTAGGCGTATTTGCGCGCCCAAGTGGAATAGCGTGACAGTGTCGTCGGAGCGGATGAGCGTGGTAGAAATGCGGGTGTGCGGGAATGAACTGCTGAATTTAGTCGCATTGCCGGTTACCGTGACCGAATCAAACGTCTTGTTGTTGATCTTGACGCTGAAAACTCGGGAAGTGCCCGCTGCGGGTGATGGCTTCTCCGTGATTTCTACAGTGGTGGACTGCGGGGCGCCTTTACCATCTGACGCAAGCTCCGTGAGATGGAAAGCTCGGCTTTGGAAGGTTGGTCCGAGGAGTGAGTTTGTCATTGATGCGTTTTGTACTGACGTCTCTTCAAACAACAGCCCGATGGCAGCTTGGGCCCATGCTTCTTCCGGCACCGGTTTACGTTCGAACAGCTCCTCCTTGTACTTTTGTATGTAGCCGGTCTCGACATCGCCAGCTACAAAAGCGGGCGACACACAACAACGCTTCAAGAACTCGATGTTGGTAACGGGTCCGGCGATCTCGTACGACTCAAGCGCGGCACGCATTTTCTGCAGCGCAGCTTCTCTTGTTGGCCCTCTAACAATGAGTTTAGCGATCATAGGATCGTAATGTGAAGACACTTCGTCACCAGCGACGAAACCAGCGTCGATTCGAACATCTGCATTGGTAGCGGGAAGCTTCATATGCAACAATTTTCCAGAGTCAGGCATGAAGTTCATATCAGGATTTTCGGCGTAGATCCTCGCCTCTATGGCGTGACCCCTTTCTTTGATTCGATCATGTATTTGTTCCTGTGTAAGCGGCAGTTCACCACCTTCAGCCACTATGAACTGCCACCTTACAAGGTCTTCACCCGTGACCATTTCAGTGACGGGGTGCTCGACTTGGAGCCGTGTGTTCATCTCCATGAAGAAAAATTCGTTGGTGTCGTTGTCGAAGATGAATTCAACAGTACCTGCACCCTCGTAGCCAACGGCAAGAGCGGCTGCGCGAGCCTTCTCCCAAAGGTCCTGGCGAATGTCCTCCTGAAGATGAGGCGCAGGTGACTCTTCGAGGATCTTCTGGTGCCGGCGCTGAATGCTGCAGTCTCGTTCACCCAAAGCGACACAGTTACCGTGCTTGTCTGCAAAGACCTGGACTTCGATGTGCCGAGGCTTGGTGATGTATTTTTCTACAAGCATGACTTCGTCGCCAAACGAGTTCCTGGCCTCGGACTTGGCACTTGCCAGCTGGTCCATGAATTCCGCTGGTGTCTGCACGATGCGCATACCTTTGCCTCCACCTCCCTTCACTGCCTTCAAAAGCACGGGATAGCCAATATTTGCCGCCTGCTGCTTGAGATACTCGGGGTCTTGATTCTCCCCATGGTAACCTGGTATGCAAGGTACACCAGCTGCGTTCATGATGTCCTTGCTTCTGCTCTTGCTGCCCATGGCCTCGATTGCTTCCCACGGTGGCCCGATGAAGGTCAAGCCAGCCTCTGTACATTTCCGCGCAAACGACGGATTCTCCGACAAGAAACCGTAGCCCGGGTGAATTGCCTGGCAGCCTTGCTCTTTGGCGACCTGGATGATACGATCTCCATCTAGATAAGCGGATGGTTCGCCCAGATTCACCGTGAAGGGCGAGCTCAAAGCATGTTGCGAATTGGCGTCCGGATTCGTATAGATAGTGGTTGTGCGGATGCCATAGTCCGCCGCTGTCCTGTTCACTCTCAGGGCAATCTCTCCTCTATTGGCAATGAGAATAGACGAGAGGGACTTTGTCTCGCCAGCCTTGGGCACGGTGGAGAGCTTTCTGAAGGAAGCGGGGAAGGCGCGGAGAGAGCGGGGAAGGCGAGGACCTCGACGTAGCATCATCGTCGCGGCGGCAAAAGAGGCAATTGCGAAAACTTTTGGGGGAAGCAGCTACATGACCGTCAAGGAAAGCGCGCTGTTCATAAGCAATTGAGGTCAGGGCAGGTGCGGCTACCGTCGGCACGCGCAGAAGGAGCCTCCACAATATGGGGTAGCTGCGTGGATGCCTAAACGCCCGAAAGATAAGGCAACAACGCAAAGGCTGATCATATGGGCAAACACGTGATCGTGATCTGGATGGTTGTTCACGGCCTTTCTCATGACGAGTTTGTAACCCATGGCAATATACGCCAAAGACTCAGTCCCTGCCATGTCAAGGGTTCAAGCTCACAGACGAGCGAAGAGCAGAGGTCAAATTCAGCATAAGACCTGTTTAGGTTGGCTTCGATGTGCCGGGCGAAGGATCCAGATGCGCAGCTGGCCGGACCTTGGCGGCCAGTGCCTACTGCCCTCCTCGTGAATCCTTTGCGCTTGCGGTTGAAATCCCTAGACTGGAGTCGTGAACCATGTAATTCTTGCCCGAAGCTTGGGTGCAAACCAACCTAGACTTCACCTTGTCTCTCTTGCATGTCTTCCCTTTGCAGGGAACGAATGTCCTGTCGTCCACTGTGCAACGTTGCCGTCTTTCCTCCCGGTCGTTACTTTGCTGCAACTTAGACGGCCAATCATTTGGACGCGTCAGTATAGATGCGTACGTAAATCTGATACGCCCAAGCCAAGCCAGCCCCGTCGACGACAGCTGTACAGTGTTTTGCGTTTTGGATAAACTCATTATCAGGAACCATTGTATGCGCAGTCGGACTGGGGGATCTGCAAACGCTTAGCACACTTGGTCTCGGGACCCTGCAACGCTTCTCCGAGACGTATCCAGACTTTTTCACTCTTCCATGAGCGATTCACCATGTCATACGAAGACTTGGACGACCTTCTCGGCGAAGAAACATTTGACTATGTCGAGGACACATATATCGAGGCCGACGACCTCGCCGAACATGTCGTGCCGTCGCCACCGCCTACAAATGATGACGACGATTTTGACGCAGACTTGTGGCAGTACGACTACTGGATGGACATTGACTACGCCTCGGATGGCGACGAGATACGGCAGCGGCAGCACGACTCAAGGGCGATGAGAGCAAAGAAGCGGAAGCGGGCCGAGCAGCAACGAAATGCAAAAGCGCCGACACCGAGCAAGAGGCGGAAAGTGCTTGCGGTGCGGTCGACCGGCAGAGTACAGCCTTTGGATGAGCTTGCACCCGTGGTGATGATCAAGCGAGCGGTTGAGCAGAGATACGAGCCTCAGGAAATGCGCGTCGTCGACACGAAACCACTGCCATCCGAGGCTTTGTTTAAAGATTGGCGCGAGACATTTCAGAACACCCCCATGTGGACATCGAAGAGGCCGGCGGTCGAGTTGGAAGAGGTGCATGACGCTCCTGACGACGACGAGGAAGACTCTGAGGAAGGCGATGACGATGATAATATAGAGGAGGCTCGTGCATTGCTTGAATGTGCAAGGAGGACTGGAGAGCATGAGAGCGACGAGTCGGCGTGGGATGACGAAGATGAGGATGATGAGGATGACGTAAAAGATCAAAATGGGTTGATGGAGCTCGATCCGGATGCACTCAAGATGGCGATCAAGAAGAATCTCGCGGCAGCAGGCATCAACACTAACGGAATTGACGAACAAACGCTTACGGGTATGGCGATGAAGCTGTTTGCAGGTGCGGGTGGGAGAGGAGAGACCAACGAGGACATCTTGGATGTTTTCACAGATCAAATTCTTGGCGGAGGAGGGAAAAAGGGCCAGGCTGACTCTGGAGTGGAACAGCTCCGTGAAAAGGAAGAGGCGGAGGAGGGCGAGGGCGAGAATGGGTTTGTAGGATGGGTGCAAAGGCAGGCCAAGGAGAAGGCTGCGCAGAGGGAGCAGACACAAGAGAAACACGGCGACGCGCCCGATCTCCCAACTCCTGAATCCAGCTACGGAAAGCCGTCTACCTCGCCCCCAGAAAAAGTTGGGCCAACCGAAGAATCAGCAGATGCAGCGCAGAGAGTGGTGCAGACGAGAGAAACGCGAGGCACAAAGCGCAAGGCTGACGGCACAGGGCCAGCACCGGAAGCAAGAACAGCGACGAGACGAAGATTTGACGCACCCACGGCGTCAAGTAGGGCGAAAGCAACGGCTACCGCAACAAGTTCTGGCGCTGATGCGGCTGCCAGACGAAGCCGAAAGGGATGAATGGATGGTGGGTTGGGAAAGATTCAGCAGGATTGAATCAAAGGCGAACCCGTACTTTGCAATCCCACTTGGAAACACGGGAGACTCGAACATTCGTCAAGCAAGTTTCCGCATCACATACACTTTTGTCTTGGAGACTTGTGGAGGTTGCGCTCGACGCTTGATGGTGCTGCCAGGGCTTCTCATGTGCGCAGGCCCGAGCTAAGCCAAAGCACAACGGGGCAAGGGATTTGAAATTGCTCCGTGAGCCCAACGGGAGACAAGATGAGTTTGACGCCTACAGGACATGAGCAAAATCAAAAGTGTCTCGACGCCATGATGCACGACGTTCACGATTTCTGCTTTCAATGATTGCTATGCATTTGTACCGTGTGAGAGATCCATCTTTTCGTCAGCAAATGAGTCTTGGGACACAGCCAAAAACCACACACATTCGCGCACATAACGTATACACATACGGAAATATAACATTTCGGTTGCACGCAGCGACGGTGTTTGGTTCATAGTTTTCTTTTTAATCTCCGTCATGTTCAGACCGTCTGCATTTGCTTGGGCCGGCTCGTTCATCTCGTATCAGCCTCGTGTCCACCCATCTGGCTACCCTTTTAGCCTTGCACGCTCAATAGCGAATGGCCAATCAAGAGCTTGATGAATTGAAAGGATGCTGAATTGGGCCTTGGCGATGACAAGTGCTGGGCCGATGAAAGGCTTTTTGCAAGGTGGGAAAAAATTATGGAGACGGCAGCACTAAGCGAGGCGGACGATTTCACGGCCGTTGCTTTGGCGAAAGGCTCACTACCGCGACTCTTAATCACGCCCGTGTCCGCTCCATTTTTCCACGCGCTGCTTGTCCTCCACTCTTCCCCCTCCTTCAGTTCGATCTCATTAATTGCCTTTTGGTCTTCATCCACCCTGTATTATTGGTTCCGTTTATCTCCGTCTTCGAAATCGCCTTGGTCACCCGGCTTGGATCTCATTCAGAGCGTTTTGTTAGCTTCCTCGAGCATCCGTTTCCTTCTTGGCGCTACTCAGGCCCCTTGCGCCAGCGATCAACCCCCACGGCATCCTCCGTCAAGCCAGCAAACCTGCGCCCGGCTGTTCCTGCATAGGAATATTTATCATTTTTCGACTTACCTGTACTGCAGTGGCATTCGTTGAGGCCGGACCAACCTAGCAAAGCCACTTTCAAACACAGGGCTGCGGAGTTGGCTCCGTTCTTGCAACAATAGAATGTCCCTTCCCAACCCGCACAACTATACCGCTCCTCCAGAATGCTTCTCTCTTAACTTCGACATCCGCAAGGCCTGTCGTCTGGCTTGCACGCTCGAGACATGCTCGCTCGGCCTGTCCTATTGGGCTTACATCCCATCCTTGGCCGCTAATGGCCTCTTCACTGCCCTATTCGCATTTTCGTTACTTCTGTTCGTCGTGCAGGCCTTCACAAGCAGACGCTTTGTTGGTTTCAGCATTGCAATGATCTGCGGAAGTATTCTGGAGGTGATAGGCTACATCGGCCGTATCATGTCTCACAGCAATCCGTTTAGCGAGGTATGTCCTTAAGATCTACACTTTGGAATTGGCATGCTAGCGCTGCTTCTGCATTAGTGCCTCCCCGACTCTTTTGAAACATCTTTTTCGCTGACAAGAATGCCTCCGTTCAGAATGGATTTCTCATCCAGATTGTGTGCCTGACTATCGCCCCGGCCTTCTACGCCGCCGGCCTCTACTTCTGCCTGTCCCGCATCGTGACCACCTTTGGCGAGGACAACTCGCACATTCCGGCCAAGATGTACCCGCGCATCTTCATACCCTGCGACGTCTTCTCACTCGTGCTCCAGGCTGCGGGCGGTGGCCTTGCCAGTGCCGAGACGCATGCTGGCAGGAACGCCACCACAGGCAACAATATCATGATTGCCGGTCTTTCCTTTCAGGTCTTCACACTTCTGCTCTTCATCCTGCTCAGCTTGGACTTTGCCATCAAGACGTTTCGGCGCGTTCACAGTCTCGGCCGGGAGGGAGCGCTAGACCCCAAGCACGCGAAGCTGCGCGCAAGCAAGCTGTTTCAGGGATTCTTGGTCGCACTGACCTTTGCAACTTTATGCATCTTCACTCGAAGTGTTTATCGCGTTGCCGAGTTGAGTGACGGCTGGAAGGGCCGTCTGATCAGCACGCAGAGCTATTTCATCGGGCTGGAAGGCAGCATTGTCGCTGCCGGCGTCCTTGCGCTAAACCTCTTCCACCCGGGCTACTGCTTCCGCGAAGGGTACGAGCGGAGGGCAGGCATGTTTAGCAGGAAGACGGCGACGGAAGAAGGAGCTGTGCAAGATGAGAAGAAAAGCACAAGCAGCGAGCAGGCCGTTCAGAGCGCTGAATCTGCTAACTGAAGTGACAATGTCCTTCTGGCTGGAGACCAGGGTTGGGAAACGATGGATTTTGCTTGCTATTTTGCCAACAGACCGGCGACAAACGCGGATCTGAAAGACTTGCTTGGAAATGATGTTAGATTATAGACAACTCACATGGCCTCGGAGCACCTTATTAGGGCACGAAGCCTTCTGCTTTGCCGTCTCGTTTAAAGGGGAGGGGCATGATGTTTCCGTTTGGTCGGGTGTGAGGATGGTGGATCCCCTGCATGGATTACCTACATTTGAATCGAAACTCTCATATCTGGTTCATCCATAACGCTGTCCGTGGCTGACCTTTCTCACCTTTAATGTGATCGTGCGCCGCATTATTGGCGCCAGAAAGAGCATGGATTGTTGGGTACACCTGTTGTGGGGCTTAACTTGGACGATGTGGCATCCCCTGTTTGAACGTGTATCCCTACTCGACGAGTCCCTATATTCCCCATTTTGTTCGCGCGGCGTAAAATGCGATACGTTGGGCATGCGAAAATTTCACATATAGCACCACGCGCAGCCGAAAGGCACGAGCTCACCGGCATTCCTCTTCTCTATCGACCTGCAGACCCCGCAGCGTGCGCACCGAATGTTTCGCGTACGCAGTTTTGCGGCCGGGGTTCCTGTCTCAGCTAGACGTCTGCCGGGCTCGAGAGCGCTCGCCGAAGGGAAAGGAGAAGCAAATGAAATGGAAACATGCTCTCATGCACTGGAATGAACGCCCATCACAACGTTTTGCGTCAAAAGGCTCCTATTGTGCGCAGCCACAGACGGGCTCGTCGTCATCCGTGCGCGATAAAGCCCGAGACCCCTGCTCGATCCCATCGGCAAGGCTTCGATGGATCGGAGCCAGCATTAGGGCTGTAAGACATGACGAGGACCCGAACAAGAGAGGCGCACATCGTCCCTTCGCCAAAACTCCTTCTTGCTGCCCTTCTGTTCGCGAGGATGCGGATGGCCCTGTGTTAGTCGTGTGTGCTTTTTGGAGCCCACCAGGGATTTTCGATCTTGCGCTGGACGCATTGCGCGATCTCTCGTCTTCTCTTTTTCCTTTTTTTGGACCGCTTTTGCCTCTCTCTTTCTTTTTCTCTCCCCTTGGAACCCAATTATAGGACAGCGCTTGAATCGGGTATCCCAGGTGCGTGGGTTGGGGATTTGAGATACTTGTGACCTTCGTTTTGGGCGGTCGAATGGTGCGGGATCGATTATATGGGTTCACGCGTCACCACATGAGAGTCTGCGTCGCGTGTTTGATCTTCTGACTTTCGATACCTTTGTGCGTGCTCTTTCCCTACCTTCCGCGCTGAGGACCTCCTCGTCTTACCTTTATGATAATGTCTAATCAGTCCGCTGGTAGCCAACACTCCATGGAAAGCGGCCCACAAGGTTCAGGGAAGCATATCACGATAGCTGGACAGGATTTGGCGATCCCGCTTCAAGCGAGGCGACGATCGAGGCCCTGGGAAGAGAGACATCATGGACAACAGCCTGCTCTCGCGAAGCGAGACCCTACCCCAGAGACCACCATCTCGGTGGACGTCATCCAAATAACGTTGACCAGGAGTTTGTGCCCTTGACTTGTTGATCGTCTGCGAAGCTGACCGCAGGCTGTAGCGTACGCTAACACCATCGCTCCGACAACACTGGTCACGTCCTCGACGAAGCATCAGTCTTTGTCTTCCATGACGACTACGTTAACTTCGGGGCCCGCTCCTGTCACGTTATCCCTGTCTACGATGCCCTCATCTACGACCACATTTCAGTCCGCTAGCACAGGTGGCATCATGATAGCAAAGCCCCCACCGTTTCCTACTGCTCTTGTTGCGTCGCTTTGCACACTGCTCCCGCTCTCCGGACTGGTGATCTTGGGCTTTTACCTATACTACCGTAAGCGGCAGGATTCAACCAGCGGCTCGATCATGACGTCGATTTCCAAGCAGGACAAGTACGTTTGGGGACCACTGGGTCTAGTCACGCGGCGGGAGAGGGACAGGCAAAACCCGGTGTTGACAGCGCAGGAGGCCGAGGCGAGACCGGACCCCGTTGCTGAGGCCATCCGGAAGGAGGAACGGGAGCGCCTAGCGAACATGAGACCGCCTGGCGAATCCAAATTCTATGCACCTGGCGTACGGCATCTCGTCGAGTATGTGGGCAGTCGAGAACGTATGAAGGTCATCATCGACTGGAGAGATAGGGTCAAGATGGAGCGGCTATGGTGAGATCAACTTTGTCACCCCCTCCTGTTGTTTGTCTTGTTTGATGCACCTTGAATCTGTCTTGGCTGTCACACAGTCCATGCGGGACGGAGATTGAGGTCCTGCCGCAGCAAATGATATGAAGGAGACGCAAATATGATGCCGACACGTTCTTGAACGAATCATTGACGCCTTGCGAAGACCGACGAAAACGGATTGGCAGGAAAGTGTGAAAAAAAAAGTCATGCTCATCTTAATTTAAGAATTGATAGATAGTCGAAATTTTCCATTCATATCTTGAAGCACGGCAATTAGCTTGCTCCAGCATGGAGAGAGCTTTACACCGAATCTGACAGACCTCATTGACCAGGGGTAATGTGCGCCGAACTGGTGTGAAAATTCCACAACTCTTGGGACGACCGGGAAATTCCTCCTCTCAGTCAGCCTACACGCCTCCCAGATAGACAGACGTACATATCCGAGGACATATACTTTGGCGTCATTCGACAGCTGTTTGTCGTCCAAACTCCACTTGCGGGCGTGCGGGGGACTCGGCTTTCTGGGGGCGACGATCCGGCTGAGCGCAAGACATCCGCGCGCGCAACATTATTTTTTTTTCTTTCATATATAAAAAAGGGACGGCGAATTAAAGGACATGGCTGGTTCTTACGTCGAGGCCAGAAAGCCTTACGCACCACTCGAGTTCACAGCAGCAGCAGCCATCACCACCACCACCACCATCACCACCAGCACACGATGACCAAGTCACTGAGGGATCGACTCATCGGGGCGTGGGACCTGATAGAGTACTGCGCGTATCTGCCGGACGACGAAGACGACAAGGTGTACCCGATGGGACCGGACGCCAAGGGCATCATCATGTATACGCCGGACGGGTACATGTCGGCGCAGCTGCTGACGCCAGGGCAGCCGAAGTTCGACACGGCCAAGGGCAGCGAGGCCGAGTGGGCGCGGGCGGGGAAGAACTACGTCGCGTACACGGGGCCGTTCTACCTGGACGAGGAGGGCGACGACGCCGGCCCGCTGCTGCTTCACCACATGCGCACGTCGAGCCTGCCCTACCTCGTCGGCGACACGCAGAGGAGGCTCGTCGCCATCCGCGACGAGCCCGACGGCACCTACCTCGTCCTCAGCCTGAAGGGCACGATGAAGGTGGCCGGCCAGGACCGCTTGATCAGGGTCAGGTGGAGGCGGCTCCCAGACAACCAGGCGACCGCGCCGCCGAACGCGAGCCGGTAGATTCGCCGTCGCACGCACGCAAGCGCCGAGCAGGCACGCGCTGGAATCAACTCCGTCGGTCTAGATCAATAGATGAAGCAGGGCTCAATCTCTCTTTTTCTTTCTTTCTTTCTTCGTTTTGGTTGGAGCGGTGGGGAGCGACGATGCAGAACCACGACGGTTTCCCTCCCCCACCCCCCCTCCTCCCTTTCTCCCTCCCTGGTTCGAAAGACTGTCTGCGTCAAGATGCTTTGCTACATAATCGATGCGTAGATATTTCACTTTGGGCGAGCTCATCTCGTGCTCCTCCCTTCCCTTCCTTCTCTCCCTCTCACCCTGCCATCCTCCGCGCTGTTCAGCCAACGCTTTCTCGGCTGTTGCGTTGCGAATCCGAATGCATTGCCCCGTTGCTTCACCCCCAATAGCTGCCAGAAAGCCCTGATTGTCAGCGGGTCGTTTCGTGGACCGTATGAAAACCGCACAGCCCAAGGTCTCGTCGTCGAGCCGTGCGCTCCATCGCCCCATCGTTCGTAGCCTCCTGTCTCGCATCACCTACAAGCCTGCAGCTCACAGCCCCTTCACAAACTCCAGAATCTCCTCCGCGACCGCGGCTGGCTGCTCCTGCTGCGGCCAGTGCCCCGCTCCCTCCACGAACTTGACGCCCCGGAAATCCGTGCACACGTCGCCCATCTTCTCGATCGCCCCGGGCTGCTGGTAGTTGCCCCAGTCCTGCCTGCCGCTCACGAACTTGCACGGCACCTCAATCGTCTTGCCGGTGAAGAGCAGCACGTCGGCGGACTGCCTCGCGTCCGTCTGCGCGCGGTACCAGTTCAGCCCGCCCTGGAAGCCGGTGCGGCCCCACTCCTGGACGTACACGTCCAGGTCGGGTTCGGGCAGCCAACGCAGGGTTTTGGAGGCGTCCTCGGTGGCCATCATGGAGGCTACGGTCTGAGGCATGGTTAGATCCCGCGGCATGATGTAGTACTCCGGCATCTTGGCCAGCTCCTGGGCGGTCCACGCCTTGAGCGGCTGAGGGTCGTTGCGGCTGTAATCGGCGGACTTGACGTGGAAGTATCCGCGCAGGAAGGCCTTCAGACCTTGCGGCGCCGAGAGCATGTCCTGCGCGGCGGGAGCGGACGAGTGGTACCACTTGTAATGCTTGCGCGGCGGATCAAGCGCGGCAAGCTCGCTCGTCACGTCCGTCCCCACGATGCCCGAACTGTCGTGGCCGCTCGGATCGCGCTGGCGTGCCGTTGCAAAAGGAGGGTTGGGAATCGCCTTCCACGGGTGCGACATCAGGACCAGTGCCTTGAATATGTCCGGCCGGAACAGCGCACACGAGCCCGCGCTTACGGCGCCGAAGTCGTGGCCCACCACGCAGTGCACCTCCCTGTGACCCAGGGCGGACACGAACACGACGATGTCGCGCACGAGCCGTGTCATGGTAAAGCCGGACAGGTCGCACTCGGCGTAGGGCCGGTCGTCCCATCCGGTCGTGCGTCCGAATCCCCGCTGGTCTGGCGCAACGACGTGGTAGCCCGCCGAGGCGAGGGCGGGCATGATCTTGCGCCAGGAGAAGGCGAGCTCTGGGTAGCCATGAAGGAGCAGGATCAGCGGTTTGGAACGAGAAGGATCGTAACCAGCCTCCAGATAGTGGAAGGTAAGGTCGACAATGGGGCAGGAGACGTAATTGGAGGCGATTCCGTCGGGTAACGGGAGTGGGGGTAACGGGCTGGTTCTGGTGCTGGCGCTGGTGCTACTGTGGGCCATGATGGGGGCCTTTGTTCGGAACGACGATCTGATCAGCAAACCACGGCTAGGCGACAAAGGCATGAATGGATGGTCGTTGTATGACCACGTAGGGTTATCAAGAATCACGTAAAAATCAATACTCGAGAAGGCAAGTCTGCTTAGATGCTGTTTGGTGAAGATTGTCGACGTCGTTTGATCCGAACGGTACAAGTCATGCAGCACGTGCTTATTAATGAGCCTCATCCTTTTGAGCGACTCGGCTATCCTGGAGATCTGCGGCCCATGTTGGCCCCGCACACCGTGATGCTGTGTACCTACATGGAAAGCAAGGGAGGTCAGGACGTGTGGAGCGCTGAGATCTGGATGGATCTCGTTCACACGCTCAGGCCACTGGCGGTACCTTCGTGGCGTGCTTGCCACAGGAAGGACGTGGCGAGAAGGAGGGGACGTTGCATTGTTGCTAGGAGGAAGAACGGGAGAGAAAAACGAAAGGTGGCCAACATCAGACTTTTGTTAAGACGGGCTCTCCCTTGGGACAGATGATGGCGGGTGTGGAGGGCAGTTTCGCAGAGCGGGTCACAGCGTCATAACACGTCGAGAATAGGGTTCGGTCCGATTACGAGCGCATTTCCAGTGGACGTTTCAGAGTCTTTGCCCACCGCCTGCGCCATGTCTGCGTCCAGGATCCGAATCTCCAGTCTCCCCGGTCCGCGGGAACGTGGCGTCATAGCAAAGGGCCAAACGATCTGGAAAAGGAAAAGATTTGGACGGCATCGTTATAGGCGATGATGAAACACGCAACGACAATGAAAGAAAATAAATACACAAAACAGGTTCAGCTGCAGTCAGGCTGTTCGTAGCACGTCTCTGCTGTCATTCTCTCTTCACGGGGCTGATGACCGTCACAGTGGATGCCAAGATGCCACGGATGGTGTTGTCGCCGCCTGCGATTGAGGGCGATGAGCTTCCGAGGCATTCTCTCTAGGTAGTTGCATTCCTGTAGGCCGAGCGCAATGCACAGTGCCGCTGCGTGATTCTCTGAGTAATAGTCGTAGCAGCAGCAGCAGCAGCAGCAGCAGCAGCAGCAGCGCTCGTCTCAGCGCACAGGCTGGTTGGCGACAACAACAAACCGCCGCGTGGGCACTTGGATCTCGTCTTGTCCATGGACGTCGATGATCTGCAGACTCGGTAGCGCAGGGCGACGCTGCAGTCCAAAATCAGCCCAGCTGCTGCGTTCCAACCTGGCATCCGCATGGCGTTGTCATCATCACGTCTTTCCTCTGCCTTCCCCTCTCTTCGTGCTCGTCTTCGCCACTCGTCCTTCTTCGCTTCGGCTGCAGACACAAACAAAGCACTCTGGCAGTCAGCACGTGCCGGCTCGATCAGTGGTGTCTCGCTAACTTAGCTGCGCCGTTTATTCTTTGCTGTTTTGGTGGTTTGTGGTGTTGGGTGGAGCTCGCTAGAGTACACAGACACCGCCTGCGACGTCATCTGTGGGTGCCCGTGCGTTCTCGCTCGCCCTCCCAAGGCTCCTGGAGCTTTTCTGCTTGTTCTGCTGCCGCCAGCGTCCGCTCTCCTTCGTCTCATCCATCTTCATCGTCGCCCCCATCTCCCCTCGCAGTCGCCTCGCGCTCTCGTCGCGAAACCGCTATGCAGGCCCTTCCGGCGACCGGGCATTGACACCACAAATATCGCATCTGTCGCCATCATGTTCCATCGCCGGAATAAGGTCTCGGCGCACGCGGTATGCTCGGCTTCCCTCCGCCCAACTCCTACATCATTGCCGTCTTCTGTCCCAATGTACAGCGTTGTTGTGCACTGTCTGCCTGTGAGTTGGTGATGTGGCGTGCAACTGTGCTAACCAAAGTTCACAGCCGGCTATCAGACACAGTGGTCCACCCCAAGCGTCCGCGGCCGCGTCTTCAGCAGCCACCCTCGCATTCCTAAGCAATCAAAAATCAAACCCGTCGCTCTCCGCGGCAGCTGCAGCCGCAGCCCTGCGTAGCAACCCGCAGTCACCCACCAATGTCGCAAACGTGCAAACAAAGCGCCTGGAGCGCCGCGGATCCGCCAGCAGTTCGCACGCAGGTGGAAGTCCGCATCCGGCACTCGAGCGACGCGCGTCGCTGACGGAGCGGCAATTGAGGTCGCCATCGCCCGGTAGGAAGGCTGCCAGCGTCACCCGTGAAACTAGCACGCCGCCCATCCCTCCTCTCCCCGCTGGCGTGGAACGATCAGCTTCGGGCAGGGTAAGGTCGTCGAGCCTGGAACCCAAACCCTCACTCCGAGTAGAATCACCTCCACCCACGAAGCCTGGCGGAAGAGGGGTCAGTCTGGACCGCATATCGACCCAGCCAACCTCGCCGAGGGCTTTGGCCTCTGCACCCACGCTGCCTGGAGTCAGCGAATACGCTGAGCTGGCCCAACGCTCATCCATCAACTTTTCGCGGCCCATGTCACCCGCTCCGAAGAGCCCCACGGCACCTGTTCAGACAGCATCCCCAACACCAGGGGCGGGGAAGACGGGCTGGTTCGCTGGTCCGGTTGTGTCTACGGGACAGCCGAGAAAGTCGTCAGACTCGATAACACCAACGTCTGCGGTAACAATACCAGCACATGAGGTATCAGGCATTCAGGTCGGCTTGCAGGGCGTGGCAGATAAGCCGGTGAAGAAGAAGAAGAAGCGCCTCTCTGCGGGCGGGAACCAAGGCAGCCATCTTAAGCTGGGCACCATGGATCTCACAGGCACAGCGGTGGAGCAATCTCCCCGGGAGGTTGCTTCTCCTCAGTCAGCACAAGAACCCGGAAGCCCAACAACGGCGACGACGGCGTCTTACACCGCGAGCGAAAGTGGAAGATCATCCATTGATTCTGGCAGTGACGTCTCGTTTGCTCATGGTGATGGCCCGAAGACGCGCGCAGGGTCTCTTTTGGCGAGACAGCCGTCTTTGATCGACGAAGCCCCGGAATATGAGGGTCAGCATGAGCGTGCAAACACCCGGAAAAAGGTGGAAGGCATGCCTCCGAAGCCTGCCCTTTCGACTGATGCCCCGAAAGCTGTCGCGATAACTGCACCGGAACCAATTCCTGCACCAGTCATTCAGCCGATGGCTGATGCACCAGCTGATGCGGATGGGTCAGCAAGTACTGGAAAGGCCTCGACGGGACACAGAGCCTTGTCATCAAGCCCAACACGTTCCGCTCATTTCTCTCCCAAGCCAGAGATTCTCAATGGGATCAAACATCATCCGCCAGGTCGCTCCGTTTCACCCGCTAAGTCTGCGCTAAAGCACTCACCATCATCTTCCATACGGACAGCTTCACCGGATGTGCGTATGGCCTCGGCGCCTTCCTCGGAAGTTGGCAGTGAAGCAGCAGGAATCACCTCGTCGGCTGCCAGAAAGAAGGCGAATAGAGTCAGCTTCGACGAGACACCCGTCATCGTGACAGCTGGTCTGCAAAGCTCACGTTACGCAAGCCAATCGCCGTCTAGGACGAGGGATCCTTTAGACGACAACGAGGAGTTTAACGACATCATGGCTCCACGACCTGCGTTACCCAGCTTTGGAAGCGTAAGAGGCCGCAAGCTTGACGATGAGCGGACTGGAAGTCCTGTGACGACGTCGAAGCCCTTGGGCCATTCTTTAGATCATGGCCTCGGCGGTATACTCGTTCACGACTTCGCAAGGAAAGGCTCCGGACAGCGTGACGAGAATCTGCCGCTTGCACCCGAAGTTACCACCGTTGAGGGTACTGGCTATGAATCCGATTCACAGTCCGAAAGCTCGGATCGAATGTCATCATTCGACACATCACCAAGCATTGCGACGCCAGAGCCGATGTCGTCTGAGAAAGATCCGGCGCCGAAGGGAATCTCAGAGGCTGCAGAGATGGCTCAGATCTCACATGAGCACGCGGCTTCCAACGGTACACCCGGAGCGCTGCTAGAGCAGTCTGCGGCACAGCATTCGATCGTTGACGTAAAGGAACCATCTCCGAAAGCGCAGCGACAGGAAACCGATTTGCAAACACAGCCAACATCTACGATCGCCTCTCCTACGATAGTTGTGCAACCTGCAACACCAGCTGCAGACACTGAAGAAGAGAAGAAGGCATTCATAATGCCGGGATCGTTTCCTGCTGCTTGGGACGATGAAAATCTAGAGCCTGAGCCTACAAGGACTGCGATGCCAGCGCAGGTGGAACAAGGGCCAAGCAGTACTGTTGCCACCCCGCAGCTCAGCCATGGCGAGTCGGACACTGAATCAGATTCAAGCTCAATATGGAGCGATGCCGAAGAAGATCTGCCGTCAGGACCGGGCGGCTTCGCCAGCTTGAATGCCATTGTGGATTCTCCGTCTCCTGTCGTGAAGTCTGAGCCTGTCCCTAGTCTTTCTCTGTCAAAACATGCTCCACAAGCATCCGAGGATGAACTTCGGCGCGCAGAAGTTCCACCTTCACCAACGGCGGCTCAGTGGGATGCAGCCACTGCGTATTGGAGAAGCCTGAATGAACAACAGAAGAAGGAGTTGGAGAGACAGGCCATGCAAAGTTCGCAAGTCGATGAGGTGCCGAGACCTGCTACTCCGACTCATACGTTGGAGAAATCTGGGCAAGAGCCAAAGTTGGAATCTCCAATTGCTTTCATAAGCGAGGAGAGTCCCACTGCGCCCAGGCAGAAGAAGGAAACAAAGTTGCGCACGAGCATGCGACAGAACCAGGCCATGAGCAGTGATGACGATGCTCCGCGAATGTTGAAAAAGACCATGCGGAACAATGTGCGAGAAAGTTCAGCGGCGGCCAAGGGTAGTGTCGGTGGTGAGCAGCGTGTGCTCAGAACTTCAATGCGAGGATCACCACCTCAGGTCAGGCCTGATAGTACGCGTCGACACAGCAGCGGCTTGGAGATGTCAAAATGGAGCCAGGAAGGACAGAGTAGACCTGCGGATGTTGCGCAGAACGGGCGTCCCAGAACAGCCGGTGGTGCTCCTGCAAACCCAAAGCCCGTCCTGAAGAATGCACCTGGGGTGCCTCCTGCACCAACATTGCGGAGACAAGGGTCTGATGAGTCGGTCAGCTCGTTCAGGAGACAGCGTGTCAGCTCGCCTGCCCGACGCAACGGTGTCGTGACTATGCGTAGGAGCATGCGGAACACTGGCACAACAGTGCCAGTGGAGCAACGACCCCAGTCTCCGGTGACAAAGATAAAGAAGGCTGGCAGATTCAATTTGAGATCGCTGTCGCCTGTTGGGAGACAACCAATGGATAGCCCCAAAATGAGACCTTCTATGCGTACAAGCGGCTCCGAGGTTGGCACGTCACCTACTTCTTTGCGTACTCCGGATTCGAAGAAGTCTCGTCTCAAGTCGCCAACGCGGCTGGGCTTCGGGAGATCGAAAAAGCTAAAGGAGCAAGAAATGCTATCTACTTTACCCTCCTCAGACGTAACTGCGCCCTCTCTTCCTGCCATCAAGTCACGAATCCCCGCTGATTCTGACTCTGACGACGATGACGACCTCCCTCGATCCACTTTCGTCAGTCGATTCGCAGATTCAGACGATGAGTTGGACAACACGCAGCAGGGAAAGTCTCTGGCACCCGTGCGTGGCATTCCCCGCAAGGCTGGAGATGATGATGGAGACTCGACCGACCTGGAAGACAGCGACAATGAACGCCCGAAGAAGATTCCTCCAGTGCCCAGTTTAAAAGATGTTGACACGGCCCACGGTAAAACAACTACCTTGACAAATGGTAACAGGCCCAACTCAATCCTGTCTTCTGGGTCATTACGCAAAGGAGAAGCAGGGTTAGCGTCCAGCGTACATGCACCAACTCCGGACCGTCCACGCCTACAGAAGCGACGTCTGAGCTGGCTTAGTATCGGTAGTAACCGGCGCAGTAGTAGCGTTCCGCCGATAAGCCTCGCAACACCGCCGACGCCTTCGCGTGACAATGATGTCGCCACCCAAAAGCCAAAACTATTGCGTCGTTCGACACCGACCGGCCTTCCACTGATCTCGGAGGACTCAAATTGGCCACTCCCTAACGACGTCGGCAACGATACGCGTCCCAGCACAGCAGAAGGTCCGGGCACGGCCCTTCGATCCCGCACCATGCGGCGACCAGACGTGGGTAAACGACGTTCAACAGCGGACTATGTGGGCAGCGAACGAACTGCCGTGGAGGAGAGTGTGTACGGCGACGACCGTCCGCCGACAATCAAGAAGGTGGGCTTTAGCTTCGACAATACGGAGCCCGTGTACTCCATCCGCACAGGACGAAAAAAGAAGTTTGGCGCGCTGAGAAAGATGTTCAGGCTGAACGATTAAGCGACACGAACGACTTCCTTTCTACACATGTGTTTGTTCTAGCTTTTTGGTGATTTAACACGGAGGCTTAACGATGTCTCCTCAGTATAAAAATTGATACCCGTAAGATGGGGAGCAAAAAGAGAGGTTGGTACACGGCGAAAAAGATCTGCATTCTTTTCTTATTTCACTTTGAAATTCTTCTGTACATCCTTTGGATATTCGGTGCTGCTCCTAGCCATTAAAAGTAGGCTGGTTGAGCAGATGAGTCCAGATATATACCGTAAAAGAATAACTCTAGGGCAGCCTGCTTTGAGGAGCAGATATTTTCTAATAGTAATCCACATCGTGGCAAGAGTCGGTGCGGTGTCTATTTCCTTGTTCTTGTTTGGATGGATTATGTTGGAGTCCATTGCTCCAATTCTGGACATGCATTGACCCCCACATCGAAATATCATTGGAGAGCCAGATCCAAGCAGAGTCCGGCCTAGCTGCTCCTGAACTTTCTTTCTTGACGTGTCATTGAACGCCTAGACCGACTATGTCAACACTACGAGGCTGATTGGCTGAAAGGTCACTTGAAGCTGAACAACCTCCGGTAATAATGGTCGGACATAGACTATGATTGTTCATCGTTCCCCCCCCCCCCTCCTTTTTTTCAAACAGGAATTGAAGACCAACTTAAATCAATCTGCCTTTTCGGCGAGAGGCACGGAAAGAATGTCGTCATGCGGAGCAAGTGCCTTGGGCAATCCACGACTTCGACCACTTCTTCCCGCTCCAGTGCCAGACGAATCAGCGGTCAAAGCTTCGAGCTTTCTGGTCACGTCGCAACATGTGGCCGTGCCGAAGAGGCGTTCGATCGGCGTCGCTTGCGAGGAATGCCGACGGTTGAAGATCAAGTGCGATGGTGTGAGGCCGCGATGTTCAAAGTGTGCTAAACGAAGAGTCGAGTGCGTCTACAACACTTTGGAGTGCGAAACTCACGTGCAAGGAATAAAGCGTAAGTATAGTGAGCTTGCTGAAAAGGTATCCGTGTACGAGGAACTCTTCGACGCGCTTAGGACTCGGACAGAGGATGAGTCGCGAATGGTACTGTTGAAGCTCCGGGCTGGCGCGAGCCCTGGCTCAATCGTGCGCCAGATCAAGGATGGAGATCTATTGCTGCAGCTCTCGCTTGTGCCAGAGACTTGCACCCGCTACGATTTCCCGTATATCAGCCAGATGCCAAGACGTTTGCGGACTCCAACGAACATCTACCTGAGCTCTGTGCTTTACGAAGCCGCGTGCCCCTCCACGGCTTCGTTATCAGCTGTTGGCAGAGTCTCTCGCTCGTATCACAGCCCGTACGTAAAACCGTACCACGCCGCAGAGATGATTGATGCCCAGCTGGCAGACGCCAAGCCTTCCAACTGGACTGCCGTTAGCTCGAATGACGCGATGTTGCGCAGGCTTCTCGAAAAGTTCTTCCTACATGACTATCCTCGTTACGTCTCCTTCCACAAGGACACTTTCCTGGTGGACATGAAGAATGGCCGGCATGAGCACTGTTCATCATTGCTCGTCAACGCCATCCTAGCTTCTGCTTGCGTAAGCATCCGATCTCGAGCTGCGCAACAAGTGGAATGCTTGAACTGATCTCTCACATCCAGCGTAGCGATCAGAGCCTCCCGGACCGCTCGCGATATGGGAATCCGCATGGTCTTGCGTACAAGTTCTTCGCTGAAGCAAGGAGGCTCTGGGAGTTGGAAGCTGGACGAAGCAAGCTTACCACTATTCAGGCTGCCCTTGTTATGAATACCATCTATGCCGGTGCGAAGTTTTTCCTCCGATCTCCCACAGCCAGTTTACATGAACTAAGCATAGTGCAGCGGATGGTGTGGACAGAGTTGGATTCACGTATCTGCTTCAGGCGACGGCCATGGCACATGATATCAAACTCTTCGCCACAGTGGATGCGAATGTAACGGTCTGGAATGCTGCCAGTCGTCTGTTCACCGCATGGGGTCTTTTTAATTGGCAGGCGTAAGTGCTCGTATTTGCCAAACTGCAACAATTCGCGCTCATTGAACTGCGGGTAGACAACACTGTTACTACCTCTTCCGACCGCCTTTGCTTCTGCGGTCCCCACCACCGCTTCCCGATCCGAGCCCAGGCCTCAAATTTTATCCCGAGATCTTGATTCGATATCCCTCGGATCAACTGCTGTTCTCATTGTCTTTTGGCTACAGCTTCAAGGTCGTGTGCGAATTTCGCAGCATCATGAACGACCTTACGCTGGAACTCCTCGAGGCAAACAACGTCGCCAAGAAACTCTCGTGGGAGCGGGCGATCAGTTATCGGGATAGGTTGGAAGCGTGGTATAGATCACTACCGCCGCCTCTGTCACCAAGATCGCTCATCATGCCTACCCATTTCACCATACAGTACGTTTGTCCTTCAATCAGACTTTTTTTTTCCATTCCATTATCCCAAAATTACTTGAGAGAACAAAGATATGACTTACCACGTATGTGTGTTTTGAAAATTAATCAAGCTGGTATATGTCATAGAGAAGAGCAAAGGACTGTTTCAGCTATCCAAGCTCCTTTCTGATTTGTTTAACCTATTTTGGAGCTAATATTCTAGTAGTTCAGAGTATTATGGCATGCTTGTCATACTGTTCTCAGTGCAAACCCTGCGCGATGACGTGAACGGAGAGGACGCGGAGAGCCGCGAGCGGCTTCGCAAATCTCAAGAAATCATAACAGACTCATTGATTCAACTAGAGACGCTGCTCCGGCTATACTACCTGCGCCACGGATACGAACAGTACGACCCGTTCGCAATGCATTTTTTGGTTTTGCTCGCAAATTCAGCCTTGGGTGCGATCCAGTCGACAGCGGAGAGCTCTCTGGACCTCGAGGCGGAAGAGTCGTTTCGATCGACGCTTGTGCTGTGCATGAAAGGGATATACGATCAAAGCAAGAACTTCTACGTTGCGGAAGTCATCTACCGTCTGCTCCAAGCCCGTCTTCGCGCACAGGATCGATCGCTGATAGAGCGATATGTGAGCGTCGATTTTACGGCGAGAGATGACAGAATCATGAGCCAGGAGCTTCAAGCGCAATGGGTCGTGCCGACGCCAGCCCGCAATGGCGATCCTGATGGTTCGCGGTTGGAAAAGATGACTGCAGAGTATCAGCAGCTATCGATGGATTGTGAGAATGAGGCACATAAAGATGGGCTGTAGCATCTTTCACGTGTTTGTCCAAGATGCGGTCATGCTCTAGAAACTGGCGAAGAAAAGAGTTTGGGCGGTAGAGTCGTTTGGACCGAGTTCATCGCAATTAGAACAATTAGAGATGTATGATCCGTTGCATTTAGCACCGCTTATCGTGACACCCTACTGTATGGTCTATCAGACGCGATTGCTTTCGTCCGTTCTATATTCACTTTTCTTCCTCTTCTTCTTCTTTTCTTTTATTCGAGTCTGTGAAACGTGCTTAGTGCACACCATTGGGTGCATGTTGGACAGCATTATCTTCCAAGTCCCGCAGGGCTAGGATAGTTTTCTCAATTCTTTCCTTCAGATCCTGCGCCGGCTCCACGTACGGCCTTCTCGGCCTCAGCATCTCCGCTGCGTTTTGGATTCCCGCCGCGGGCGCCGTCAGAAGAGAGGCTGCGTATTTCGTGCTGGCGATCCCAGCCTTCGTGGGTGCCTCGGCGAGCGACAGCACCTTTTGCAGCGCCAGCGCCTCGTCCTGCTTGCCCGTCCGCCACAGCTCGTACAGTCGCGCGACCGACCGCGGCATCACGTTGGCGAAGGCGGCGATGCATCCAGCGCTTCCGACGGCCAGGCCGCCGAGCAGGAAGTCCGACTGGCCTCCAAAGGCCGCAAAGCGCGAAGGCGGAAACGTGGCTGCCAGCCTGGCGATCTTCGCCACGGAGCCACACGTGAGCTTGACGCCCACGACGTTCTCGTGGGCGCTCGCAATCTCCGCGATGGTGTCGGAGTCGAGATCGACGCCGTTGCAGACGGCGGGGAAGTTGTACAGGATGATGGGAAGCGGCGAGCGGGCGGCGACGTCGGAGAAGAAGCCCCTGATGACCGCCGGCGTCGTCTGCTTCCCAAAGTACGCGCAGGGCAGCAGAAGCGCAAAGTCCGCCCCGGCTTGGTGGGCGTCGTCGATGTATTCGAGCACTTGCACGGTCGAATGTCCGCTGACGCCGGCGATGATGGGAAACCCGGCGGGCACGGCGCGACGGGCGGTCTCCAACAGGATCTTGCGCTCTTCGCGCGTCAGAAGAAACGTTTCGGCATTTGTTCCCAGCACGACCAGTCCCTTCAGCCCGGTGCTGGCCAGGAACGAGTAGTACTTTGCCTGCTCTTCGAGACACAGACGCTCGCTGTGCGGCTCGAAGAACGTGACTGCGGGCACGTAGCACCCAGGCTTTGGGACCGGGTAGCTGTGCGACATTTTTGCTGCTGAACGGCCTGCGAGTGATCACTCCTCCACGTCTCTATTTTTTTTTTCTTTTTTTTTGGTGATCTCAACGGGGGCCGATTGCTGTAGAGTGTTTATGGCAGGATGAGTCTTTCGGCGTGACATCGGATGGAGAGTTCGGGTTTCGACTCCGAACGCGCTTCGGGAACTAAAACTCAGACGGAAGGCTTTCGCATTTCTAATCCGGGACGCATCAGGAGGGGGCAAAAAGACAAGAGCGTCCAAAGCAATGTTACGATTGATGAGGAGAGGGGCACATACATGATTTTGGCCCAGACTTTGCAGCATGATCTTTCCGGAATGGCTGGAGATATAGCTATGAGAAGAACTGTAATTTCAGCATGGGCCTGTGTGACGCCCATGCATACGTAGGAGATGTTCGACCGCCGACAGGAATGGCACAAAAAAGAGGGAAAAATAAAGAGAAGGCACAGATAAAAAGAATTTGATCATCTCAAGTCGCTACGTTGCGGCACGAAGGGCTGTTGTGTCGGAGAGTGTTTCTCCAATCATTGACAAACTGTGCAATGCGGTTGTCACTGTACATTTGCGAAATGGAACCTTACCCGTGCCCACAAGTTCTACTTAAGTAAAGCATCCAGACTCCAAGCTTCGGTTATACTTGATCTTCTTGTCTGTGATCAATACGAGGCAGAAAAAAAAACACTTGCATTAGAACAGCTGGAAGCTACAGTGTCTGTTGATAGAAGCGGAGAGGGGACATACGAGGTTGTCCTAGAGCCGTTGTTTCCTAGCCCGAACGCAGGACAATGTTCAGCTGACAAAATGAAGACCACTGTTTGGTTTGAGCGATTGTAATTTTGGCTCGCTCCAGCTTTGCCTTTTTTTTTTTTTTTTTTTTTTTTTTTTTTTTTTTTCTTTCGAGGTTTTTTGAGTTTTTGAGCCGTACACAGTGTAACTCGTCATTCCAGCCAAGGAGGGCCAAACTCTTCTTTCTTCTTCTCACTGTCGCTGCTCGATCCAAGTCAACTTCATATTTGACTATGCTAGGCGTCAGCATTCCGAGGCGGCGTCTGTAGCGGGGTGCTTGCGTCGGAATTCTGCGTGAAAGGGAATCCGGAAACCCGTATGCGATTGCTCTCCCTGTCATACCAGCATCGAATAGCGTCAAGTTTGTAAGTTCTCTCCAAAGTACGCCGTACCGGAATTGGAGCTGGCGGCTGTCCTCGCAGCTGGGTAAGAATGTTGAAGAGATCGCTGTCTTGTAGCAGCACCGCGCTACCAAGAAGTCCCCTTGGCTCTTCTTTCAGCACAAACTCGCGCTTCCGAGAATATGTGATCAGGAAAATGTTGCAAATCAGCACGAGACAGAGTACGGCCGCGATGGTCCACGCGACAGGGGGTACAACGAAAAGCCGGGTGACCTGTTCTGTGAAGATTCCGCCAAACTGCCGAGAGGTGCCCGTGGAGGGAAACAGGTATGTGCTGGCCAGAGATGCGAAGAACGATGACCACAGAGTCTCCATGGAGTTCTTGACATTTGTTGAATCCAGTGGATCAGACGAGTTCATGCGGCTGGCTAGCTGATACACCAACCGTCCCCACGCGTCTGTTTGAAAAGTGTTCGAAACATCAAACGACTTGTACGTCGACAGTGAGTTCTCCAGCACTTTGTAGAAAAAGGGCCGGATCTCCTGCGCACTGCTCTCGTTTGCAGAAAAGCCGGCAAAGGCGGGACTGCCGCTGGACGTGTGCTCTACGGTGAGTTGACCTTGGGTTGTCCAGTACGAAGGGATGCAAGACAGGACGGTAAAGTGTGCTAGTTGATTTGCCGACGTGTTGGAAGCACTTGCCGCAATGATGCCAAAGCGGCTATAGTGAGCTGCTGCATCACACTGAACTGTGCTCCAGCTCAACATGTAAATTGACTCGTTGGTGCTGGTGATGAGATTCTGGCTTGGCATTGAACAGTCTCTGTCGATGCCCTGTACTGTCACAGTTCCGTCGCTAGAAGTGACGCTGATATCTGAGCCTGTCAAGACCCGGCAGTCCAGAAGCGCGGAATATGCCGTTACATTGGCGGTGATGTTGCCAACCTTTGCAACGTCGCTTGTATTGAATGGATCGAATGCGTACTGGTCTGTTGACCACGGGGGTGGCGTTGCGTCGAATACAGAGACTGCGCCTGCAATGTTGATTGCTGCTTGCAGATCAGTTTGTGCGTTGACTGCCTGGTCGTCAAAACTGTTGGAAGACGTCAAGTTGATCGGGGCGGATATGAAAGTTGAGGAAGCAGCCAGCAGATGCGACGTTAATGGGACCACGGCGACAGACAGGACAATACTCAGAAGCATGGCCATCCCAATGATGCAGTGTCCACGCGAAAAAGCTATTGCCCAAGAATACCAGGATGGATAGTTGCGATAATCCAGCATGACCGTCTTTCGCATGTTGGACGCTTCCGCCTCGGTGTGCGACAGCTCAAGGAAAGGCTGTCGATCCGCTGTCGCGTTGACCACAGCGTCCCAAGCCATACGGTACAGTGTCATTAGGAACGCTGGAAGAGCTGTCCACAAAAGTCCATAACTCCATGAGATATTCGTGATTGAGAAATTCAGAATCGGTATCGATGGGACACTTCTGACGCTTGTTATGCCATTGTGAGAAGCCGAGAGACGCTCAAGCACAAGTATCGTTACAATGATACCTACTTCTAAAAGCACCATAGGTATGAGTGTTCGTTTCTTGAGTAGACTTGACTTCCAGGTGGTAGGCCGAGCCATGTTCACGTAGCTTCAGGAATCTCCAATGCCGATGTGATACTGGTTTCTCTCGCGTAAAAAATGACTTGGACAAGATGAAGGCCATCCAGGCAGGAGACACATGTGGACAGCGCTTCTCAGGCATAGTGAGGGTCTGGCAACGCGACCCTAAACAACACTTGCGGAGATGTATGGCCTTGGTCCTCAAGCATCAATAAACTGTCTATGCCACACGGCCAGTTCCGTAGCATCAGCAAGGCTTCTCGACGGACCACACAAACGAACAGTGCTTCGATGGCGACCCTGACTGCTCGAGTGTACCACTCGCCTGTGGGCTTGCCAGTTGGTGTCCACGAGTGCCGTCTCGAGTATCGGATCAACCAATCGAGTCAAAATCTGGCCAACCGTAGGCCTGCATCGAGACACACAGTATGGATTGGGCGGCGGATCCGATGGTGTAGCCAAGCAATATGTCGGGGTATTGGCAGATGCTTGTTTTCAGCTCGTTTACTGAGCCGCGTTGACAAGCCTTGCGAAACGGAGAGTGCCGTGTTAGACCACGGCCTAGGCCCAACGGCACGATCCATTGGAAAAAGCCACCAGAGTACTTGTATACTGATACATCGGAACTTCAGCCTGACCGTTGTGGGAAAGGTCTAGATTTTTGACTGGAACGTATAGAAAACAGATGTAGTTCTCAATTGCAGTCCTTCGACGATCCAGAAAACCTCTAGAGTCTTTTTCAAACTCGAATATCTGCCTTATCCGAAATCTCGGCATGAAAGAAATATCAGTGGTGGTCTTCAGTACATTGGTCGGCATAGTGGCCTCGCAAACCACTCTCGACGCTTCCAAATGCATTCCAGGAAGCGGAGTGACCGAATTCACGAATTGCAACGCTCTATACGCTAATATTGACATATGCAACGCGACAAGCACCGAGACGGATTTGATCAATTGCTTTTGCAAGCAGTCCCTATTCAACGAGATCTTCGAGTAAGAGTCCACCATCAGACTGGTTGCGTACGTTAGCGCCCTCTGACGACTGAGGTCACCATAGTTGCGAAAGCGAGCAGCGTCTCTGCTACGGCAACGGAGCTCTCGACAACGATGCGGAGGATCTCGCCAACACGTGGCACAGTGCTTGCGACAAGCATATCAGCTTCGCGCCCACCACACCGGTGGTTTCGTCAATCACAGCCTCGTACGACGCGAACGTATGCACCACGTTCGCAGACGCATGCGTCAGCGCCTCAGCAGCTCTACAGAGCTGCCAGACTGCGTATTCGTCCGTCGCAGACAAATCTTCGTGCCTGTGCGGAGCGGACGTGCAGGCCTTGGGGTACACGTGTGGGTACTTGGGCAATGTTACATGCAAGAGGACAACCGCGGCGACGGAGAACCTGCCCGGCTTCGGGTTCTGCAGTAACTTCGACCAGGTGATGGGGAGTCTTCTGGTGAGTGTTGCAAAGTTTGTTCAAGCGCCGTATGTGGCAGGCCAGTGGTGCTCACGGGAGGAACCAGGCGGAAGCGTCAACAACGTCTTCGGTACTGACCACCCCGCTCGTGACAAGTTCTTTGACCGGTTCGGTCACGGTCGTAAGGCCCACGGCTACGTCCACGTCCTCTACTGCGTCCAGCACTACCTCTTCGGCAGCGACGTGTGCATATGCGCGCTCTGGGCATGCGCTTCCACTGCTCAGCTTTGTTTTATGGGTCTACTTGTGGTGAACCTGCAGTCTTCAAAAGGGGCCTGTTCGGACGTGCCCGGCTTTCGTTGTTAAATAGTAATGATACTCAGCTGAAATGGAAATGTTCTGTGCCTTGAAGCCATGCTCAGCAAGTCGAACACGGTACCTGCGGCCATCACGTGGATCAACTACGGCTCAGTCGTGTAGCAGAAGGGAATCGAGGCCACGGCGCGGACTGGACGACGGTGGTCAGGCAGGCCGTGGGCTCCGTCCGGGATATCAGGGCTGGGACAGCTGACTCCTCAGTGGGGTGACGATCAGGAGGTGATGGGCAGGGGTGACGCGTGATGGGTCGTGTGTTGTCGTCGCCGTTGTTGTTGTTGTCGTATATGTGCCGAGCGTGAATGACGAGCATTGATTGTGTCCTCGCCCGAGTTTGTTGTCGCGTGAGGTCGACGAGCAGGGAGCGGGAAAAGTCGCGCGCTGTTCCGGCTCCCCAATGCCGTCGGCGACGAATCATCAGCCAGCAGCAGCTGGTCCGTCCTTTTTTCTCCTTCATGCATGCTCATTTATCGTGCGCGCCCGCGGGTGACAGGAAGAGAGAGTCGGACGGACGTTCCATCTGACGACGCTGTCTGTCGCCTGAATTCCCTCGTTGTCGCCGTCATCGCCATCGCCGTCGCTGTCGCAGGAAGCACTGCCGGCAGCGAGCACAGCTATTGGGCCTGTAGGCAGCTCAGCGGAGCCCGTACGTCACTCGGTCACCCGGCGCAACTGTCGCAGCATAATTTCTTCCGCATGCCAGTATTCCCTTGCTCGGCTGTCGACGAACGGTCCATCTTCATCTAAGTCCTGGCCGGCTCGCGCGCACACATCATCACAACAATCGAACGGGAGAGGCGAAGAGCAGAAAAAAGAAAAACGAAAGACAAGGAAAAGAAGAGCGCAGATCCGATGCTGGCTGCGACGTCCAGAGCCTGCCTGGGCGAGAGATAGCAACTTTCCCCCCGTAACGAGCACATCATCACCTTCGCTCGCCCGACACCAACGGCCATCGAACTGTCGCCGTCACAATGAGCTTCCACTTCAACTGGTCGCCGCTCATCGCGGATACCTCGCGCGCAAAGGAGATGCTCACTGCCGCGCTGAACAAGTCGCCGAAGCCGCCCATCATCGTCGACGACATCATTGTTTCCGAACTCAACTTGGGCGAGACACCTCCCGACCTGGAAATCCTCGAGATTGGCGATTTGGCAGAAGACCGGTTCAGGGGCATCTTCAAGATGTCTTACGCGGGCGACGCGTTCCTGACGCTGCGCACTCGCGTGCAAGCCAATCCGCTAAACACATACTTGAGCACAAAGCCAGAATGGACGAGCCCCGGCCCGCTGGCTGCAGCAAGCGGGCTGACGATTCCGCTGGCCATCACGCTGTCGGACATCAGGCTGTCCGGCTTCGTCATCCTCGTGTTCAGCAAGCGCAAGGGCATGACCCTTGTTTTTCGCAACGATCCGCTAGAGTCGCTCAAAGTCAGCTCGACCTTCGACAGCATACCCTTTGTGAGAGACTACTTGCAGAGGGAGATTGAAAAGCAGCTACGGAATCTGTTCATGGAGGATCTCCCGGCAATTTTGCACCGGCTGAGCCTGAGGCTATGGTCTCCAGAGTACAAGGAGCTAGATGATCGGATGATGGAGAAGCAGAAGGAGGATGCCGATACAGCGCCTATAGATCCCCTTTCCAGTCCTCCACAAGACCCATCTGCAGAAGTATGGAGCGATGGAGCCGTGCCGTCCTTTTCGCTCGATCTAGACAACTACAACGCGTCCTTCTCGCAGAAGAATCTTCTCAGGCTGGCGGCATTGAGCGACTCTCACCGAACGTTGTCGCTGTTCACGCCAACGATTCACGATGCAGTGTTCCGCGCTTGGGCTGGCGCCAGTGAGCGTAGCAATTCAGGTTTACAATCGCCACGCCACCGTCATGCTCATCATCACACCACCATAGCCAATTTGTCAAGAGCAGGATCGTACATTGGCAGTGCAACAAGCACCTCGAGTGTGCTTAGCGATGGCGCTAGCGACACCTTGAGCAGAGCAAGCACGTCCTATACCTTCTATGGCACCTCAAGCCGCTACCACAGCGGCCGACCGCGCAAGGCAAAGAAACGCGTCATCAACCTTCGGAAAACGAAGGCCGCAGATGTTGCTACCAAAGCGTCAGATGTGCTTACAGATTCCTCGACTCCGGAACCGAGCATCGCACCCTCTTCTGCACCAAGCGTCATTTACGAGGAGAGAGTAGACGATGCCCTACAGTCGCCACCTCAAACGCCGTTGCTCAGGCAGCGAAGACATCGCGCATCGAGCTTGGATGAGACACCGAGAGCGTCCATGATGCTGACCGCTACGCCTGCTCCTGCTGCTCCCCGCTCGCCGAAGAAACAAGACTCGGAACGTGCTACTGAGAGGCATGAGGCGCCTCCTGCATACACGCCACCTGAGGACCCAAGTGCCTTCATGTCAACGCATGCACAGGAGGGCAAGAAAAAGGGCAAGCAAACACGACCCACACTTAAGACTTCTGCCACAGACTTCGCACCAACCACCAGAGCCCTGCCGCTGAGCTCCGAACTCCTTCGCACGCTGTCCAGCGAAAGACTTGCCTTTGGCCACAACGGGCCAAGCAGTAGCCATAGTAGCTTTGGCAGCCTCGCAGCCCCATTCAGCCCCCCTAGCGAGGCGAGCAGCAGCACTGGAGGCGGCATCCTGGAGCAGGCCTGGCTGAACAAGATTGCGAGGGACATCGCACGCAAGGTTGAAGAGGAGCGGCGAAGGGCAGAGGGCGTGGATGAAGAAGAGCAGTCACGTCATCACGGAAATGGCTCTGAAAAGCTAGGGCAGAGGCCCCAAGATGACAACGACGTCGTCGCACCACCTCCCGCTTATGCTGCTTGATTGTGAAAAAAAAGTTTTTGTGTTACTATGAACGATTGATAGCGTTCCGTAAGCTTTTTTTTTTGCTGTTCCTTGTTGTATGATGACGAGATGACCGGGGAAATGAGAGGCCAGTGAAGGAAAAAAAAAATAGTATTGAGATGGACTACGGGGCTTGGAGTTCTGTCTGCATAACGTATATATTGTGTTTTTCTTTGGATGGGTAGATTGCTCCTGGCCGAAAAAATGGTTGCCAGATGTGTATATATTATGTATTTTGTGAGGCGCAGAGGCGCTTAGAGTGTGCAGTAATCTTACTCCTACTTGGAAAATCTTTGTGCGTCACTCTGTCGTTTAAGAGGGCTTCAATCTCCGTGCCACGCTGCCCACAGTTTTACTTATCAGAGCAGCGTGCTGTGGACGCGCGGCTGGGTTGGACGAATTAGTCCTGCGTCTGGTGCTCGCGATTCTACTACCAGTAAGTATATCATATCACACAGATATACCCCCGGGGATTGTACTGCAGCCGTAACACATTTTGAACACGCTCCAATCATGTGCACGTCTCGAAGACGTTACGGGCGCGAATTCCAGTGCAAAGTCCAGCCGAGCGACGAGCGAGACAAAATCGTATAGCTGTGCCAATCACACTAACGTAAGGTTGTATTGCTTCCAGAGCACGCCCTCTGACTCTCCAACGGCGGGACCTATAAATTCGGATTCAACCCCCTTTGCGAGAGACTCGCTCGCCTTCTCCACCCAGCGATCGGTCGGCTTGACGTTGGAGATATGGAACACCCCGCATCGCTCAAACTCGCCCTTCGCACCGGCGGGCCTGAGGACGATTCCATACATGGCCAAGTGACCGTGCGGCGGGCTCATGTGCAAAGGCATGCAGTACAGCGTTTCTCTTTCGCCGACGGCGCCGACGTCGAGTTTGACGAATCCCAGGATGTCGTTCAGCCAGACGGATACAGGGCCTGGACCTTGGGCGAACGCGTCCGACTTGGAGGCTACAGCTTGCAGCATGGATGCTTGTACTTGCAGCCTTCCGAGGAGGACGGGACCGAACGGGTCAGCGCTTGCAAGCTCAACGTCGACGTCGAGGACCTTGAACACGATCCGGTTACCGTTCTCGAGATAGCGTTCGTATGGGATCTCCAAGAAGACCTTGCCGTCTATCGACGCCCACGACCACGACGGCGCTCGCCACTCCCTTTGCCTGGAGCACCCGCTGCCGGTCGACCAGCGCAGCTGGTGGGTCAAGACAGATTTCCACAAGCCGGCCGCGTAGTCCTGAGGCGGACCGATCTTACGGGCGATCCCCGAGATGGCTAGGAACTTGTCCTTTTGCGGCTCTGTCAAGCCGCTGTCGGAGTAGATTCGAACGTGCTCCTGCCACAAGCGTAACCGCTGCAAGGCCGGCGTCCTGTACGGCAGCAGTCCCGTGGCCAGCTGCTTCGTCTCCATGCTGGGCTTGTAGGACGTGTTGTTCGGTATGCCCCTTGGAAACGTCTCGCTCGCTCGCAGGCTGCAGCATTCCCAGAATACCTGCTCCTTGGTGAAATGCAGGATACGCGGTGCTAAGACGCGTTCTTGCGTGACCCAGCCTCGGTGCAAGAGAGGCGCATCATCCACGTGCTTCGTCCAGTGGTCAGGATCCCAGCAGTAGTATTTGGCCGTCTGGTGTGAGCGCCATGAAGCTCGCACCTCGAGCGGGGGAATCGTCGTCGGGTCCCTCTGCCAGAACATGCCTTGGAAACTGTTCACGGCACCAGTAGCGGCGAGCGAGAACCAAGCGTTCTCGTAGATGCGCTCCATAAGCCCGGCTTCTCGCTGCCAGTCGTCTGTAGAGTCTTGAATGATGCACAGACTGTCGATCCACAAGTATCTCTGTCCTAGCCTTCGTACTATTTCCAGCGCATCCGCAAAAGTCTTTGGCATGTCCCCCTCTATTCCTGCTCGAAATGCATCTACGTTTTCTTTTAGCAGTCGGAGTGGCACCTCTCCGCCCCAGCAATGAGACAGGACCACATATGGTACGCTCGTGGTCAGATCAGTCCCATATCGTAGGCGCGGCGTGTCCGCAGGTGTAGCGCCAATCTCAATCAGACGTGTGGGCATAAAGTCCGGAGATGGACGTATCCACCGTTTACAGTCGCTGTGAGTTTCATCGCAATTTTCCAGCCACTGTTTTGCAGCGCGGAACGCTGCATCACTTGACGTGGACGAACCGGCGTCAAAATCGTGGGGATGGCCGGTTGACACGTCTAGACGTAGTTACACTAATCAGCCCACAGCCTTTTCTCTCATGCAAGACACAATTACCAGCTTGCGGCTTAATCAGGACAGACCTAGATACCCGGGGCTCAGTGCCGCAGGACCACTGGTCCGTCCAGTACTCGAAGACAACCCCATCCCCGACTCGACTCTGCCAGAAACCGTACGTGATTTTAGTACAGCTTTGTAAGTCATTCCGCTCTTCTGGGCTTAACTGATTCCAACGCAAGCGGCACAGATGGCATCCTGTGTCGGCAGTGCTCTTTAGCTGCTGTACGGTTTGATGCAACTGTTCTGTAGCGGGAACTCCAAGCTCCTTATCTTGTCGGCGACCGGTGAAGAGTGAACAACATACCGCGCAAAGATTTCGATTTGGCTCATCATTAGGTCGTCTCGCAACACGTTGTAAAAGTTCCATTTTTGCCAAGGTTTATGATTAGGAAGGATCTTGACTTGCATGTGTCATTCAGCTTTGGTGGGGCGGTACCTCGTCCTACACGTGAAAACATGGAAAAAGAGCTTGTGGCGGCGAAGAAGGTGATTCATACTACAGCGACATTGGTTAGATGGCAAATCGTATGATATTAAAGATCTCTGATGCGATCCCGCTCAAGCTTCTGTGGTAGAAGCATTCTTGGTAATTTGCCACACAAAGACTAGGATTTTGCTCTTTTCAACAGATTTCATAATATTCCCGTATCAGATCAGACATCCTTGTGCTCTACCTCACACCCTGCTATTCCGTTGTCTTCTTGAGAATATCGTTTATACGAAAATGAGCCAGCCAAAATCAAGGATACAAATTCATCAAAATCCCATAGCAAAGCGACCACTCTGCTAACTCCTTTTTGGCTACTCAATCCACATGTGTTCGCATTTTGCTTCATCCCAAAGCTCTCCTTTGACCATCCCATGTACATAACAGTCTCCAATTAGTTCCCAATTTCGCTTCTTTGGGCGAAGGATTAGTGGTAATTTTCCACCCTTGCAAAGTGAGACCTTATCCCCAATATTCAGAAGAGGAGGTCCTAGTCCAATGTAGCCGCGTCTAGTTCTGAAAATGCTTCGACCAATACTGCGGTTGTAAGTGATAAATTCTAAATCATCTTTTCGAGCTTGCGGGATTGTCAATTTGGCGCGGCGGGATCGAGTAAGTTCCACCGCAGCGAGACAAGAGTACACCGGTAAGACACGGCTTACTGGATATAAACGGCGCTCGGTTTTGTGTGCATTTCGTTCTCGGTCAAATGCGCCTTTTGCGGCTTGCCAACCATCTTCCCAGTCGCCAGCACATTTTGTACCGCAGAGAACATCCATCATGTTATCGTCTGTGACATACGGTTTTCTCGATCGTGCCTTTGTAATTTTGTCAACAGACCAGTCAAGTCTACCGTGCTGCTTCATGTCGTGAGAAAGTTCTTTAATCTTGGCGACAAACGATGTACTCCTTAATCGCTCGGATGGTTGAGTATCATGTTGAACGAATACCATACTGGTAACCACATCAACATGGTAGCCTTCAAGAAGCAACAGGTTAGAATCAGAGCCTGGCTCAGGGTTCCAACGAGAGTCGTTTGTCGCACGAACAACCCGCCTAGTCCCTGGGTATTCAACTTTCAAGAGCGACTCCAGATAAGGATATTGACTCCAATCTGGTACCCAAGAAGGTAGAACATGTGTGGATGATGGATCTAGCCCATGGGTTCGTGGTACGCTAAGAATATCCAGGTTCCGGCTTCTCCTCAAAATAGCGAGAGCGCACTGTCGATAGAGCGCGTCAACCGGCAAATCGTACTTCGGAAGAAGATCTAGCTCTTCAAAACACCTAGGTGCTAGACCGTACAAGCCGAAGATATTGTCGTGGTGGTCTGTTGCTTTGGCAGCTCGGTGCCGTGCTAAGAGCGCAAGCAAAAGTTCCGGATCTCGTTGGTCACCATAAATAGCGTTTCTTGCTTTATCTATAGATGCAATAGCCGAAATACTTCTGGCTACTTTCATATTGTACGCCAATATTTTTCTCTTTGTAGCACTGGTTTCCAGATCGGAAAGCCTTCGGAACTGGCTGGCTGCCCAACTGAGTTTCCACCATTCAGTTGAGGCTTGTCCGTCAATCACAGCTACGTCCTTGGCTAGAGCGATTTCTTGTATGATCTTGCCAAATGTGTTAGTCAAGTAAAATGTCGCAGTCCTCATGTCTATACACAAAGCTCAACATTATGTATGCACAAGAAATCATAAAGCAACCAATAAGTTAGTAAAAAAAACTCCGTGAATGTACTCGAAGATGAATTCTGGAACGTGTAGATTTATAGTCACTAAAGGACTTACCCAAACTCTCTCGAAGTAATCCAAAGATAAAAGCTCAGCTAGATAGGTCCATGGTCTTTGCGTAAAGCCTGGAATAACTCCGCTATTTATGGCTTCATCAATCAGATAGTCCTTTGTTGGCAGACTATCTACGAATTCTATGGCTTCCCCGCTCTTCGCTGAACCCTCGCCAAGCCAAACCAGAACTAATTTGGCTGTTGAATATATAGTTCCCATGAGCTGTACCTGCTGATCAACTTCCGAAAAATTGCTTTGGTCAATGCAAAGAGCATCAACCCACAGAATTCGTTGCTCGATTGGGCTGCGAACATGTCTTAAGAATGAGTAAAGATTGTGTGATATATGCTTCGGTCTTTCATTGATCACAATGCGGTGACTCTGTTTTCTATGACTCCAACGGTATGATAGAGCTTCAAAAGGAATGGCATCCGCTAGTTTGACATGTCGAAGTTGGCAGACAATATGTTCCTCAGCCTTCCCAGGAGCTAGTTCTAGCAGCCTGATCTGGCCTTGCTGGAGTGGTTTGTACAGATCGGACATGGAGATGGCGATCACGATTATGCCAAATATATCATTTCCAGATCTTTTTGTGCATCGTGGGCTTGATGATCAGCGAAGATTCGAAGATCAAGACACAAATTCTTCGATAATCGCTGATCGATGTCAAAATGAGGAAAAAATAACAGAAGCTACGCTCTGGGCGACGAGCTCCACATGTTCTGTTACTTTGTGGTAAACAAAAATCAAGATCGAAGATCAGCTAATAGATGAATACAATATGTGACACGTTGAACGAGGTCAAAATCGCCCGCTAAAGTCCAGGATGGGATGTTTCACACAGCCACAGAAGTATTGCTAATTTTGGAATAGCGTAAGTTTAATAGTCTGCTGCTACTGTTTGCCGCTGATAAACAGAACTGTGAATAAATCTGTTACTTATATCTGCTTTTTATCATACTCTGTGATCATCTGATTCAAGAATTCCAAGGTGTTATACAGGAAAATCCGAATTTTAGAATGAAGACATTGTTATATCCACGTGTTCGTTGCTAGGGTCCTGCTGCGAAGCGAATAATGGTATCACTATCAACATTTTAACACTGAAGTCAAGTGCAGCTGAAAGAGAAGACATGCAGCTGATACAACAATTATTAAGCACAAAGAGCCACCATAAATCTCTGATAATCACCACTCGTCTCGCCTCTAACACGATCCACAAGCCTTCTGCCATGGAATCTTTGGTAAGCGACATTTACCTGGCGAAGGTGCTCTTTGTTCCAATGTATCCTGACCAGTCTGTTGATAAGAAGTTCATCTTTAGTTCCCAGTCCTTTCATGGCTGCCTCCAAATCATCCGCATCGCTTTTGACCTTATCTACCGCACGAGCAAGCATCAGACGAAGGGAATGCTCCATATGTCCCGAGAAATTTCCTTTGATCACATTGTCAAGAGGAGTTCGATATTTCTCATTATATCTATGTGCAATAGCGCGCAGTTGACCATCGGAAGAGTACGCGAAGATCTGACAAACCACGTCTTGGTTCGAGCCTAGTTTGGTCCCTTCCGTAGCGGCTTGAATACGGTCGACCTTCTGATCAATTTCATGAGGTATGCACGGCGCTGACTCTTCAGCGCGGCGAGCTTCGAGAACGTAACTAAAAGTAAGATCAGCATAAAGATGATTTTGACCATCGGTTTGAAAAGGATGCCAATAGGATGCAGTAGAAAACTTACTCGTAGAGCTTTTCAGTCTTCATTGACAAGTCACCCTTGATATCTTTGACCATGTCTTTTCCGAACATCTGCTGATATGCATGTTTGATTGCGTTCAAATCTGCATTTGACCGGCCAAGGCATATTTCGTCAAGGAGTTTTTCCTTTGTTCCAGCACCACGGATAGCACAATTAACTGCGTATGCATCTTGGAGTAGCGGTCCACGAGCTAGTGCGCAAAGGGCCTGGAAGCAGTCAGCCGTCAATCAATGGTATAAGATTAAACTCCAACAAAAAGCAGCATAATTGCGAACCGTTTAGTCAATTTGAAGTTCGCAAGACGCTTCCTTTCAGACCGTGGCAAGAGAACACACCTCTTCGAACCACCCACTGGTTTCAGACTGCAAGTCCTTGATAAGCGATCTCCTGAAGCGATCGTCGTACGTCCGTCTGAGCTTCTCCATGTGCGGCGCATCCGGCACCGACGCCAGCGTTTGAATCAGCTTCTTCTCGTTCGTTCCAAACCCCTTCATCGCGTCTCTCAGCTCCGCCGCCGGCCCGTTCATGTCCGTGGGGGGAAGCTGTCCCTGGATATAGCCGGGCGTGGCCGGCGTGGGCGGCCCAAAGTTCTGAGGGGCTGGCGCTCCGTAGGGTGGCTGCTGCGGGGGATAGCCCGGCTGACCATAGGGCTGGCCTGGTGGAGGATACTGGCCGTAGGCTTGCTGAGGAGGTGGGTATCCAGGTTGTCCTTGGGGTGGTCCGGGAGGAGGATACTGTCCGTACCCTTGCTGTTGAGGTGGCGGATAGCCCGGCTGGCCGTACGGCTGCTGCGGAGGGGGATAAGCTGGATTCATGTTTGGAGGCGGGTAACCCTGTTGAGTTGGCGGATAAGGCGAGTGTCCATGAGGAGGATAATGGCCTTGCGGGGCATAGGGCGGTTGCTGGCCATACTGGGGAGGACCGCCCTCTATGTAAACAAGTGAGCGACTGTCTAAGGACGGGACGTCCAGCTCTGCTTGCGTCGCAACTTACGATATGGAGGATACGACATGGTTTGAGCGTTCTGTTAGCCTAGAGGGTTTAAGACGTTCTAGTCGAGCTGAGAGACGGAGAGTAATACGAGACGGACGAAATGGACCAACGATGTCACGACTGCCGTAGATAAGATTCGGGCGAGCACAAAAGCTAGATGATGTGTGGAAGGAGCAAGATTCCGTCCAAAACGGCCTTACAGCTTGAAATACGTCGCGCTCTTCTACAAGTAACAAGTGGCGCAGCTTACGCGCCAAAAACCAAGTCGTCTAGCGCAGACAGGCGGCGGATCAATTGAGTCCGGGTGACGATACGGTTTTGCGGGCTATGCAAAAGCCAAAAGTCTTGGGCGACTACTGGTGCTCCGCATCTGTGGTGGCTGTGTCCTGCTGATTCATGGGCTGTTTCTTTGGCGCTTAGCCAGCGCGCACTTTCGTTCTGATGCCTAAAGCATGCCTTCAGCCGGGCAGATGCGCGACACTTGCGCGGCGGAGAGAAATTCGATGGTTGTCCGTTGTTCGGCCTGAAGCGCAATGGCGTTTTGATGGGGTCGCTCGGCAAAAGCAACGCCTCGCGCGCATGTTCCTGAATCCTCAGCCCGATCCTAGCGTTTGACGAGGCTGAGGTATTGCCTGTGGCGTGAGCAGCAAACAATCCGCACTTTGCAAATCGTATAAAGTGGAAAGAAGCGCAAATCATGGCAAGTGGCGAGCCTGACGTGGTCAGCCGCGCAGAAACCCATGAAAGGTTGAGGCTGTCGCATGTCTCAGAGGCATCATGAGTGAATGATGTCATAGTAGTATACAATTGTAGAACAAAAAGTTTCAATTGAGGCTCGAACAAGCGCTTGCGTGTGATAGCTATACTACAAGGTATTTTACATCGTACAAAGGTATATTCTTAGGTGTTCGTGGGTATCATAAGGAAGGTATTCATCAGCGAAAGCAAGCGGCCGTGACGTTTTACAGAAACACGATCTACAATCGAATCCAGACCCCGCAGCCCGCAGCCAAATTCATCCATTTTTCTCGTCGCAGAGAACGCTGAGATGAACGTCACTTGCGTTTGTCAAAGGCCCCTTTGATGCCTTCCCAAGCCGCGAGGATGCTGTCGGTCATGGTTGGTCGTCGAGGCGAGTCGTATCGCGCCGGCATGGACGTCCGTCTCTTGTGCCTACTCCTGTCCGAGTCGCTTGAATGATGGCCACTCTTGTAGGATCCGCTCGAGGACCGGCGGTGTTCAGTCGACGTATAGGACGAAGTTGGATAGCTGGACGGCGCGAAGCCGGGGTTATGCCAACCAGATCCAGGAGGTGAAGTACCGGCAGCTACTGGGTGCAAATGACCAGGCGACGTGCCGTACGTGCCACTATGATGGCTTGTAGGGGATGCGCCATTCATGGGCATCTGGTGTGGAGGTTGTGCCATGTGCTGAGTTGGACTGGTAGCATACGGACCACTTTGTGGGCTGTATGCCATGCCGGGGCTGCCGCTGTACCCTCCCGGCGGAGTCATGCCATAGCCGGGTATTGGTGGCGGTGGATAACTGCTGTACCCGCTTGAGACGGAGGACTGTCGACGAGGGCGGCCTGGGATGTCTCTAGGTGCAGAACCACCATTCGGTCGCGGATACTGAGGAGTGATGAATTGAGCGGATAGGTTGTGCTCGCCCGCCTGCGGCGTGAAAGACTGATTGTAGGACATGGCGAGCAGTTGATGGTTTGTGTAGAGCGCTGTTTGTTGAATCTTGTCAGCCTGTGTTTGTCGTCCCTCATTCTCTTGCGGGACGCTCAACTCGCTCTTACCTAGCGCAAGTACTTAGAAAAAAAAAGGGTTCTCCGAACCATATACAAGCACGATAAGACGGTGGCTTTGATAAAGTCTGCTGTCGCTATGCGGCGTTGAAATAATTGTAATTGTCTCCAATCCAAAACGCTTTATAGTCGCAGGCGGTTTCACGGCGCACGAGTGAGACTCAGATGTATTGTCCCAGACAACAGATAGCGTAGATAGTAAATCACTGTGTGTATGCAGGGCAATTGGTAGCTCAGCATATACTTTGCTGGGGATCCCTGATTCGAGAAAGAGTCGAGAGAACAATTAGAGAACAGACGAAGAGAACTGGGCTTGGTCGATTTCAGCAAAGATGGAGGAGAAAAGGTGCATTATCACGATGAGATATAAGGACCTGGGGGCGAGGGAAAGGCTGAGAGGACTATGACCAAAAACAGGGCATCTTCGACGGGACGGCAGGACTGCCACATGGGAGAAACTCCGATCGCCGCTAGCGGTAGAACTGGTGTGGTTCGCATTCCGTCGTGCTGCAGCGGCAGAAGAGTCGCTTAAACCATGATCGTCGTGAGCAGCGGGTCGATGGGCGGCCAATTGGGCGGCGTCCAAAGACCTTCGAAGGCTTCGAGCCAAGGTATAGAACCCTTGACGTCGAAGGCGCGCCGTCTTCCCTGCTCATCTTGGCCGATGTCAAAGTAAGAAAACGCCTTTCCATCCGAGCCCTCCCTTCACGCTGGCTTCCCCAAACCCTGTTGGTGCCCTTAGAATTTCGTTCCGCAGCGGAGAGCCCGCGCGAAGAAGGATCAACTGCCAGAACTGAAAATAGCCAAGCGGACATGTATGCGCACGGAACGGGCAGTATCTCGTCGCGTCGCGTGCGTCATTCATGGACATCCTCCTGGCTGATTGATGCTATGCACTCTGAACGTTGGGTCTGTGGCAGGCGGCGAACGTAGCGTTTCCTGTTGCCCTTGTGCAGCCTGATATCACCTTCGTACGCTTGATATGACGACAGCTGCTTTGTTGCTCATTCTCGTATACAGACAAGGCGACATTGCTTTGCTACCCCTCCGTCCGGTCAGAATGCGCCAAGTCCTATTCTAGGGGGGGGGAGACATGTCGATGGTTCGTCCGGCAGTCCAAGTTCGCATTCATCAACCCCTCTCTTTCGTAATTGAAAAGACCACGCCCTGCCGGCCTAAACTTTGGAGCTCTCGCAGACGAATCTAGACCATGATTTGTAATTGAAAAGAAAGAGAGTAAATGCAAGTCAAATCGCCGTGGATGGAGGCTCACGTCGTCAGATGATGCTTTGTATGATATTGATCATGTGTTGGGGGGGAATAAGCCGTGTAGAGATGACATGAATCGTCCAAGGTATTTGCACAGAATCAACGAATCCTATAACTAACAAAAAGCACATTTTCTCGTCGCGAGGCAGAGGCACGTGTGTCGCCCTCAACAGCAATCCTTCGGGGTTTCAAACGTCGTTCCTTATGAACTGACTTTCGCGGGAACTGAGAGTTGTCAGCGAAGGCACAGCAACTCAAGTCAGGCTCCACGTGACATTCTCGCTCCCCACGCGCCCTGCTGTTTTCAAAAATTGAAAGGGAAGCAAACGAGCCGCATCAATGTTGAAACTTGGGCTTCCAAAGAACTACCGGCCTTCAAAACAGCGCTGCACGCAATAGTGTGGGACGCTGCAGTGGACCTCGCCTGTCGTGACGAGGCTGTTACCCGCCAAAACTGGGATTGAGGTCTTAGCAAGGCCAAGATCTACGACAATCACACAGCGAAAGGTTACCCATCCTAGAGCCAAGGGTTCAGACTTGGCTTCTATTCAACGCGGAACTCCCGGTGAGATCAAGAGGCAGTGACAAGGTGTATGTGAATTGAAATGGATTGGGCGCTGAGCTTGTCGAGCTCAATGAATCACGTCTGGGTGTGAATGTTCCCAACGTGCTTCGCGTGACTCGCTGCTTATCACTACGGCCGCACTGCACAGAGCATGGGGAGAGTTCACTCGACCTCCTCACCTGAAAGTGATTCAGAGATATTCAGATCTGATTGTTGCCTGTACAATACAAGTTGACACTCCTTTCGTCCCGGACCCCTGAGAGCTTACTTTGTCTGCTTTCCCATTCAAAAAGACATTCAATCCGTTTCTCACCTTCCACCGTAATCTGCTCAACACTGACAGTGTCCTCAAAGAAACACCTCCAAAATGACCGAAAGCAATGCGTCACTGTCGATACCCGAGCCGGAGGCTCTTCCTTTGCCACAAAATGCTGAGACGGCAGATCCCGTCGTTGATAGTGCCGATACCAGCAAGTCCAACAATCCAGGAGTCAAAGCCACTGACCGCCCTACCACTCCGGAAGATGCTACGTCCGACATGAAGATGTCGACTGCTGCTAAGGAGCCTAAGACGCCAAAAACGCCCAGGTCGAAGAGGACGACGCCAGCCAAGCGGGCTACCGAGGACGAAGAGAACAGCGTCAAGTCGGCTAAGAAGGCAAAAGGCTCACCAGCCAATGCTCGCCAGTGGATCCCCCAAAGCGTGGACGAGATGAAACCAGAGGACAAAATGCTGGTGAAGTTCAAGGAGGTACGTGCTGCTTCTAACCCTGAATTGCCAGTGCTCTGAATCTTAATGTGCGTTGGCAGGAGGGCAAGCCGTGGTCCGTGATCAATGCCGAGTGGGAGAAGATGACGGGCGTCAAGCCCGGGGGATCCACGCTGCCCAACCGCTACAACCGCATCAAGGCCGCCATCGCGTGCGTTGCCGAGGCGGATATGGAGCAGCTGAAGGCGTCCGCTGCGGCCATCGACGACGCCATCGACGCCGAGCACAAGGATGCGCTCTGCAAGAAGTGGGCCCGCGTCGCGAAGCACATGAAGGAGCACGGGGTCGGCACCGACTATCAGGTAAGGCGCGATCGAATTTCTTTGTCTGCTCCGACGCGCGGAACTGACCTTCGCACAGCCGTCGACGCTTGAAAAGCAGTTCAAGAAGCTTCAGGCTGCAGAAAGCACCCTGCCGACCAGCGCTGCAGCCGCGGCTGAAAACGGCGAGCAGGATTACGCTGACGAGGAGCCGGAGAGCGTGTCTTCTGACGCAGCGCCTTGATTGCCATATATTTCACCTCAAAGCGCTATTGGCAAATGCAACCACAGTGTATTGAGATTCAATGGTAGACAAAAGGTCGCTCAATAGGGAACAAGCCCCTTGAATTTGTCTGTCAGAATCTCTTTTTCTTTTTTCCACCGTGTCGTACTTGGAATGCAAGTGATGTTTAAAGTGCTTTTCGCGATTCGAACAAAGTCGTAGTACGCTCCGTCGCCACATTGTTTCCATTCGTGACAGGCTCTGATGCTTTCGCTTCACGTAATCCAAGGTCGAGATGCTAGACGCTTTTGGTGGCCTCGCCTGCTTTGCGGCCCTTTATCCATATGTTTATGACTGCTCAAAAATCGCAAGAGCCACTCCTGAAGATAAGGCATTGAGTTCGATAATTTGAGGCTAGGCATGTTGCGCATGGCATCCGCGTTCATATATAGGCGAAGATCTCGAGCGGGCGCAACCGACAGAGTTCACCTGTCCCACAAGAAGCAAGTCGTGTGGACTTTTCCTCCTTTGCGCAAGGCCTCGTCTTCTTCGCCGGTGTACCATCCGTTGTTGATGAGCCCGTTCTCTGTCTCACGCCACTGCTGGACCTTGTTCTCATTCTCGCCACTCTTTGGATCCAAGTCGCCCAGTCGCACGTCCGCACTGTCGGCAGAAAGCTTCACGAACATGGTAGCGTCGCGCAGCGTCATTGCCATGGCGAGGTCAGACGTGTCGGCACCCGGTCTCAGCCGTAGAACTCCCGACGGGTCGTAATGCTGCTGTAGCAGGCAAAGCCGTTTAAGAAGTTTATGGGCCTTTCCATCCGGTAGAAACAACGCCGTGAGTCTCTTTTCGTAGCTAGACATTAGCAAGGTCATTGCACAAAAGGGGACATGCAGACTTTGGCTCACTGTGATGATGGCTTCGGTCGAAGCAGCCGCGGGGGACGCTCGAAGAGAGGCGCGATCATTCCCCCCGTGAGAAAGACTCTCATCTTTATACAGCAAGGCGTTGCCAACGACAAGTCTCTCAATCTGTGCTCGTACAGAGACCTCATCGCCGGAGCACAGTGCGAGTGAACACACCGTCTGCGTGGGGTCTGTTCCTCTTTTCGCAGCAAGAGCACACGTCCTGCAGCGCCGCGCGTTTGGCGGAGCCGTCGGCGACTGAGCCAGCCACTTCGGCTTGAGATGGAACAGAGCACCGGCTTCAGAAGTCGGCAGCATGGAAGTTATCAGCATGCCGAAGGTCTCGTCGTGCTTGATGTGCCAGCGACAGCGCGTCTTCGGCCTCAGCCCCGCGCGTTCGATCTCGTCCAGGTGCGCGTTGCAGCGTTCGACGAGACTGGGCTCCACGCGCACGAGCTCTTGGTCCACGAGCTCGCCCGGCTCAAAGAGCGGCTTGACGAGCTTGTAAAAGTGCTCGAGCACCTCGACGGTCGAGATGAAAGGCGGCGGCGGCCGCTGTTTCTTGGATGCCTGTGGGCTGAGTTCTTCCCCAGACCACGTTCCCTTGCGCAACCGAAGCAGCGTCTCCTTCAACGACGGGTTGGAGCCCAGAGACCAGACCACGTTTGCAGCGCCTTCAGCGACATATTGGATTTCTACGCGCGAAGCCGAGCCTCCTGGGTCGTCTACGGTCAGGACCTTCTCTGGCCCATGTGGAGAAGAAGAAGGGACAGGAGCAAGGACAAAGTTCGCCACCACAGGAGACGGCATCGAGGGGGCCACACTTCTTGAACGGCGGATATCGACGGCGGCAAGGACATGGAGACGCGCAAAGGTAGCAAAGCACACGAGGTTCACTGCACGTCCTGGGCACACAGCCGCTCTAAATCTTTCGTCAGCACCCTTGGCCAACGGCTAGGACAACGAGCGCAACCGTGATCTCTCGACATTCGTTGGACTTCTCGACGTATGATTGGCTCAGGCGTTTGGGGCCGAAGAATTGGACAGTTTTCAATCGGCTTTGACAGACTGTACTTGGTCGCGAATGGGCGCACTTGAGGTGCATTCATTGACTAAGGCGCCAAGGCCGAGGCATCGCATTTCAATGGATGTAGTTCTTCTCAGTCGACGCGAAGCGATTTGAGTGATCGCACTGAATCTCGCTTGCATTCTACGTACGTGGTGGACGTTAGATATGCACCTGACGCTGTCGCGAACAAAGGGTCAACTTTGAAGACAATTTCATTATCTATCTACGCTCCTCCAGGCGCTGCCCGGTCGTTGCAAATACAGCTTCTCAAATTCACGTCAAGACTCTGCTTGTGGCACGCCGTTGGTCAAAGTCCCGTACGGCACAGAGGAGTAGTTGCCAAAGCAAGCGTATTCATACTGCGATTCGTTGAACATCGTGCTCTGCACCTTGATAAACGTGCTGAGCTCGCACCATCCGTCGGTGCGGCTGCCGCACTCTGAGAAGCTGCGGCCCATAGGAAGCGTGCGCTGGTTCAGAATGAAGTGAATGTACTGTGTTGCGTTGCCAGACGTGTACGCGTCGGCACCTCCGGAAGTGCGGGATGCATTGACTGGGCGAGGCGCGTTGATGACTTCTATATCCAATCTCGCCCCGAACGGCTCCAGATGCGAGACGACCAGGTCGTGCATGGGAATGTGGTCCGTTGGAAGCGTCGCGTTGAACTGGGTGAAACCCAGCGCTGTGAGGATGCTCATGATGTTGGTGTCGTGGCTGAAGTCGAAGTTCAGAGTTTGGTCCAGTGGGAATGTACTGGGCATGCCGTCAAGCGTGTAGTTCACGTTTCCATCCGGGCCGGTGATGTAGTGGTGCTGAAGGCGAGCGAGGAGTTCCTGTTGCCAGCCAATACCAACCGCACGGCCTGTTGGGCTCTGGAACGCATTGTTGCCGGAGAACGAGAGATCAACGCTGTACTCGTAGCCAAGCCACTCTTCATACGTAAACAAGCCGCAGAAAGCGGAATAACCCAGAGCCACGGTTTCATATGCACACATGGACTGTGCGTTGTACGTATCAGTCAGGGTCCAGTTGTAGCCGGAGATCTGCTTCGCAATTCTCGCTGTGGCATTTTTGAGATAGACGGCTTGCCAGGCAGCAGAGGCGTTCTTGCCTCCAGTTGAAACCGCCGATTTGGCATTGGGACACTGATGGCGGCCGGCAAGGCTGTTGTTGAAGCCGTTTTCTTCGATGATAAGCTCAAGCGTGGCATTCTGCGGCCAATCCAGACCAAAGAATCCGGCGAGGAAGTACTCGGCGCTCTGGGTCATGCGGTCTTCTGTGGTAGATCTGGCCACAATCTTGGTGCCGTTGTTGGGGTAGAGATGACCGTACATATATTGATGCAGAACACCACTGTCGAACAGCTCCTGCTTGCCAACGGGCACAAGAATATTAGCGCCTAGCTTGTAATTCCACGTGTTCAGAAAAGCAAGGTCGCCGGTGGCATTGAGCGTGGAAGAAGCGTTCTTCAGCTTGGCAGCGAGCATCGCTGCACCGCTGTCGGAGGTTGGGTAGCGGGCCCCATGACGGGAAAGCATGTATAGAAAGCTGATGTTGCAGTCCTTGGGCAGGCTGAACTCATTCACACCGAAGCCATCCTGGCGATTGCGGGTCAACAAAGACGCACACTCAAAGCACGTGAAGGATCACTGTGCATGAGAAATCATACCGGATTAGGAAAGTAGTGCGAAAGCTGTCCATGCAACTGGTAGATGTTTGAGTTATTTATGTTCCCGGCAATGGGCACTTGGGTCTCCAGCGGCGCATTTGGTATGTATGATGTGGATGGAAACGGTGCGGGATTCGTTTCTGCCAGGAAAGCAGGCACACCGGTTGGCGTTGGTCCTACAGCTTGATTGTCAACGTGTTGATCGCAGCGAGGCGATATGAAGAGTATGCTTTTACCTGCGTAGATCTCGGGCGTGGTCTGGAAGTACTGAGGAACAGAAGAACTGGAAGCTTCGTTCAGCACGCCGCCGCTCACCGCTGAGAAGCCGGAGACAAAGAGCAGAGTATAGGTGAGCATGACGAAGATGCCCGAAGCGACGAGACAGGCAGAGACAAGTTGATAGATGCAGTAACGACTTCTCCTCGCACCGGGATCCGGCTCGAATATATCAGGACCTTTCCAAGAGCCATTGTGCCAGACGCATGACGATTGCCTTCCCAACAACTCTCCTTGGGCCATCGTCGCAGTCACATCGGCGGTGGAATGTCGTGGCTTAGATCGGTGCGTACGTTCGCAAAGCACAATGGCACGGATGCATCCTAGGACGATCAGAGGCTCCGTGGCCGACCTTTTTAACAAGCTTTCGCTGAGCAATGAGCAACGATGATTATGCTGCTGGGTTAGTGAGGGGTCCATGCGATGTCGCCTCCTGGCTTCCCGCTTGCACGTACAACCCCCAACTACCTGCTCAAGCTGTTCTTCTATTGTGGCCCTGAAACTTGGTGAAATTCACGCATGGCTATCGCATCTAACCGTGTCTCAAAAACGAGCTGAATCCTTACTAGCACCCGCATGTAGCACGAGGCTCGGTACATGCCCGACGATTGACTCGCCGTGAAGTACAGGCTCTATACTAATCTGCAGGACCGTTCTTGGAAGTTAAGATCAGAAACCTATCGCGACGGTCTGTGAATGCTACAAAGCTGAATGCATGCATGATCAGCTCGTGCCACTCAAACTTGCATGGAAGCTACAAGTAGCTCGCTTCAGCTCGCTGTCTGATGACGAAAAGCGGTGCAAAGCACAGGATTATGCGCACATCTGAATGCGGGCTCTTCGCATCCACGTGAAAAGCCGCAGGCACAGGCAGCTACAAGCAAAAAAAAAAAAAATGAGCACTGAATTGTTCACCGCTCAAATCTTTGTGCAGCTGAATGTACAAAACACAGAGACGTATTTAGGACAAACCATAGCTCCAGAGAACTTTCTCTACCTCATCGTCATTCGGACACCACCTGCGAGCGGCCAAGAGCAATCTCTTCGAGGCATGCCTCATGCTCTGGTCTCCAGTGCCTCGCATGGCGTCGTCCAGAGCCAGAGGAACGTACTTCGCCATTTCCATGCCGGCCATACCTGTCCTCAGATACGTCATCCCCATGGCTCTCCTTGCATCATTCGGGAAGTTATCGTGCGGAGCATCATGTGGGTTTACGTGCTCTCGAAGCAGGTTGATGGTACGCATGCCCCAGAAATGAGCCTCGGATAGATACTCCAGTCTTTTTGGTTGATCAGACGCCATACCCAGACGAACGTATGCATTGGTGATCTTGGAGACGAGCTCGACGCGCAGGCACAAGCGCACAATTTGCCCGTGCTTGCCCCTGAAAGCTCCGGATGTGAGGAACCGATCAAACCAGGCGTCACCCCAGATCGACCTGCGGCGCTTGATGCAAACAATATGCATAGCGGCAAATGATTCGATGTACTTCTCAATTGCAGCGTGGTAGTCTGGAGTGGCATTGCCTTTGCCATTGGAGTCGCCTTCTACTGCTTCACAGAATTTGTCTCCCTCCTCCATCAGTTTCTTTGACTCACCCAAACATTGTTCAGCCGATTTGTAAGGTGTCAACATGCGCTTTCGCATCTCGTCCTCGATGTCTTTGTCTACGGTGATGCCCGGATCCTCGCTGATCACTTTGGTATCTCTTAAATTCTTGACGTTGCCGAATGGCAGTAAGATTTTCCTCTGCAATTTCTTCGTCATTTTCACGTAGTCGTCGCCGTCGGGCACACTGGGGTTGCGTAGGTACAGCCGCAAGCGAAGATGCGGGTTGAGGTCGCCGGCGTAGGACAAATCCGAGTACATCCACATCTTGGTGAATCTATCAAGATCATGGACGAAGACAATAAACTTCTTGTTCTCATTCTCGTCCTGCTGGTGGAATGGGGCATCGATGACGATTCGCACATGCACTTGGCTAAACGTCTCTGCGGCCTTCCCGGTCATCAGGATAGGCACCATTCCCTCCACCCTCACATGTTCTTGTGCCTCTTCCCATGGCGTCTCAATGCGTGCGAAGGTGTTCCAGGGTAGAACTTGGAGCATGCGCTTTGCCTCTGCGTACACCTGCTTACAAGTTCGAAAGAAGCGGAGGTCGTAATTGTATTTCGCTATGATTCCGTCCTCGCCAATCGTGCAGTTGTCTTCGGGATTCAGGAGGTGAGTATAAATCTGGTCTCGGAGCTCTGCAGGAAGGTCCATAAAGCGGAAGGGCTGCATCGTGTGCTCCAGGTGTCCCATTTTCAAAGGAGAGGCTATTAACCCAGCGGGCTGCCTGGAAGGAAGTAGAGGGTCTGGATTCGAGTGTGAGGCACTAGGCTCCGGACGAGCTCCGCAACGTGGAGCCAAGTTCCGACGAGGGGACAGTCGTGAGGGAATTTCCCTCCACAAGATGGAAGTTTAAAGAACCGGGGAATGTGGTCGACAGTCAAATCCAAGCGGTCGGTTGACGAAGCGTTGATACCACGAACGCACGCGAAATGCATTGCTAAAGTGGGCAATGTCAGTTGCACCCGACGAAGTCCATGGACGAATCAAGACGGAACTCGGCTTTCTACAGACCAATGAGCATCGGGAACAACAGCCGTGTCACGTGATATTGCGCTCCGCATGAACTCAAGTCAAACTCATCCGTCCCGTCGACAACGGTTCCCTCGCACCCGTAGATGCGCCCTCTCAATGTCATTCGACGTTTTCACGCGGCATCTCAAGCGATGTAAAACTGTTCCTCCCTTCGCTCTAGCAAACAGCCTCATCTCCTACTTTCAGCTTATGCTGCTCTGGCATCGTCAGAAGAAGCAGCGGGCTGCTGTGAAGCTAAAGGCACGTCGTAGGTGCGCTGCTACGGCTGACTTGTGGCTCACAAATTCCAGCTGTTCCTTTGGAGGGCATTGGACTTATGTAAAATATGAAATACGAAGCCTGCCGTTGAGAAAACCAGACTGATAGAAGCCAAACCCTAGATTGGCCTGGCGGGTTCAACCGTGCATACAAAGACTGGGTAAAGGCCATTCAATCACCTGTTCTGTGACATTTTCGCACCTTCTCTCATTTTTTAAATGCTTAGATGTGTCGCTGAGGCACCCAATCCACCACAGACTCCGACAAAAGCTCATCGTGGCCGTGTCAAGCTCCCTTCCATGGCAAACTGCGTGTGGTTTCACATTTCGTTGCCCCGAAAGAACCTCCATTGTGGCACAATTTCAGTCCTTCATTTGAACGATGTAACGTATTTCATATCGAAAAGCAGCTAGCCGTATGTCGCTGTATGTCTGCGTTAGTATCGACGTCACGAACAGATGACCGCCTGGAAACACATGAGCATTTTAAAGACATCGGGACCACAACGTCGTTGTAGTCTTGCCTTTGATTGGGAAAAGACATTTCATTTCAATCAATGTCTAGCGTCTACGTACGAGACCGTCGTCGGATTCTGGCGTCGCTGGTATTCTAGTCCCCAAAATGCTATGCGAATGGATCCGCTGCGTCGATGCAAAATATGTCATGCCCAATTCCGGGTAACACGTAAACAGAACTGCCAAAAAACGCCGATTTCCATGCATTTCATCATGACTTATGCTAAGGCTCATATCCAACCAACACTGGCTGCGACAGCGAATCCAATGACCAACGCAAGAGCGCTGCTCTCTGTTCGTCTCGAGTCGCTTGAAGAAGAAGACGCGACTTTCAAATTTGCAGTGGTTACTTGCTCCCGCCCAGTCGCCGCGGTAACGCCGTTCAAAGAGTCTACGGTCGAGATGGCGGGGCCAACGTTGAACCAGTCCACAAGAATGTAATTGGGCGGGGCGCCATATTGCGATGTGCATTGCGAGGCAGAGTAGCCCAGAGAGCCCACAATACTGGTGTCAGGGCTGTTGGTCGTGTTTGCAGCAGCTACGTCCGGGACCTGCGCAATGAGTTCATTCTGGTCGAGGAAGTGGTTCATCAGGAACATTCGTCCGGAAGACTTGGCCGTGGAAAGCGAGCCCGCCACCGCAGATGGGCGCGCAGGTGTGCAAGTGAAGTTCGAGGCGTCAGTTACATCGTAGTTGTTCTCCCACACGTAGTCGAACTCATTCAGCAGGAACTCGGCCCCCGTGTTTGAGCTCAGGGAAGCGATGAAGATGACAAGGCGGGTGTCTGCACTGATCATCTCCTGGAGTGTGGGCCACGAGGACGGGGTCGACGAGGTTGGGGTGTATGCGTATTTGGTGATGCCGGAGTTGGTGAAGATCTCGCCCAAGGTTGTAGCATCCGCATTGGCGCCATTGACGAGCAGCATAGTGACAACCTCGTTGGGGTTTGAGTCCATCCAGGTCTTGACTTCAGTCAACCAACTCTCGACAGTGCCGGCGTCTAGCAAACTGCATGACGTGTGGCATAGATGCAGGTCGCTCGACGAGTTGGATGAACCGGCCGACTGAATCTGCGACTGAAGCAGCCGCACTCCGGCATTGAGCTGTGTGGTTGTGTTGAAATACTGATTTCCCGAGATGTCATAGCCGTTGCTTGAGTTCGAAATAAAGGCACTGTCGTGTGCGCCGAGATATGTCACGTTGGCGTACGAACGACTGCAAAGTGAGGGTGAATTATTGCAAGCTGTTGAAGTAGACGTGGTCTGGGGTCGAGCAAACGCTGTGCTGCCGAAGAGAGAGAAAAATAGCGCCGTCGATGCCAGTAAGGAATTCATTGCGTCCTTTTACCAGAAGTCCTTGGTGGGCCGAAGTTTAATGTACGGATTTGGCAATCGACTGGAAGTCCGATGAACGCCAATGGCCAAGAGTGGAAAAGCCCTTAGAAATGTCACTGAGCAAAATGTCGAATAAAAAGGCGAGACAGCGAATTAATCTTGAAGATCGACGCCTGCAAGCGATGGATTGTGATGTAAGTTCAGAAGACCAGTAGAGGATGGCCTTCAAGCACAGAATCGAGCCAGGTCAAACGACGGTATCAAGTGGTCGACTGAGAACGAAAGAAGAACGAAAGCTAGCAGTGAAACCAGAACGGCATCATCAAACAACGGATCTGGACGAAGACGAACTATTGTATTCAAGAATGGCGGAGACCGCACACCATTCGTACGTGTCGAGTGAGGGTCCATCCCCCGGACGCACAACATAGCCACGCTGGAGTATACGTTTGCATCCAAGACCAGAGATGTGTGGTGGGAACACGAGCTGACGAGTTTTTTGCGCGGCAGTGTCCTAAGCCGAAACGAGAGCGGTCTGAGACTGCGTTTGGCTCCGCCCACGCAGCCTATCCATGACGAATCTCAGGCGAAGCAAAAGGAGAGCAACAGTGGGCCGGGTGACATTATTCAGGTCCTGCGAAGAAGCCGTCAGAGTCAACAGCGCATACTCCTGCTAAGGATGGTAATGGCGAGCGGAGGTGAAATAGTGAGATAGTAATAGAAACGTGCGAGAACGACGAATGGCAATGAACCAAGGCACCGCCAGCGAACCAGAGCTGTAAATACTCGGGCGTCGGCTTTCTATAATTAAGCCACAACCGCTGTGGGACCACGCTATGCAAACGCTAACTTAGTCGTGACGTTCGCGCAAGTCGTTTCGCTTTCATCGTTCCGTGTTTGAGGATGATGGTTTCGTGCTCGCCGCCCTTTTTTTTCTAGCTGTCTGGCACAGCTGCTTTTGTTGTTCATCTGCAAGGAGTCACAGTCAGCATCAGGCCATCCGTCTCTCGTTCATCTCATATAAGACAATCATGGCGGCGAATGCCGTTCCCACGACCGTCTCCATTCGGTCCCCATCCGCCCACACGCTCGCCGGCGCAAAGAACGTTAAGCCGCCCATCTCACCACCGACCGTAGAATGGATGTCCGGCACTTGGCACGTAACACATTCGACGCTGTCCATGTGGAAGGACCGCTTCGGCGTTCGGATCACGTATACACCGCTCTCGTCCTCTATCCGGAAAGAAAAGAAGGCCTTTCCCAACCTCAAAGACGTCGTCGAGTACCAGAACACGCCTGGGGGCAGATATTCCAGCGTGAATGGCGTCAGTCGCAGCGTGACCGTGCCGGATCTGGGAACCGGCTGGGCTTTCAGCTGGAGGGGCAAAGGCTTGCTCATGATCGCCAACAGTCAGTGGGAGGTGCTGGGATATGGAACTGACCTCTCGGGCGCGAGCTCAGATGCAGAAGGACAGGGTAGAGACTGGATTGTCACCTACTTCGGCGAGACCATCTTCACCCCCGCGGGCATTGACATATACTGTCGAAGTGAGGATGGCGTGAGTGCCGAGTGCCTCGAAGCCATCAAGGCCGAGCTTGCCAAGTTCGAAAGGCCCAGCCTCAAGAGGCTATCAACCGAACTCTTCGCGATCCCGAGGAAGTAAAGCAAGAATGCCACAATTTGTCTTATATTTAGCGAGGATAGAGAATGCAAACATCAGGAGGGCGGAGCAATGTGTTGAGACCAGGTTAAATTGGTACCTCGTTATGATACCCGACACAGCAGTCACCAAGGATATCTGCCAATCATCTATATAGCATAACGCCTGTAAAGTACAATTCAATCGATTCTAATTACCAGAAGCCCTTTTACGCCATTGCATCGCGAAGCATGATGAAACAGCGTATCGCAATCTGGTTCTCGCAAGTCATGATCAAGTCTGGCGGTGTCCGTTCCCGGATCGCTTTTTGAACCCTCCTGCTACTAAGTCTCCTCGTGTCCGCCGGCTGGCAAATCACTAGATCCTACTTCTAAACATGACAGGATAGGCAGGGTGTCGCGTCGAGTGTCGAGGGTCGAGCAAAGAGCGGACGAGTAATCCGAGCCTACGGTTTGTTGGCTGAGTGGTTCTCCCTCCAGTGACAGGCGTTGCTGCTATGTCTTGGAAAGATCGGTCACCCAGTGACTTCAAATGATAGATCCTTATCCACTTCCCGTCATAAGAAAGTAAGACTCGTCGAAACTTGGAGCAATGGCTGAGGCTGGAAAGCAATGATCGATATCTGCGCCGCCATCATCGCCTCACCACGTAGCTCACCTTCAATTTCGAGATATAGCGGCGCGGCCGGTATAGGACTTTGCCGTGTCAGATGCTCACAGGACGATTCGCGGTCTGATACAACGAATGCAAGTGTACATGAAAACCCATGCTCTGTAGCATATCTCTTTACGGAGCTATCATAGTTTGCTTCAAAAGACTGTTGCAACTAAAGCGATCCGTTTATGGGAGGATGGTCGGCAGAGAAGTGACGCTGCGGGTTACGGATAAGGTGGTGCACTGTTCTGCCGTTGCATTCGATGTTCGATAATACACATAAGCAAATTGCAGTTCTGCGGACAATGATAAGATATTTGGCTGAAAGAGAGTGTGTATTGGGTCAACATACCTCTAAGCTTTCATGCGTCACGAAGGAAAAATCAAAGCCGAAGATTCAAGTCCTCGAGTTGCGGAGTGGAGCTCGGACCTCCGATCTCCTGTGTAGCTTCTGCACGTCTCCATCCGACAAAACCAGCCGATCTCCATTGCACTGGCATCGGCGTCAATTCCTCACTCCTCAAGCCGGATGCAATGTCCGGTCGTGAAGTTGTAGGTGTCTACACCTTCCATGCAAACGAGCCTGGTCAGGCTGCGCGCCAGGCCTGCCACATCAACCGCACTTCGACCGTACGCCAGTAGCGCATATCATCGTCGACTAAAAAGCGATGCAGCTCAAGAGCGAGGTTCTAAAGTTCGGGAAAGGTATAACGACGCTTTCAACAATGTGATTCGCAAAGTGCGAACAGGCTCTCGGGAAAGCTCCACAACGGAATCAACATCTTTCTCAGAGCTTAACACCACAACGCAACAGCAAGATGTCGACGCGGACAAAGTCCGAAAATCCAACCAGTTCCGCAAGGTGCTGTGCGAAAACTCAGGGAAAAGCATCGATTTGCAAAGAGGGGGGTTTGCCAACGCATCCATACCGACGAAACAGGGCACGTCTCCGAAAAAGCTTCCGTTCATCGATGATGCGGAAGAGACACTAAGAAGAGGCCTAGATAAGGACGATACCATCCAAGAATGTGACAAATGGGGCAAGAGCCCGGAGATATGGCTCAGCTTGCTACGCAGGGAAGCTCGTCTCAAGGGTAGCGTGGGCGTTGAGCAAGTGTGGACGCTGATCAAGGAAGCTGAAGTTGAATTGCCTGCCAGAAGCGCAAAGGCAGGTCAATTCTGGACGATATTGCTGAGCGCTCCAAAACTACACGACGATGTCGTCGCATATGCCTTCCAGCTGTACGCGCGAACGGGACGAGCCTTTCCTCCACTGTACACCATGATCATGACCTACGTGTTGAGGACAGGCTCGCCAACGAGAACGCTGGGCTTGCATCGCCGATTTCTGGAAAACTACATCATACCACGAGACGCACTGCGCAAGCTCGCCGCACCTGCATCACTTGCACAAACCAATCTTGGCCTCGAGGCTTTCAGGACCATCTACGAGGACCTGCATAGAATATGCGAACCGTGCTATGACCAGCTCATTCCCGCACTACTTAGCGCAGGCAAGTTTCGACAAGCTCTACGCTGGCACAATATTTTGAGCAAGAACAATGATTCACCGAGCCCCGAAGTTGCACGCTCGGAGAAGATGCAAGTATTCCTGCAATTACGGCAGCGAGTGCAAGAGAAGCAAGGAGCGAGGTGGAGACGGTTACGTGCGCATGAACTGGAACGAGCTGCGCAAGCGAAGACTATACTTGAACAACCAGGTGGCTCACCCAGACCCTCCCGAGACGCGGAGACACGTACTGTGCCGTTGGTTTCAAATACAGCTCATCACAAGTCTTTCAAGGCCAATAATAGCTTCTTTACTCCTCCTGAGCCTGTTCTGAAAAGTTTTGCGAAAAGTATGGAAAACACAGCAGCAATACCAAGATCGCATGCCTCAACACGGGGCTTGTTGTCCTCTCTGGTCTCCGAGGTTCAGCATGCTGGCACCGAGGGCTTCAGCGACGAGTTTTGCGCTCGACTATACGCTACTCGAGCTCTCACGATATCATGGGTCACGTCGTTCCTACATGCCTTTTCGGTGAAGAAGATTGGCCCACTTGCCCTTCGCGAACTGGCTTTGCGGTGCGAGAGCACGGAAGACTTGCAATACTATATCGCCGATCTCGAAGACAAAGGTATAGCAATCGGAACGTCAAGGTTCTGTCGTGCTATCAAAAGGTGTGCCAATGACGGCCTAGTTGACATTTTACGTGGTCTGTTACACAGTGATCAACACCCGGATAGTCTCGATGATGAAAGACTACAGCGCAACATCCTTAACGAGGCAGTGCTTCATCATGACGGTCAGGCTGTGCACCACACTCTGACCCTTATGAGCATGTTCGCAGAGAACCCCAAGGAAGAGTACATGAATACCCTCCTTTGTGTCTACATTCGCCAGCAACGCATAAACGACGTGCTCACTTACGCGAATCAAATGCAATTGGAAGCTGTCAAAATCACGCGAAATACAGTCCAAGAGGCCATGCATCACCTTTTGCGACCTCGACAACGAGGCAAACGTCCACATATGCTAGACAGTCGATTCTCGTACGATGACCTCACAATCGTCACCAATTTGGTGCTTCGCGCACTTGAAGCTGGCACGGAGATCCCTGAATGGGCGCTGATTGAGCTCTTCAAGCGACATGGGATGAAGAATCTTGACAGTGTAGAGCGATTCTGCCATGCTATTGTAGACACGTATCGTTCCATCGTAGCGAAGCCTGCGTACGATCAAGGGAGCCGGGCGAAAGGCTTTGTCTCTCTTTCATATCTAGAAGGTCGCCAGCAACCAGACGAGCACTCCATCCGCGCTGGGCTGCCATTCGGCAATCCGGCAAACCCTCTTAAGGCACTTTTCACGCCCCGTAGCTTTCAGTCTATCATAGAGTGGGGTTTTCTCGACGGCCTACGCCGCCTCGCCGTCGCACGTGACAGTCATCTCCGTCCACATACTCGCCGTTCGGATTGGCTTACCAAGTACCGTCGCTGGCCTACCGGTGTGCCTCCACCTCCTCCGCAACAAACTTTTCTTCGTGGATTGGCGATAGTGCAGGATCTGGTGGATAAGGGCGTCCACATGTGGACAACGGCTGTGGAAGCGGCAATCAGACTGAGGCTGTGGATGTTATTTGGCCCTGGTAGAAGCAAGAGGAGAAGAAACATCACAGCGATGGCTCTGAATCCGTACGGGATCGTGGAACTATTAAGGGCGGCAGACAAGATGTGGAGAGGCCCCACACCCCTCTTCGCGCCCGTAAGGGAATTGCTACAGCCACTGCCTCCGGATAGTGCTTCTAGCCATCAACACGCGGCGCGTTCTTCTTCGGGTATTTCTTCTGCCACTGCTGCTCTTGCCAGCCACCACAACGGCGATGGCGAGGGGTTTGGAGCTGAACTCCCCTGCGACGCCACAAGAGATGGCCCCCCACCGTCGAAGACACCACAGCAAGATCTAACCGAGCGGCAATTGCGCCCTCAAATCGAGGCGCTGGTGTACATTTTCTGGACGGCTCGGACCTTGGGCGTGGACGGTGACATGCAAGAGAACAAGAAGGCCCTGACGGACGATGAGTGGGAGAAGTTCTTGCACAGATGGGCAAGAGCGGCAGCTTCGAAGAGGTTTGGCGCGTGATGGCTATGTGCGTGTTGACCTGGCTAGCTTGAAGAAACTGCCCATACATGTTGTGATATAACAGAATAGAAGTGCTCGCATACGACTTCGAAAATGAAACGTTTGAGTCTTTTCAACATTTTGCCCGAAACTTTCTCCAACTGACAGATGGCGTGACCCGGACTCGGAACTCGTTCCGCTCCGAGTTCCTTGTCTCTTCGTCAGACCTGCGACGTCATCGTGTCTCTCTGTTTCTATGCGTCACCCATATTCCCTCCACCTTGACTGCGGATCGTCTCGCACTCGCCATGGGCCTCGCCACCGCATCGTGCAAGGTCTTTCTGCGGTTTCGGCCCATGGAGTCAGACTTCTTAGACCGCGCTCCATTGACTAATGCTTAGCATACTTACTCGCTGGGGACGTACTTTCGCCTCTGGCGTTTCCGCGAGGGGAGATTGCCCAGACAAAAACCGTAGATCCACGACGTCGTCACTGTCGCGTTCTAGACGCGGTGGATTTGACGACGGGCCTCTGGTGATAGGTAATCAGCCCTCTCTCGAGCCAGGTCGTGTACATAACAGTTCCAAATCCGCGGCCTCGTGGAGTCTTTTGTGTGCATTTTTTTTGACTCCAGATATTCGAGGTTCTTTTCTGTCCGCTCTCGCGTCCGAGATTTGGTGAACCCACCTCGCCGTCGTAAAGAGCAGCGCAATCAGCGGTTTCCGCGGTCGAGACTTTTTTTTTTTCTTCTAATTTCTTCCCCAACGATACCGTCTCGGCGGGAGAAGGATTTGAAAGCGATCTGGGAAAGCATCCTACCAAGGACGGGAGAGTGGAGATGCCGAACATGGGTCCGCCGAAGCACGAAATGGTGTACTTCAAGGGGCTGGCGACGAGCACGCGAGCGTTTGGCGAGTTCAGAAGAGTCTTGCACACGGGTCTGTACAGCCAGCTCGTCGTGATGGAGGTTCCCGTAGGCGGTGAGATCGGTGAGTACCCTTCAGCGTGATTCGGCTCGAGAAGGGGCTGGAAAGGGAATCAAAAAAAAAAGACGTCAACTAACGTGCGACAATTTACCTGGGGAAAAGGCGACGAGGTGCACACTGTTGATCAGATTCTGATCTTCACGTCCGGCAAGGGCCTCGCCACCGTCGCGGGGAAGGATCAGGAAGTCGAAGCCGGAGACATCGTGATCGTGCCTGCGGGAACGCTGCATCAGTTCGTCACCAGGGGCGACAAGCCTCTGGAGTTGATCACGGTGTACTCGCCCGCGGAACATGCGACGGTTACGGTTCACAAGGATAAGGAATCCGGTGACAAGGAGGAGGAGGAAGGCATCGACGAGCCGCCCGAGTGGAGCCGGCAGAGCAAAGCGGATAACGAGAAGGCGGGTTTGGTAAACTTGAGCGGGAAATATGAAGAGTAGGAAAGTCTTCATGGACTCTCAATGCTCCGTTGGATTCGCACCATGTAATAGTAATGATAATGACACAAATAAACGCGCATCCCGTCCTATACATCTGATAAGACACTCTGCACATTAGTCGGCTCGCTCTCCAAGAGATGTTGTTCGAGTGGTAATATCACAGCTCCAGAGTCGACAGTCCAGAACGCTAGAGTTTAGATGAGACCACTTGTTTAACCTGTGCCTTTCCATCTGCATCCTGGCGAAGGATCTCGTCTACTGCCTCGTCTGGGCTGTAGTCATCAAGATATGAGACCCATTCCGGTGTGTTGTATCTAGCAAGTTTGCTTGCTTTCACACCCACGACGCGGTTTGGGTCGAATTTCTTCATTCCTTGATCTCTTTTCTGTTGCATCGGTCCGTCTGGCACCGTGAAGAACCTACCCATGTACGCGGAATATGGCCTAACGGCACTGCTACGTTCGCGCACGATCTTGTCACATATGGACAGGTAGCGCGGGATGTCCGCCGACACGCTCGCTTTGCGCAGAACGGCAGCAAGCGTTGCGGCGTCCTCCAGAGCCAGCGCAGCGCCGAATCCTGCGTTGGGGTCCATGCCGTGACAGGCGTCTCCAATGAAGATGACCTTGCCACCAGGAGCCAGTGACGTTGGAGGCGGAGGCACCTCGACCAGGCGCCATTTGAGAAACTTCACGCTCTTTGAGAGCATTTTGACAAACAAGGGGCTCCAGCCCTCGAACACGTCCTCAATCATGGCGAGATCCTCGAGCGGCTCGATGAGCTTGTCCGGATGCGGATCTCGGTCAACAGCGCGGTCCCATAGCAAGAATTGGATATCGTACACTTCTTGATGAGGCGCCGTCGAGGTTAAAGCCCATGAGGACGGGCCCAGCCACGGTCGCGCTGCAAGCATGTGGTAAATCTCTCGCGTGTCCTCGTCGGCGAGCATGGCGTCGCGAGGGATACTGGCTTGAAAAGCATAGTCATTCGTCACCCTTCGTTCGGAGCCGGGGAAAATGGCTTTTCGGACAACGGAGTTGGTGCCATCCGCGCCGACTATGATATCTGCCGATATAGTAGACCCATTGGCGAGTGTGATGGACGGAGCCTCCAGGTTCACACTCTGCACTGGCGCGTCAAATTGTACAGAGGCACCGGCAGATATCGCGGCCTCGAGTAAGAACTTTCTCAATTCGGTTCGGAGACAATACCATTGACTATGTCATGGTCAACGACTGTTGTTGCGACTTTGATAACGGACCCTTACCTACGCGCCCCTTTCCGTTGCTGCGTAGCGATGACATTGCCGTCTGCATATCTGATCAGCTCGAGCTGGCCCGACTCATGCGCAATTTTTCCCAGGTCGTCTAGTAAACCCCATTTCTGTAAAATCTTGACACCGGACGGCTGAATTTGGATTCCACTGCCGCTTTCCTCCTTGGAAGTGGCACGTCTCTCGTAGACGGTCACTGTGTGCCCGTCTCGCGACAACGCGATTGCAGCGCCGAGCCCAGCGATGCCGGCGCCAACAATTGCGATATTAAAAGTCATTGTACGCTTCTCTATCGTTCCACATTGTAAGGTGTAGTAGTTGTGTTTGAATCTCACGTTGAGTGTTCGGCGCAAACTTCCGTTTGCGGCTGTGGCCTGATACCGAACTGGTAAGCATGAAGCCCAAGAGCATCAAGCCCGTAAGCACGAGAAGCCGCCCTCTTTTTTTCAATCCAGACTTTCATTTCATCCATATGAACCATTGGGGGCAAGTCTCGTCGAAAATTGAACCAGAGCGTCTTTGTGAGACTATTGCAAGCTTTTGCAGCCAGATCAAATTGTGGCAAATGAAAGCACGTGATTCACCAATCCCATCTTCGCGGACCGGCCTATGTCTCCTCCGTCTCGTCCCTAAAAGAGTGCAACTCCTGTCTGACAGTAATGGCAGCACGCGACAGAGCTGGAGCTTCTCGCTAAGTATTCTTTGTTGATAACACATCTTCACCAAGTAGTCTGTTCACGAGCAGCAAAGGGGCGTCGGGGTGTCAAAATACAACATAGTGTTTGGCATATGAAATCTCTACGCCGCACGCTCGTCTCTTTTCCTTGAAAGGCATGCCCTCGCAAACGAGCGCTAGTAACTAGTAGCGGCAGTACAATGGCATCATGTTGATGTAAAAGCAAAAAGAGACAAAGAAAAGTTGGAGACTCCTTAACTTAGATGAACAACGCCGCCATGAGGCCTCCTCTTTGCCCATGAGCAAAAAGATTCATGCCAAAAATGCAAAACCATCGTCATTCCTTTCCTATCCTTGCCTTTATCTTCTGTAATATGATCTATTTTACAATTCGTCATGCACATCAGCGTCCTCGTCAGCACCGCCAGCGCTGCTATAGAGCTTGCTAGTAATCGGATACGCGACTTCGGACAGCTTCTCGCGCTGCTCCTGGAAGTCCTCGGCTGTGGCATCCGATGACTCACGCTCGAGCCAGTCAATGGTCTCCTTGACAGCTTCGAGAAGGGTCTCCTTGTCGTCATCGTCAATCTTGCCGCCAAGACCTTCCTTGTCGTTGACCTGGTTTTTGAGGCTGAAAGCGTAATTTTCAAGCGAGTTGCGCGCCTCGATACGCTCGCGCGTGGCTTTATCTTCCTCAGCGTACTGTTCGGCTTCGGCAACCATGCGTTCGATGTCCTCCTGGCTAAGACGACCCTTGTCATTGGTGATGGTGATGGACTCGGATTTGCCAGTGCCCTTGTCGGAGGCAGACACACGTAGAATGCCGTTTGCGTCGAGTTCAAAAACAACTTCGATCTGAGGCTGGCCACGAGGAGCTGGTGGGATACCCTGCAATTCGAACTTGCCGAGCAAGTTGTTGTCCTTGGTCAGGGAACGTTCACCCTCATAGACCTGAATCAATACCACAGGCTGGTTGTCGGCCGCAGTCGAGAAGATCTGTGACTTCTTGGTTGGAATGGTGGTGCCGCGCTTGATGAGTTGGGTCATGACACCGCCGGTGGTCTCAATACCAAGGGTAAGTGGGTTGACGTCCATGAGGACGACGCCAGAGGTCTTATCTTCACCAGCAAGGACACCGCCTTGAACGGCCGCTCCGTAAGCGACAGCTTCGTCTGGATTGACGTCCTTACGAGCCTTCTTGCCAAAATATTCCTCGAGCATGGACTGAATCTTAGGAATTCGAGTGGAACCACCCTTTCACATGTTGTTAGCATCAGATGCTTCGTTCCGCAGACAAGAGAGGAAAAACTCACAATAAGAACGATGTCGTCGATGTCAGACTTCTTGAGCTTGGCATCCTTAAGTGTCTGTTCAACTGGCTTGAGGGTCTTCTTGAAGAGGTGGTCGTTGAGCTCCTCGAACCTAGCACGAGTGAGTGTCTCAGAGAAGTCTTTGCCCTGGAAGAAACTCTCGATCTCGATCTTGGTGGTCTTCTGGCTGGACAGAGTGCGCTTAGCGCGCTCGACCTCACGCTTGAGCTTGGACATAGCCTTTGCATCCTTGGTCACATCAACGCCATGTTCCTTGTTGTACTTCTTAACGAAGTAGTTCTGAACTTGCTGATCGAAGTCCTCGCCACCCAGATGAGTGTCACCAGCAGTTGCCAAGACCTCAAAAACGCCTTGATCGATGGTTAGGATGGAAACATCAAAGGTACCACCACCAAGATCATAGACAAGAACCTGACGCTCATCCTTGTCGGTCTTGTCAAGACCATAGGCGAGAGCGGCGGCGGTGGGCTCGTTGACGACACGGAGAACGTTTAGACCCGCAATGGTGCCTGCATCCTTGGTGGCGGCACGCTGGGCATCGTTGAAGTATGCCGGGACGGTAACGACACTGTTTCAGGGTCAGAACCAGCAATTGAAAGAATGACGATTTCAAGTTTCAGGGGAAGGGAGAAGCTGGTCGGGTGCAAGACATACGCGTTGGTGACCTTTTCGCCCAGGTAAGACTCGGCGATTTCCTTCATCTTGCCCAAAACCATGGCAGAAATCTGCTCTGGGGAGAACTCCTTTTCTTTTCCGCCATCCTTGACCTTGACCCATGGCTGGTTGTTCTTGTCGATAACCTTGAACGGGAGGTGCTTGATGTCCTTCTGAGTGGCCTTGTCGTCGAATTTGCGACCGATCAGACGCTTGATATCGAAAACAGTGTTGTGCGGGTTCTGGGCAAACTGGTTCTTTGCGGCGTCGCCGACCAGACGTTCCTCGTCGGTGAAAGCTACCCAGGAAGGCGTTATTCGGTTACCCTGGTCGTTCGCAATGATTTCTACACGGCCGTCTGTGTGCAAGCGGTTAGTCTTGGGTGTTCCTGGTTGCTACATGTTTGAACGTGGGAAGAAGCTAGGCCCTCAATGTGCCACCTGTTCACATGAAAGTTGCGGACAGCACCTATATTGGCGAGCACGTCGTGGAGCAGGACGAGCAAACATACCTTTCATTACACCCACACACGAGTATGTGGTGCCAAGATCTATACCCTAAGAGACGATTGTCAGCTGGTTGTTGCTCGTATGAAGCCGGCAAGCACATACAATGACAGGACCGGTAACCTCTTTCGAATCATCTGCCTGCGCTCTTTGCGCGCCAAACAAGCCGGCGCAGAGCACCAGCATCAAGTAAAGTGGAATGAGCAGCGACGAAGCGGCCAGGCTGCTTGATCTACTATGCCGCGCCATGTTTGAGCAATGTGCGTGGCAAGCTGTCCGCGACGGGAGCGAAAGCCAGCAGCGGGAAAAGAGGACAGATTGAAACAACGAACACTGCTTGAGCGATCCCAGGCGCACAGGCTGTGTCGAGGGAACTGGTAAGGAGAAGAAAGGGACGAAGAAGGAGGAAGGGGGGGAAGAGATGTTGTAGGAGTTGAGAGTGTGTGCGAGGGAAATGAGGGTGAGAAAAGATTTATATGGGATACGTTTTGATTCTGTGAAATAGGCTGGCGAGCGATTAGCAAAAAGTGGCATCTATCGAAACGGGACTAGCGCCAGGGTCGCTCTGGACGAGGGGGCCGCAGGGGTCGTCGGGCTATCGGCACGCTGATTGGCTGCTTGCGGCGACGTTGCGCTTTCTCCCTCCAGCGCATCGTGCTTCGGCTGCCTTCCTTGTCTGCTGGCTCGCCGACGTGAGTTCGAGAAACTTCCGGGGCCTCGCACAAACAAAATCTGGTCTACGTTGCATCTTCTTTTTGTCGCCTGCCATGCTTTCGAGCGCGCACTACGCCACCAGCCAAGTGTCTTGACTCATCGGAGAGGCGAGTGTACTTGTAAGTTGTCCTTTTCGACTGGCCGTTCTGAGGTCTCGTGCCGAATCTGGACGGCCCGAGCTGGCCATGTCAATCTTGCAAGCTGGCCGTTCTATAGAGTCCGCACCCATGACATAGGCTACGCATACCGTGAGGCCACAACTCACCAACCTTGAGCCCCACTTGGCACCCACCACCAGCGTGGAGTATGCTCAAATGTGATGCCGTCGTCACATAACTACCACTCTCCGAACGCTCTCGAACGAAAAGATTGTTTCAGATGCAAGTCCAGAACCCGATGCTAGCCGAATGTTCCATTCGCAATGCCGCTTTTTTTCTGCCCACTGTGGTAGGTTGCATAAGCTGGCTGAGTGACGTGAAGCTTTTGGCCGCGCGAAGCCATGAAATGCCAGTGCATCGTCATGCAAAGCCTAAGTTTCGCCTTTTTCTATCGAATGGACGGGCAAATGTTGCCGCAACGGGAAAGAGAGTGCAATGCACATGACGTGGCTTTTGGTTGCTAGTGCTGCACGAGAATTGGCAACAGTCCCATGTCGAGATTCAGAGCAGTATTGTACGCATGTCTTTTGGTGCTGATATATCATTCGACTAAGCCTGCGTTGTGCTTGTCATCCGCTACCTCACATGTGGGATTGGAGATGTATTGGCATGCATGATTGCCGTGGACGTTGACCATGCTGTTCATTTCACCTTGGAGAGGTGGTACCTGGCGATGCAAAGTTGATTATAAGCTTAAAAGACTGTGGATATATGAGCTGCCGAACATGTCGCTTTGTGATGATTAGCAAAATATGTACAATGGGCATCTGCGAAGTTCTTGTGCCATATGCCCTGCAGCCCCGCCACGACAGAGATGCATCATGTTCTGTTCAGACAACGCAATGGAAGCCAAATATTCGAAATGGAAATATTCATATGCCTTCTACGTCTTGATCTCAGCGCGGGGCCCAATTCCCATCATTCCACACCCATGAGATACTGCCTTCACGGATCCTCGTAGCCACTCGGTATCTTCCTCGGGCCCGCAGGAACTACGTAGCACTTTTGTTAGCTTCATTCCTTAATTCGTACTCTGCTCTGACTTCGGCCGAGAACTTACTCGGGTATGTGCTTGGAATCGGAGGTGGTCTGTAGTCATTGAAAAACCTGGCCCTGAGAGGGGGCGCCGCAACCACGATCAAAGGACCAGCACCACCAACAACGCATGACCAGAAGAGAGCCGGCCTCTCACGCGCGGCCCAGCGCATGTATCGGAGGGGCTGATGCCAGAAGAATGGCTCGATGGGGGCGATGGGCGGCATTTTGGTGCTACGGCGAGGCCTGCGTGTGGAGTCAGCATATCATCAGTTCGTCAATGAACAGATGGATGCGCACGGAGACGATTGAGACTCTTCCTCTAGGGCAATGGCCGTTCAAACTTTGTTGACTTAGAAAGAGGTTCGGAGAGCCTTGTTTCGAAGCTCCGGTCGTTCGCAGACCTGCGAAGATGCCTTTGTTGATGCCTAAGGCTCCAAATGGTCCCTGGCGTTGTGTTGCGCGGCCCAAGGGCATCAAGCCAGATTGAGCATTTAGCATTTGGGTTGGACACGCCGGCAACACTTCTCGAGGCCCAATTGCTGCAACAACACAAAAATGCGCTCATTACTGTCCCTCCTGGTGCTATGCCTGGTGAGCATAGTGGCCGCCCTTAGCTCAAGCGGCAACAGATTGTTAGTCGTCCTTGAGGATCAGGCGGAGAAGGGCAAGTACTCCACATTCTGGAAGGAGCTTGAAGGTAAGGCTGGCCTTTACGACCAAACCACGGCATCGATATTTGGCACGAAGTCGTAGTGGCTCACACGGATGCGAGTGCAGGTAGAGGGTATTCCCTCACATTCGAATCTCCCAAAAAGGAGGGTCTCTCGCTGTTCCATCTCGGCTCCAGAGCATACGATCATGTCCTCTTGCTACCCCCAAAGTCGAAAGCGTACGGACCAGCGCTGACGCCGAACCTCTTATTGGACTTTATGAAAGCGGAGGGCAACATTCTTCTTGGTCTGTCGTCAGAGTCGCCCGTACCCAGTGGCATCGTCTCGCTACTCTTGGAGTTGGACATTCACCTACCCACTGACAGGAGCAGCACCGTGATTGACCACTTCAACTTTGACAGCAGCGCGGCAGAACAGCACGACATTTTGCTTGTACAGCCTCCAAAGCCGCTTAGGGACGACGTCAAGAATTTCTTTGGTGCTGCGGGGGCTGGTTCTGGAAAGAAAGGAGACGTAAACAACCTGCCTATCGTCGTTCCACACGCCGTCGGTCAGGTCCTTGGCTCAGCGAGCCCACTACTCTTGCCAATTCTCAAGGCTCCAAGCACGGCGTATATTGGCAGCCCTAAGGAGGATGGCGTCGAAGAACTCTTCGCTTCCGGCTCGCAGATCTCGCTCGTGTCCGCCCACCAAGCCAGGAACAGCGCCCGCTTAACAGTTCTGGGAAGTGTGGAGATGTTGCAGGATACGTATATGGACAACAGCAAGTACGGAAATAAGATTTTCGCCGAACAGATCTCTGCATGGACGTTCAAGGAACTGGGTGTGCTCAAGGTCGGCAGACTGCAGCATTGGCTAAACGAGGGACCCAAAGGTGTCGTGAACAGCACTGGGGTGTCCGTGAGCGATCTCAACCCTGCCATCTACAGAGTCAAAAACGACGTCGTACGTCTTTCCGCTATAGCCATAAATCTCGCAGAGTTCCAGAAGAGCTAACCTACATGATGTCAGATTTTCCAAATCGAGCTCTCCGAATATGCCCTCACTCACTACACTCCTTTCACACCGGCCGCAAATGACGATGTGCAGCTCGAATTCACGATGCTCTCACCGTTTCACCGCATACCACTCCTCCCTGTGTCCACAACTCAAAACTCGACCATTTTTGAGGCCCGTTTCACGACGCCAGATCAGCACGGCATCTTCCACTTCCGCGTCAACTACAAGCGCCCATTCTTGACCAATGTCGATGAGAAAAGGCAGGTCACTGTCCGCCACATTGCGCACGACGAGTGGCCCAGAAGTTGGAAGATCAGCGGTGGATGGGTGTGGATCGCTGGCATCTGGATCACCGTGGCTGGCTGGTGCGCGTTTGTCGCCGTGTGGCTGTACTCAGAGCCTCCAAGAGCAGGTACGAAAAAGACGCAGTAGAATGATACCCCTTCTGCTTATATCTCCTCCCACCGATGGATTTATGACCGTCATAGCGTTGAGTCTTGCAACGTTGGAAACGCAGGGTGCGGCTGCGCATGCATGTATGTAGGAAAAGAAAAAACGTGGGATCATGTAAAGATAAAGGGGACTTGGCGTTTGAAAATGGAATGTCTACTTGCTGCACCAATAATCGTTCTAAATCTAGATGGAAGGCAGCGTCTTGTAGAGTTTCAGAACAAGCCATGTCTCCTCAAACATTTCCCGCATATTGCGTCCCGTACCTTTCACCAAAAAGACCAAAATCCAGTCTTGTCGGGAAATGGCTCCATCAATAGGTTCGTCATATCCGTGTGACATCTGCGCCTGAAATCATGAAGAGCTTGAGACATGGCATTACAGCATCTTCCGCCAGTGCCCCGAATGATGCCATGCTTCGCATCGCAAGTTCGCCTCGCCATGAAGCAAAACGACACCACCCAAGAGCCAAAAGGCAGTTCTAGCTCCGCTAATCGTTCAGCGCCGTTCTTATGTCGACGTCATTAGCTCGTGCCATGAGACTAAATAAAATACAACAAAGCAAAAAACATGGCGTGCAAGTTTCCAATCGATACTTTCGAGCGGCGTCTCTTCCTGCCAATCAACTCCTCTGAAGATGGATCGGGTTCTAAATAGTCGATTAAAGTCGAAGCCAGCCGTTCTCCAGCACCAGTCTTCGCGATTGTAGGCGGTACCTTCTGACATAAAGCGAGTAGCTGAAACTCTAGCGCACCGTCTCGAATCCACGACGGTCGCCCGACGTCAGGATGCTGCTGGTGAGGAACTCTTACATCAGCCGTGAGCAACGGTGCGTCTTTGCGAACAAAAGGGGCTACTTTCAGCACTGGCTCTATTTGCCCTCACCTAGAATATCAATGTCTTCTTCTCTTTGTTTGCAACGCGAGCTCTGGTTAAAGTTCCATCGTTGAGATGTACGTTTTCAAATTATTGAGGACTGCGTTGTTCAGGAGACGCGCAAGGTTAAAATGAGCAGAAAAATAAAACAACACAAATTTAAATAAAAAAAATTGCCATGCGAGAGATGCTGATCTGATTGTTTTCAATTTCATTTTCTTCAATCATCCAAGAAGCCAAATTCAACACGCATAACTTTCAAGGAAAAACCTGATTCCTTTTTCAATACGGTATACTACATTGACACGGCCTACAATCAAGAATGGAGTCCGAAAATCAGAGAACTGGAGAACCGAAGCTCCACTAGCAATGCACCGGTGCGAGGCCCTAGAAGCGGCATAGTTGTTGATCTCTAGTTCTTCTTTTTTTGAGCGAAATCAAAAGTTAAGACTCGGTCCAGCTTGAGACCAGCAATTCTGTGGTATTTCATACACGATGAACTGGAATGGATGACGGGCCGAAAAAAAAGCGGAGATCCCGACACAGACGACGGCATCTGATCTAAAATATATTAATAGAGACGCCCAGGGAAAACTAACTTCGGAAGGATCCTTTTGGTGGGCTCATTTAATCGCGCGCGTCTTGAGGTGCGTCCGAAAGTCGAAACAGCAGATGCAATAATTAGTTGCTGTCCGCAAGGCACATTCCCAGACGTGGCGGGGCGCTTATCTCAACCAATCAAGCATTGTCAGAGTCAGTCGATGAACATGCCAGGTCGCTACTTAAACAACGCGTAAGCCTTGGTGAATTCCAGGTGTCCTTTTTCTTTCTTGATCTAATCCTGCCAGAGGATGCTGCAGAGAGACAGGTGCCACAGATCGTCATGACTGATCCTTTGAGCGTGTCGGCTGCCATTCTGGCCGTCATCACGGCCGCGGCGCAGGCAACGAAGCTGCTGCATGAAACCGTGGAGAGCTACAAAGGCCGTGACAAGACCTTGAAGAAGCTCGATGACGAGCTTAATGATATGATTAGGATCTTGGACTCATTAGCGCAAGCAAAAGATATAGATGACAAGATGTGGGACCTGCTCAAAGACCCGGTCAAACGATGCAGCGAAGTATGTCGCGAGTTCGAACAGGCGATGCAAGCATTTGGGAAAAAGTCAAAGACCGGAATCCGAGACTGGACGCGGTTGGAGTTCAGGAAGGGCGACATCAACGATTTTATAGACCAGATCGCTAGCTACAAGTCGACTATAGCAGTTGGCTTGGGCATCATAACCATGTTAGCACCACTCCAGTTGAATTTCCTCGATTCTGCCATACTAATCACCGCGCACAAGGCACAACTCCAGAGTCACGCGCCAGTTCCTTCAGGAATACATGGAGTTGGTCAAGGACACGTCGTACAGCCTCGAGTTGCATCTGCAGCGAATCGAGGAGAAAATGGCGTTGGATCGTAGTGGAAGCGCCCAGCAATCGGAAGACAGCGTAGATCTAGCGGACGAGAGGGCGGTCACGAAGAAGTGTCTTCGCATCTGCGAAGACGCGTGGGCGTACATAGAGGCTCTGATGAACCGCGAGTCGACCGTGCTGAACGAAGCGACCTCGGAAGATTCCAAAAACGCGGTCAACAAAGCGTTCGAGGCGCAGCTAGAAACACGCAGACTCATGGACGAGAATCGAGACAGTCTCGCTGAGATCATCGGCTGGCTTCGACAACGTCTGGAGACTCTTGTCGTGGAGGACGATCCTGGCAGCGGCGTCGAGCGTCAGAGGTTACAGCAGGACATCGACATCTCGAAGCGGTGTCTCGAATTGTGCAAGCTAGCCACAAAAATGTCCCGAGAGAAGATACACGTCATCGACGAGGCGATTGCCGACGACTACAGCGATCAGATGGTCTTGACCACCGTGGCCGATCTGTTCAGCGTGAAGACGGCAAAGTCGATGGGGCATTCGACCCAGGTGGTCGGTTCGATGACACCAGAGAATTTCCAGAGCCTGACCGAAAAGCGTTACAACGGCCATGTTGTACGTCCGGTCGTCGAGTCGAGTCCGGCTGAGGCTGGCGCCTCTCGACCGGCCCCAGTCTCCGAACCTTCAAAGAGCGTTGACCAAACCGTGGTCACGGAGCGCTCTCAAGTGCCGAGACCGGGATACACGAAACCGTTCCCGAATGAAGTGAGGAAGCGGTTCACGAGGGACGATCATGATGATGTGTGAAGAGCGGGGTTCAGCGTTTGTTCTGCACGAGTGATCTATCTTTTTGCATAAGAAACCAGCGTTCATGCCTTTACTCTGTACTTGTGGTTCTAACTTCGGTCTTTTGGGAAAGAGACAATGTATACTTGATAAAGTACAGTCGAATAAAAAAATAAAAAGGGAGGTGGGTGCGAAGAGTGCGGAGCTTTTTATGCACCAGAATCATGAAAACAAAGTCTTGTGGCCCTGTGCTCTTTGCCCAACGGCCGAAACAAGTGCTACAAGCACCACATACATACCGTCCTTTCGTCGGCTGTCGAACAAGCCAATGATCGGAAGCATCAGTGGTGATGGATCAGGCGCAGGGCAGCGTTTGAAGATGACAATCCAGCTCATCATTCGGCCTCGTCTCACTCGATTTCATTCCGTGTCATATGCGAGGTGAAAAAAAAGGAGTGCGCAAGAGTCTTGATCGGTCTGTATGGTTACATTGTACAGCAATTTGGTTACCATCTAATTGAGTCTCTCCCGCGGTCTATGGCGTAAGCATCCGTATCACGAAAAAACGATTCAAGCCCGGGGTCAGAGCTGGTTATAACAAACACGCCGGCGACGTATATTGCGTGGCAAAGAGCCGGAACCGAGAATGCGCTGAAAAGTTCACAGTACCTCACACGCACACACACACTCCTCTACATATATATACGTGTGTGTGGGTGTGTATAATTATGCCATGTGCCCCCTTACAACTTAGCCTTGGGGGCTTCCTTCTTGGCCATGGCGCGAAGATCCTTTCTGAGGATCTTGCCGCTGGGGCTCTTAGGGATGGCGTCGATGAAGACGACGCCGCCCCGGAGCTGCTTGTACTGCGCGACGTTCTGCTTGACAAAGTCCTTGATCTGTTGCTCCGAGATTTTCTTTGGATCTGCGACCACGTACGCGCGGGGTACCTCGGTGCCCTCGGCCTCGACGCCGATGACAGCGGCGTCGAGGATATCTTCATGCGAGATGAGCAGCGCCTCGAGCTCGGCCGGCGCGACCTGCATGCCCTTGTACTTGATGAGCTCCTTTCGCCGGTCGACGATGTAGAACAGCCCGTTCTTGAAGACGCCGACGTCGCCGGTCTTGTACCAGCCGTTTTCGAACGAGTCCTTGTCCGCGGCCGGGTTGTTGTGGTAGCCGCGGAAGATGACGGGGCCCTGTAGCCAGATCTCGCCTTCCTTGCCAGGCTCCACGTCGTGGCCATCTTCGTCCACCATCCTGCGCGGATGCAGAAGTTAGCAACGATCGAAACTGGACTGCCGTCAATTCTCAGGGGTTTAAGGATACGTACCGTGCCATACAGTTCGGCAGCAGCCGCGAGACGGAGCCGGTGTCGTCCTTCTCGCCGTAGCCAAGCAACGTCGCCGAGCCGGTGCTCTCGCTCAGACCCCAAGTCTGGGTGATGAAGGTCTGGCCCTTGCCCAGCTTTGCGCTCGCCGCGTACTGCAGGTCCTTGCCCATAGGGGCGGCGCCGCTGATGGCGATACGCAACGTGTCGAACTGGTCCGTCACCTGGGGCATCTTGGCGATGAGCAAGTAGATGGGTGGGACGGTGAAGAAGAACGTGATGCCGTATTTCTTGTTGTACTCGAGGAACTTGGGAAAGTCGAACTTGGTCATCCAGTACGTCGGACCGCCCATGTAGAAGGGGTTCACAAAGTAGCCCTGCATGCCCGCAATGTGGGCGACGGGCAGGTGGGCGATCGTCTTGTACTCAAAGTCCATCTGCTTCTTGATCGGGTCGCATCCCAGGATGCACTCGGCGACCATGTTCATGTGGGTCAGCGGCACGCCCTTGGGAAGGCCGGTCGTTCCGGACGAGTAGATGAGGCACAGCGGCGTGTTCTCGAGCTCCTTCTTGTTGGTGATGACGCGCCAGTCGAGCTCTTTTCTGGTGAGGATGTCCTTGTCGTCGCTGGCTCTCCGCAGAGCCACGCCGGGCACGTCAATGACGAGCACGTTCTTGAGGGGGATGCCGCACTTCTTGGCCGCCGCAACGCTGGTCTCTTTCGTTTCTGCGCTCGTGATGATCAGCTCGCTCGGGGCCAGCTTGATCAAGCGCTCAAGCTCCTCCACCGTTGCACTCGCCGTGACGGAGGAGAAGATGCCGCCCGCTGCGACAACGCCGTAGAACATGCACGGGACGAGGTAGTTGCCGGCCGAGATGCAAGTGACGTAGTCCTTCTTCTTTGCGCCCTTGGTGCCCTTTCCGAGGGCAATTGGGCCGACGTTGTACTGGGTCCTGAGCGCGTGGGCGATGCGCTTGGTCAGAGTGCGGGCCGAAGCTTTTGTGAGAGCGTTTGACGGGTTTTCAGCGTCCACATGAATGATGGTGTTCTCCTTTGCGCCGCATTGGGGGTGCTCTATATCCAACGTCAACGGTTAGGACGAATATCTTCGAAATTTTTTCTTTCTTTTCCCTCTCTTCTTTGCTCATCGATTCTTTTTGTCTTTTTTTTCGGCACACTTGGGGGGTGGAGGACACGCACCAAACAACAAGGTCAACAGATCCACGTTCGGAATGGGATACGTCGTGTCGGCCTTGTAGATATACTGGCTTCCATGCTTTTCAACCAACGTTCGCTTCGACATGACGGCCACAAACGAGTAGGCTTATTCGCAGCGGAGAGGTGTGGAAAAAGGGAAAAAAAAATAGGAGAGAAAGGTGCAAGCAAAACGCAGTCAACAATTTGCAGCGCCAGACAATATCGCAATAAAGAAAGCGTGCAGATCGTTCGGGGGGGGGGAGAGTGGGGGCTTGTGGTCCAGCAACAGTATATGGCTATTCTCTGGCAGCGGACAACAGGCCTCACGGGGACAAGCAGGGAGCTCGCCGTCTCTTATAGCGAGCAGATCAAAGCCGAACTAGCGGACGGCGGCGAGGTGTGTGTGTTTGTGCGTCCTATGCGACTCTCCCTCAATACCCGCCCAGCGTCCTCGGGTCGGTCGGGGACATTAAACTGGCAGGCCAGGGCGGGCATTGAGCCAACGTGGGCGTGGGCGCTGGTGGACGCTGGGTTCGAACGAGTTTAGCAGCACGCGTAGCCCGAGCCGGGTCACACAGCAACAGCCGGGGGTCGCGGGGTAGATCTGTGGCTGACCAAGAAGCGCTGACGTCGAGCGCTTGTCCCTCTTGTCGTGCGGCCTACATCCGACTCAGCCTTTTTCTTCCCGTGCTCTTGTCGACCGTCTTTCGCGCAGCCGTGGCCGCCGTCATGGAGGCCAGGACGGAAGGGGATCCAACGCTGCCCGCGGAAGGCTAGAGAAGAAAAGTCCGTGATGATCGACTTGGGCTCCAAGGCTGTAGTTGAAAGCAAAAAGAGCTCGTCGTGCCGGCCATATGCTCATCTCGTCATGTGATATCAAGCCAAATAAACGAACCTCGCTCTCGCCTCTCGCTTCTCTTGTCTTGAGTTGTCTCCAGCCGGCTATTGTCTTCTTTCCAGGCCTTGCCTTCCTTGCTGATAATACTCAGCCAATCCCCGCCATCGCCTTGTTCGGGTGTCCCCGCGGCTCAGCCTTCCTCAGACATGCGGGTCGGGGATTATGGCTAAGTCGTCCAAGGGGTTTTTTCCGACTTGTGACGAAGATCAGTACATGGCGGCCAGGTTGAAGCAGGGAGATAAGAGACAAGCTAACCCTAAAAGAATCGACTCTGTTTGGAACGGATTTGGGACTTGAAAGCGCGCTGCCCACTGTACTCTTTCAAACGCATCTCTAGTCGACGAACATAATAATCGGATCGAACCTCAGGATATGCTATAGATACATTCTTTGGCGAATAATGGTGCGCGAAGGCATCGCGTCCTCTCCGGCAATCATGGTCACAGGTACGCAAAACAAAAGACGTCTGATACAGTGCATGTGGTGAAGCATGCTCTGCCCGCTGACAGAGCCTCAAACGTTCCCTTGCAGTCCTCTGTCCGTCCCTTTTTGCGAAAGGCCATTCGAGCGCAAAAGCACCTGCTTCAACTACAACTTAGCACCCGCCTTCTTTCTTCGTTCCCTTTCCCGGTCCCTCAGCAGTCTCCTCAAGATCTTGCCGCTCGGGCTCTTCGGTATCACGTCGATGAACTCGACACCGCCCTTCAGCCACTTGTGCCTGCTCTTTGACTTCTCCACGTGTTTGGCAATGTCCCGTGCCAGCAGCTGATCCGACTCTTCCAGGCCCACGGACGCCGACTTGACGACGAATGCTTTGGGCACCTCGCCAGCGGCATCGTCGGGCACGGGTATGACGGCGCAGTCGGCGACGGACGGGTGGGTGAGAAGGTGCGCTTCGAGTTCGGCGGGAGCAACTTGAAGACCCTGTACAAAAAAGCAAGAGCGGATTAGCCACGTCTGTTCGAAAAGTTCGTCCCGCCTGTCGAGCTTGCTTTCCAACGTTGGGGGAGTTCACCTACCTTGACTTTGATGAGCTCTTTGATACGGTCCACGATGAACAGGTGCTCGTTGCCCTTGGAGCTCTTGCGCACCAGAACCTCGTCTCCCGTGCGCATGTACCGCTTGCCGTCGTCCGCAATCACAAATGTTTCCCGGTTGGCCTTTTCGTTGTTCAGGTAGCCGAGCACTACGGAAGGAGCGCACACCCACAGCTCGCCAGGCTTGTCGTACTCGGTGATCTCCTTGCCGTCCGGATCCATAATCCGGACCTGGACGTCCGGGATGAGCACGCCGGAGCTGCCGAGCCAGATGTCGGACTCGGGAGACGAGCACACGACGGTGCTCGTCTCGGTCAGGCCGTAGCCCTGTCTTACCTTCCAATTGGGGAAGATCTTGTTCAGCTCGTCCGCCGTCTCCTTGCCGAGCGGCGCCGCGCCGGTGAAGATACCAGTGACGTGACTGAGGTCGTACTTGGCCATGACGTCCTTGTTCTTGGTCATCAAGATGATGATGGGAGGCACGAGATACAGCGTGTTGGCCTTGTAATCCTGCACCGCCTTCATGAGCATGTTGAACTCGAATTTTGGCAGGACGACGACGCCGTCCCCGCGCCAGCAGGAAACGTGCGACGTCACGACCAGCCCGTATATGTGCGACATGGGCAAGACCCCCAGCGCATTCTCCAGATACGCTTCGTCGCCCGGGCCGGGCTTCTTCGACCTCCGCCACAGCTCCTCGAACGCGCACGTCTGCATCGTGTTGGCAATGACGTTGTAGTGGCTGATCATGACGCCCTTTGGCAGCCCCGACGTGCCGCTAGAAAAGCAGATGAACGCGCACCGTCTCTTGCCCTCGCCCTTGATCCACTTCAGAGGCTCCAGGTCCGACGTGATCTTTCGCCCTTCGGCGATGAGCTCGGCAACGGTTTTGAACCCGGGGCTTGAGAGGCCGCCAGTAAAAGCAGCCGGTAGCTCCATGAGGAACACCTTCTCCTTGGGGATGCCCACGTTCTTTGCCGCCGTGAGCGCGGACTCGAGGAGAGGGAGGCAGGTGAAGAGGCAAGTTGCGCCAGTCGTCCTCAACTGGTATTCCAGTTCGGACGTCGAGTACTGTGCATTGGCCGGAGTGAGGATGCCTCCCAGCCGATGAACGGCCCACCCCGCCGTAAGGTAGTCGATCTGCGCATGTTCAGTCAAAGCCACCTTGCTGCAAGTGCAGGGCCTGGGAAGCGGCCAGCTGAACGTACTGTGTTGACGCTGAACATGCCAGCGACCTTGTCGTACTCTGTTCCCTCGTTGGGCTGCCATCCCAACTCCTTGCTCAGGGCCTTGGCCAGGTCCTCGATCTGAGCCTTGACTTCTATCGCGCTCGGCGCCTTGCCTGAGATGCCGCAGATGAATGGCGTGCGGGACTTTTGCAGAGGATACCGACCGTACCGCTCGTCAAACATGAATTCACTGATCGGCACGGTGTCCGGGATCTCGAAGGGCAGCGGCGGCACCCAGGAGGCTGGTTTGAACGGCATCGTGGATGTAGGTCGCTTGCAGATCTCGGCGAAGTGACTTGGCGGGAGACAGGAGAGGAGGCGAGCAGTGACAAGAAGAGCTGCGGTCGCGGTTTGCTAAAGCAGGTCCCAACAGCAGAGTCTGCGGAGTGGAGAGGGTTAGACGGGCAGGAAAGAAAGAGGTCGGCTCGTGATGACGGGGAGAGTGGAAGTGTGGTGGGTGTCTCGCCGCACGGCGCAAAGGCAATCAAGGGCCAAGAAAGCTGAACGCGAGCCTCGTCAGAGAGGAGAGGAACGATTGGAGGACTTGTATTTTTATAACAAGCGTGTTGGGGGGGGGGGGGAGGTTTGTTGGATCCAAGCAAGGACGCTCAAGGAACGGCAGTGCAGCATCCGTGGAGCGGCATTCGGTGAAGCGAGCGTCTGTTGACTCCGTCCCGACACGGCGCGCGAAGCCAAAAAGGCCTCGACGTCGTCTCCGCTTTTCGTAGCCGTCGTGGGGGTTGAGAGGTTGGAGATGGCCAGCCACCGAGGCATTGGGCGAATTGGGATTAGCGGCGGATGAGGTTCGGTGAGCAGAACAGGCCCGCTCCCAAACGACCCGCAGACGCCAGCAGACTCTAGTTCCGTTTCCCCAGAGCAATTTGGCCGCCGTCAAGGATCTTCTCCGCAGAAATTCGCTCGCTGTCGTCACGTGTTTCAGCCGTTTCGTCTGGACGCGGTGTTCCGTGTCCGCTGGTCGGTCGGACCCATCGCGTCATCAACGCTCGGCCCGGGTTGAGTGTCGCGTGTGTCCGGCGACGGCTGAGTGAGCGAAGCGTCGACGCAGCGACTCGATGATATCTGTGGGTTCCCGTCACGCTACCGCGGAGAGCAGACATGTTCTTCGAAGGGGCAGTTCGCTCTCTCTGGTGGTCGAACGGCCGGCGGTAGAGCCGTCGTGGCGTCGCCATGGGCTAAGCCAGCCAACATCGCAGCAAAGAAGCTGCAAGAATCCATCCGAAGGCAAATCTACGGGTCTTTTTTGGTGGGGACAAGACGAAACACATCGAGCAGTCCGGCCTGGTGCTACCCCAAATGCGGCCCGCATCAATCGGTTTCTGGCTTTGCCCTCAGGCCGTCGAGGCTGTGCAATTTTCGTAGCATCTCCATGCTCCGTGACGAGTCAATCTCTTAATGGAGTGAGTATCATTCACAAGTCTTTCCTATGGCCTCGAAACTGCGTCTTAACCCTTGAGGATCTATCAGTCTGACACGTGATCACGTGTTTCGTCCGCAATCACGGAGCTCCGCAGCATTGGAACACTAACTTTAGAGGACATGCGTGTTTGAGAAGTCTTCTTTTTTATTATTTTTTTTCATTTTTTCTTTCTCTAACAATGGCGAACTGCGCCATACGTTGACGTACGCAGGGAGCAAGTGACAGTATATCCTCCAGCTGTCATGTACATCTCACCGTTCACACAATCACAGGAGCTTATGCTGTCCTTCTTTGATGCGCTAAGTTGATGAAAGCTACGTCAGGTCGCAGGAAGCTTCCACAAGCCAGCTGTCATCAAATCTTCTGTGTAGGAAACACGAACAGTCTGACGCTGTATATGAAAATCTTTTACGGAGGCTGAAAAATACTCGAACACGTGCTTCTATCAAAGGCATCTGGAATCGTGTTCCTTGACCCAGAAGACGCCCAAGACGAACAAGGGTGCCAACATGACTTAAGATGCTGAGGAGGGCTGACACAGAAGTGACATGGCCAGCACGCGAAAGGGAGGGGGGCTGCCGTAGCCGTGTAGTTGGCGTGGCGTCAAACGCCAAAGGCAAGATGTGTGATTTCGTGCTTCGTGTTGGGACAGCTGGTGGTCAGATTCCCGATGGATGTACCTCTGTACTTCAAACGTGTGCTTATAAGCTACGGCCCGAAAGCGCGTTTGCTGAAGGGTAGTTGCTGGTGTGAATCATATCTCTGCACCGGCCTAGCTGGGACTCAGGGCCTGGTGCAGACGGATGAACGAACGACCACGAGGCACCCATGGCTGGCATGCATGTGAGCAGCCACGGAGCGGAAGGAAAAAGTAAGGGGAAAGTAGCAAAACAATACAAAAGAGAAAAGATTGCAAGTCCGCGCCCAATCATGTGCTTGTGCCTGGTCCGGGGCAGAGACCATGTCGCAACTCAAACGTGTTTGGAAGCACTACCTTTCGCGTCTCGACTCGCCCTTGATCATTTGTCCAACGTTGGGACCCCCGTGAGAGCCTGAATGCTCGTTCCACATCCCCACTGCTTGAAAGGGCGATGGGAGGCAAGTATACAGGCCCCCCCCCCCCCCCCAAGAAGGATCCTGCCTTGTCGAAGCGAAGGCTCGAACAAGCTGAGTCATAGAGAATTCACAACCAAGAGGCCTACGTACAGAATGTGTCAATTCGTAAACAAAGTGTGGAAGGATCCACACCCAAAAGCTGTGGTGGTGAGGAAGCGGCCAAAAGGGCCCGATTTGCAGGAGACGCGGAGCCGACGTTGCCAAGGAGGGCATGATCAGGGAAAGCTGATGACGATGACGGGTGAGACAATGCTTGCTGAGGCGTTCTCCATGACAGTATCATTTACGAGTATATGTCATCAGCTTTTGATGAACTAGTTATTGTGGCGGCCGTTAGGGCCATTCGAGAATCTGGAACACAACTATGTGAATCCGATGAAAGACGGTCCAATGACAATCCGAAAAAAAAAGAGGAGAGAGGGAGAGAGACAAGAGAGACAACAAGAGAGCATCGGCCTTCCCCAGAAAAAGGATTTTCTGGGGCTGACGTCGACTATATTGGGACGACCACGAGGCGCGTGGATGCTTTTGGTGTTCCAGAAACGGATTCACCCAGGACTCGCCCAGCCATGGCTGGTCCATCACGCTCGTGGCGTCTCTTGACGATCGCCACACAGTCAGTCTGATCAGTCGGTTCCCCAGCAGACATTCGTTTCTTAGCACACGTCAAGCAGCCCCAGCAGCCAAGTGTCTCGCCGGGCCTGTGTGCCGGACCGTCTGAACGGGAGCTTCTGGCGTCGAACGCTGAGCGGATGAATGCCTGGATACGGTCGCGATCGACCATCCACAACCAAAAACCCCCCCCTTTTCAACCCTTCCAAGAAAAAGATTGGTGTGAGCCTACAGAGGTTTCAGGGACGGTTGAGCCGCTGCCCGACCTCGACATGAACGGCACGCCTTCCGCAGGTTCCGGAGCGTCTCATGGCAGGACACAGCAAAAAGGCCACAGTCGACGAGTCTCCCGTCTGAAGTTGATTCGTCGCCGCTGGCGGCGCGGCCATTTGTCTTCAGATGGAGGGGTTTAGGGGAAGCTAGGGAGAAAAAAAAGAAAGGAAAAAAACAAAGGTGACCGCACTGGGCCGACAACAGCGATTGTTCGGTGCAAGACGGTGATAGCCGTGCAGACGATCGCCATGGTGACCCCGAAGATAACTTATAGTCCGGAGCTTGGATTCGGTTTTTGCTGCTGCTCGTTTCCCTCGCTCCATCTCACGCGACATCCCCTTCCGAGCCAGTCGGCGGTATCGATCGACAGGCGAATCAAAGCCGCTCACCGCAGCGCTGGAATCTGCACGTTGAACGTCTCACGGCGGTGATTGCGTGATGCTAATGCAACCGGCAGGGTTCGACCGTCTCCAAACACCCGACCACGCCGCAGCGAGGCCGAATCCTTCGTGGAATGTGGGTGCGAGGCGAAGGAACTGGTCCAGCCTCGAACGGGTATTTCACTCTTCGTCTTCGCAAACAAAGGAAAAACCTTCCAGCCGGCCGGTCGCTAGCGTTCGCGACGTCGAGCGGGTGAAATTCCGGAGCTTCGCCCTTGGAGATCTCGTTCTGGGCGACAGTGAGCACCCAACCTGTCTTCGAACCTGTATTTTTCATTTAAACGTTTTGAGGTAGCTCGAGAAAAGGTTAAAAAAAAAACCCCAAGAGGGCCACACCCGGGCCGCTGTATCACTGCCGATCTTTTCTTGGTTCACCTTGGGTACGAGAACATGGATTTGCAAGTCATCGTGCTCGGCGCAGGTTCAGTAAGTCATTCGCGCATCGCTCTCTGCACGATTTCGATCTACAGCCTGTTAGCTGTGTAGCTCGTGCAGACACGTCGTGAATCTAGAGGCTGATGGGAAAATCCGACAGACCGGCCTTCTCATCGCACAGGGGTTGAAAAAGGTAAGTTCCAGTCACCACGTCGTCGCCCAAGACGCGATTCGTCGTCGTGCAAGACGTCCTGCACGCCGGCGACGCGGTGTCGGACTCCACTAGCGACGCCGCGATCGTGGTTGGCGGGATCGACAAGGCGAGAGGGGGTTTTGAAGCCCCGGAGCCTATCGTTGGCGACCGCTTGGCTGATCAGCGATCGAGCAGAACGGCATCAAGTTTGCGATTTACGAGCGCGAAGACGAGCATGCATACACGCATCACCAGCGGGACTGGTCCATGGCCCTGCTCTGGGGCACCGAGTATCTCAAGAACACGCTGCCGGAGCAGATGCTGGACCGCTTCGATGAGATCAAATCGGATCCCCACGACAAGCCAGGCCCGGATCGACTGGGCACGTTGCCGCTGTACAACGGCAAGACTGGAGAGCTCGTGGCCAAGATCCCGGGCGGCATCGCCGTGCGTGTGAACCGGGAGAAGCTACGGAAGTTCTTGTCGGACGACGTTGAGATTCACGTAAGTATCTCCCGTATCGATCTGCATATGCAAAAGGCCAGATCTTAAGAGGGCCATGCTGACGGGGAAATTTTTTTTTTAAAAACGCACAGTTTGGCAAGCTCTGCACGAAGATCGAAGAGGCGGGCGACAAGGTCACCGTCACGTTCAGCGATGGCTCTACCGCGACGGCAGACACGGTCGTCTGCGCCGACGGCATCAAGGGCGTCGGGAGGACGACCCTGCTGGGCGAAGAGGCGGCGGCGCTGAGCGTTGCGCCGTGCTCGTTCGTGAACATCTGCAACAAGTACAAGCCGGACCAGGCCCGCTTCATCCGCAACACGCTGGACACGATGTACAAGTTCGGCGCTCACCCCGACCAGCCGACCTTGTTCATGATCGTGCCGGTCGACATTCCGGACCTCGACCGGCCGGAGGAGTGGAAGTACCAGACGTGCCTGAGCACGTGGGGCGCCACCCATTCGGACTCGCCAGCGGAGCGGCTCCGCGTCTTCAAGGAGGCCGCCAGCAAGTACGCGGAGCCGTGGCGCAGCGCCGTCGCGTGGCTGCCGGACGACACCTTCATCCCCAAGGACACGATCAAGTACTGGGCGAACCCGGTCAAGTGGCCGAACTGGAACGGCAAGGTGACGCTGGCCGGCGACGGGGCGCATCCCATCGTTCCGTTCCGGGCCCAGGGCCTGAACAACGCGCTGCAGGACGCGCACAACTACGTGCAGGCGCTCGTCGCCGTGCGGGACGGCAAGCGGTCGCTCAGCGAAGCCATCACGGCGTACGGCGACGAGGTCTTCGAACGCGGCGCGGCCGAGAACAAGCTGAGCAACATGTGGGGGCCCGTTCTGCACAACTGGGACGCGCTGATGAACACGCCCATGATGAAGCAGGGCTACGGCCAGACCAAGAAGACGGAGGAGCCGAAGCCCGAAGACGCGGCGGAGGCCCCGGAGGAGGAGAAGAAGACGAAAGCGCCGGCTTCGTCGCCCGAGCACGGAGGCGACGCCGCCCCCGCCGAGCACCTGACGGGCGGCACGACGTCGGCCGCCACGATGGCCCACGGCCAGTACACGCCGTCGGAGGAGCACAAGTCGCTCGACCTGGCCGCCGCCCAGCGGCCGCTGACTCCGACCGAGGTCGGCGACGCGGAGCTTTCGAAGCTGCGGAAGGAGAACGAGGCACTGAGGCGACGCAACCTGCTTCTCACCGAGAAGCTCAAGGCGATTCAGGCGCTGCTGTCGGCTCAGGAGGTGGACGTCGAGCCGTGAAGACAACAGGATACGCCGGATCGACCTCCCCTCCCTCGCTCCCTCGCTTCCTTCGTCCCTCTCTCTCTCTCTCTCTCTCTCTCTCTCTCTCTCTCTCTCTCTTTGATTCATTTTGTCTTAGAATAAACAAAAAAAAGAGGGGGGGGGGGGGGGGAAGAAATCCATGGCTCCCCCCCCCTCACCCCCCCTCATCCCTATATCCATATCACCTCGTAGCCTTTTCCACGCAGCCCCATCATCGCACCGCGAAGAAGAGGGGCGGGAGAGACGGAAGGACGGTGCTTGCGTCTACGCTTCTATGTCGTCTGAGTTTTTCTTCCGGGGTGGCCGCGCATCCAACACTTGACGCAAGTTGCGCTCACGACGTTCTGGACAATGCATACAATCGCAGAGCATAAGGATTTCCCCCTTGTTTGGCGACAATTTAAAAAAAAAAAAAAACCCAAAGAAAAGAAGTCTTTCAAACATGACCACATCTTTCCATCATCATTATCATCATCTTTGCTTTTGATTCTGCTTGGAAAGGGGGGGGGGGTTTAATTTTCGCTTTTTGGGCTCAAGAGGAGGGCGGCAAGAGAATCGAGTTTTTTTTTTTTTTTTTCTTGGATTTCTTCGTCCCATCAACAGAATATATACCTGCAGCTTTGGGTGCGAACGAAAAATAAAACTGGATTAGAAAAGAAGGCGGCCGTCTTGTCTCTCCGCCTTTGGTGCTTTCTTCCCTTCGTCCCGTTTCTTGCCCCTTCTTCTTCTTCTTCTTCTTCTTCTTCTTAGACGAGGTCGACGCCGCAAGAGAGACTGTAGAAGTCGCATCAAAGGAACGGGGAAAAAGTGGGCTTGATGCCAAAAAGAAAAGAGGGAAAAAAAAATAAAAATTGACCGCGAAAAAAAGGAACGCTGCGTGCTCGGCGGCCTTGATTTCCCACCTGCGAAGGAAGAAACTCAAGGAAGCATGGGATTTTCTTCTGCCTCTTTTTTGTTCTTCCACCTTTTGATTTAAAAACAAAAAGGAGAATGCGTAGGTGCGGGCCCGCGAATCATGAAGCACGTTCAGACGTCTTTGTTTATATGCGTATACATCTATCTACACAGAGCCCATCGTCGTCAGAGGGGGGAGGGGGGGTTGTTTGTTGGTCTTGCCTCTTCATCTACCATTCAGAGCCCCGCTCATGTACTCCTCCCTCAGATCTCTGCTTCCTCTGTCCTTCCGCCTACCCTCTTCAATGGCTCTCATGACGGCTTCGTTTTCGCTCTCGTACTTGTCCTTGTCGGAGTCCTTTCGACTGCTCCGAGGCTGTTCTCGGTCCCTGTCGCTCCCCCCGTCGTCCCTGCCGTGGCGATGCGACTCCTTCTCGTCGTCGCGATGCGATCGCCTTGACGAGTGACGGTACTCGCGGTTGTCCGAATCGTCGGACGTGTCGCGCTCGTGATGTGAAGATCGATGTCCGTGCGAACTATGTCGTTTTCTCTCGCGGTGATATCGCTGTTCCCGCTCCTCTGTTCACGGCTTTTCGTCAGCGTCAATGTTTTACATCCCTTGGGGGTTCTTGTGCTCAATCCAGGGAGTGTGGTTGGGGAAGGGAACGCACCTCTGATTTCTGCCGTCCTGTTGGCAAACACCTGGATCTCATCTTTGGTCAAGACCCTGAGGACGATGACGCAGTCCTGCCTCTCTTCAAATCTCTCCCCCTTCTCTTCCAGGGCTTGCGGATTGACCAGTCGTCTGTCGATCTTGGTCCACTTGGCGCCCTCGGGAATCTCCTTGCCGCCATTTTCCTTCTTCAGACGCTCCTTGAGGGGAGTGACACCCTCGCGGTGCGTGGTAGGGTGCTCAGGGAACTTTTCTGTCGGTTTGCGCAGGATGCCCTTGAGCGGGGGATCTGCGGCCTTGCCGTCATCCTTTGGCGGCTCGACGATCGTGACACGTCGCTCGCCCGAGCTCGTGCCTGAGCTGGGATCCACGGACTTGGATCGTGGCGCTACGTCCGGCACCGGAAGCGTGGCGTTGGCTGTTGGCGGCACGATGTTCGTTGGAGGTTGCTGGGTTGACGGTGGTGGTGGTGGTGGCATTGCTCCTGCGGTAGCTTGTGCTTCGCGCGGGTAGGTGCCAGGCATCATCGATTCGGGCTCCTGTACGAAGCCCCTGTCGGTGGTCGAAGGTCGGTTGTGCTGGGAAAGAGAATGTGAGTCGACGGAGGGGGCGCGAGACCGCTTGGGAACGGCGTTGTCGTCACTACCGCGCCGCGAGTCTCTATCTCTGGACTGTCGCCTTTCACGCTCGCGTTCTTCGCGCTCGCGCCGCCGCTGCCTGTCACGCTCCGAGTCGTTTCGTTCGTCCTCCTTTGACCGCGACTTTGGCAAAGCGCCCAGCTCGGCCTGGGCCTGCTGGACACGGCGTCGGTAGTCCTCGTCAGGGTCGAGTACTGGCTTCTCCTCGCGCCGTTTCTCCTCCCGGTCTCGACGGTCCTCTCTGTCTCGCTTCTCGTCTCTGTCCCTCCTGTCACGCTCATCCCTGTCGCGCTCGGCGTAGCGTCGTTCCCGCTCGTCTTCACGATCATTCAGCTCGCGTCTTGGCCAAGGCGTCCGCTCGTCCTCCGACTCGTATCTCTTCTCGACTCGCTTCTTTTCATAATTTGCGCCCACAGCCGCCGCACCAGCTAGGCCTGCGGCAGCGGTGGCGGCGGCAGCAGCATTGGGAATGGAGGGATCGCGGACGCCGTCCGCAGTGCTGCGTCTGTGGTGGTGTCTCTCTGAGCGGTCGTCACGCTCGTATTCTCGCTCCCTCGGTCTCTCCCAGTCCTTTAGCCGGTCTCGGTCGTATTCGCGTTCACGGCGCTCGTGCTTGTCCCATCGGTCGTCGACCTGCTGCGCCGGGGCTACGTACTCGGACGAGCTGGGGATCTTGACGAGCGGCTGCTCCGAGTACAGGGCGGACGCCTGTGGGTAGACCGATCTTGGGATGGGCGGCTCGGCGCTGGACGAGCTGGAGCCTCCAGCGTGGCGGTCCACGCTCGGCATGCGGATGCCAAAGCCGCGAGACTGAACGTTTTCGTCCGTGAACTGTCGGTGGGGCCGACGCGGCTCTCTGTAGTCGTCGTAGTCGTCTGGGTAGTACGTCTCGTCGCGCGCGTGGCGAGGTTCAGGCTGATTGACGACCACGGGCATGGTGGACGAAGGTCGGAGTGGCATCTCGTACGGTTCGCGGTGACCGTACGTGTCATACGAGCCTTTGCGATCGCGTGAGGAGCCCCGCACGGGCTCACGCACGCTCGAGTTGCGCGTCACATTGTTGACTCTGTCGAACTGGCGCGTGCTCGGCGGGGGGCCGTAGTCTCTCGAGTTGCGGTGGTAGCTTGGCGCGTACGAGGGCAGCTCCAAGACGCTCGTCGGACGTCGTCCGTCGACGCTTCCTCTTCGAGGCCGCCGGATCGGCTCCGTCTCGTTGTACATGCCGACGGCGTCCGTGTACGACCAGGCCGACTCGTCCACTTCGCGAGGGCGGTGTGAGCGGCCTGTGAGGTGGTAGCCTGCCCGTTCGCGCCGCGACGAGTCCCTGTATTCCTCGGTCTCGGCGATCAGCTTGGCGGAGCCGTCGTCGCCGACGTTGTACAGCTTCTTCGCCTTCGGCTCAGAGCGCCGCACGCTTGTGTTCGACTTGACGTACGAATCCCTCGGCTCGTAGCTGCGGGAGAGCGGGCTCAGCGGGCGGGGCGTCACCTCCTGCACGACGGCGGCAGGGCGGGACCTCAGAGAAGGATGTGGAGGGGGGAGGTCGGACGACCGGCGAGGTCTGCCGGTGTACGCCTCTCTCGGCGCACCCGCGCTCGAGGCGGACAGCGGATACGAATCCTTGTACACGATCTCGGTCGATATTGGTATGACGCCCGTCGTCTTGCGGGGCGGGGCGACGGAGGAGAGGGAGGGGTGGCGGTAGTCGTCCCTCAAGCCGTGCATGTGCCCCGCGTACGAGGTGCCGCCGTACGAGGAAGAGATGAAGCCCGTGTCGGACGACCTGCCGGGCACGACGATTCTCTGGGCGCCCGGCGAGGCGGACCGCTTCGAGTTGTAGTAGCGGGAGCCCATCTTGAAGGCCTCGCACGCTCTGCACGTGAGGGTCGAGAAGCCTTTCTGGAGAAGTGGTTTGAACGGGGTGGTGGGCACTGGATTTGGCAGCGAGGTTGTCGGATAGAGGGCAGGCAAGTGCGGCGGCGCGGTGGAGGAAGGTCGAGAGGCCGATATACTAGAGGCAGCCATAGCCGGTCAGTACACGCAGTGGCGGCAGGCGGTGGCGGCGGGCGAGGAGGGCGAGGGGCTGATGGACGTCGAAAGAGGGCAAAGGAAGGGAAGAGGGGCAGCACGTCGTCCGGTCTGTCGATGGGGCCGACATTGGAAGGCGTGGCAATTGGCAAGAATTCCAGACAGATCGAACGACTGGTGTCTTTTGAGGTCGAAATCACGCCAGCGGTTGGACGACTGGGAGCACGGCGAAGTGCCCACGACCAAGGCTGCTGAGGGAAGGTGAATGGAAGAAAGTAAGGGCTCGGAAGGCTTGAGAAGGGAAAAAGAAGCAGGCCAACTCACAGCTGACGGGGCTCGGAGCGGGTGGAATGTGAGTGCGGGTGGGGAGGGAAGAGCAGTATGCTTTGGAGGAGGGCGATCCCAATGGCGGCGTCTTGGGTCGTGACAGCCCGGTTCGACGAGGTTGGGTTTGAATGACGGGCCAGGCCTGGGGAGAGTCTTTGGCCGGAGCCCAACGGCGGGTCAGGACGATGACGATCGAATTTGGGGCGACGCTGGCGGATTTAGAGCGTCGGGGGGGGGAGGGGAGAAGATTGTAAAAAATAAAACAAATGGTCGGCGGGCGAAGACGCAACGCTCGCGCGCGCGCACGGTGGCAGACGATGATGTCGCTCTTGATGCCTTAGATGCGCCAGGATTGCTTGCGCAAGGCCTGACCGCGTCTGCAGGGAACAGCCCGCTCTGCACCAGCGTTTTTTTCTCGTCCACTTGCCCTGCTGCCCGGACAGGTCGGACGGAGAGGGCCAAGACGAAGCCGGCTGCAGAAGAGCGGCCAAGGGCGCGCTGGGAGATTGGTGTTCAGAAGGCGTCCAGATCTCGGATGGCGGCCGCCCTCGACGAGCGGGAGGCGGCAGCGGGCAGCAGGCGGGCCAGCGGTAGCGACCCAAACAACGGAGCTGTCAGCCGTGGTGGATGAAGAACAGTGCACCACCGTGCTGGACGCTGGTCTCTGTGCTTCGGCCAGCCTTTGGCAGCGTCGGACCAGGCTGGCAGCGTTCGTGTCCGTCTGGCCTTGTTTCTTTGGCCCGTCTGCCCCTCGGCTGGCTCACCCACAACCACGATTTCCAGCAGCAGTAGCCCCGTTGACGCGAGAGGACGCAGGGTCGAGCTTCGGCCAGGCTGCGAAAGGGCCGAAGGTAGCGTGGAAGCAGGCGGCCGTTGGAACTTGTGGTGGCACGTCGCTGTCGTTCTCGTCGTTGCCTCCCGCACCCGCATGCATCGCCCCCGTCACACCAGCCGTGCTCATGGGAGCTAAAAGGTTCCCCGCGTGTGTTGGGTGTGGATACGTGTTTGTGCCCGCGCGCCGCTCGAGTCTGTTCCAGGCTCGTCAGAAGACGCCAAGTGTCGGCTGGCAGTGCACAGAGTTACTCGGTGCGCTCGCAAGATGCGACCTGGCACGGCGCGTTTGGCCTTGGGCTGCGATAGCTGGGCCTTGGTTTGGGCTGCGGCTCGTCTTTTCCTCTCCGGTCCGCATGCGCGGTGTCTGACTTCCGTAACGATTGCCGACGGTCAAGGAAGACGAGGCGGAGGATCAGCGCGGATCCTGTCGCGCCTCACGGCGTGTCCAGTGCGGGAACACCGGCTTGGAGGTGGTGCACGACAACGTAGCAGATGTCGTGTAAGGGAAGTAGTAGGAGCAGTAAGAGCGAGTGGTTGGCCGGGATGAGTATGTAAATGAGCACCAATGTCGACGTCTTTGGACTGGTCGAGGCGGAGTGGAGAGATTGAGTTACGACTTGACGGAGCATGAGGAGGGCAAGAGAGCACGAGAAACTGTGAGTCGAGGCCTGCATGTTACACGATCTGTACAGGCAAGCAGACAGTCGTCCGACTCCGTTCCTGGGGAGGATCGGACAGACGTATGCGTGCAAAGCGATTGTGTACATGTGGACTATATTTGATATTGATATACATAAGTATATGCATGTATTATCCACAAATGTGTGTATGTATATATCCAGAGACGAATATATGCCAATGCGCCTGTACATATACATACGTACTTCTATACAGACATATATCTTATATCTGCATATATATATATATATATATATATATGTATATACACATACATATTTATCTAGACGTTGCAACCGAGAGCAGCAGCGAAATGCATCACAACCATCGAGCCCGCCATCCAGCCAGCCGTCCCCGCGATGCAGACGGCGGCGGAGGCCACGCAGCGGCTTCAGCTACAGAACAAAAGAAAAGAAACGCAGTCCGATCGAATTGCTAGCGTGTGCGGACTACACTGCGGAGTCTGCCATCGCACGGGTAACGCTTCGCACGCAGTACACACTTGTATTCTATATACACAACCAAGCACGCACACCAGCGTTCCACCGTCTCGAGCGCGTATCCTTTCCCAAGCATTCTCGGCCTCTTTCATTCTTCTTCACCTTCTTTCTCCGCCCTGCCCATCGCTGGCCCCCCCCCACACACACACACTCTGTACCCGCGAAGACGACGACGGTACTTGCTATCAGCACGATTCGTAGTAGAGCACCACTCTCCCGGCTGTCATCTCGTCGGCTTTCGGCCAAAGCGTGGCCCCTCGCCTTTCCCCCACCCCTGGTCCGTTCCAAGCTTGAACGGCCTCTTTGCCCTCGTGGTGCCCTGGTCTCCTCAAGAGAACGTCGATCCCCCGACGCCACCGACAGTCGACTTTTGATCTGACCAGTCCTTCTGGCGTCATTCCCTGTCTCTGCGGCCCCCCTGCTACGTCTTGTTCTTCATCTGCCTTTCTTGCTTTGCAGCACAGGACATGTCCTGTCTGTGTATGTGTGGATGTGTATATGTGTGTATGCGTTCCAAGCTGTGCCACGTCCGCGGTCTGACTGTCGATGTATGACGCAACATCAAACCAGTCACCATACTTTTCTTTCCTTTCGACTCTTTTGCCGCACTAATCCCCCGTCCGGCCTGCTCTTCCATCAAACGTCGTCTGTCGCTCCTCGTTCTTCCCACTTCCCGGCTGCTCGCCCATTTTGCCATCCGCTTCGTCCTTCCCTGCTGCCCATCCCCTTCTCCCCGAGTCATGGCCCCCCCCCCTCTTCGCTCCGAACCAGCTTCAGGAAAAAATTTCTTTTTGGTTTCCACCTTTCGCAATGTAATTTCTGGTCGAGCAACCCGCGCTTGGACCGATGCGCCCCCGGCGCGAACTGCGCTTGTTTTGGGCTGCCTGTCGTCGACCACCGGTTAGGTTGCTGCTGCGAACCAGATCCACTACGTCATCGTCCGCCCAAGTCAAAGCTACGCACGGTTCATCCTTTTCCCATCGCCGCGACCGTCCCGCCCGCGCCAAACGGGCCCGGCTTACACGCACATACTTGTAGTACCCACATACTCCAATGCCCACACCACAACCTGCCACAACATCAACCCCGGGTCGGCGGGTCGAAGTTCTAGAAGATGACGTTCCAAGCACCGGAGACACGCCGCTTTGCCCCGTTTGGGAAAGGCCTACGCGGTTTTCCTTTGTTGCATCCGATCGCTTTTCTCGATGCTCCGCCGTTCACGCAAACCGCTTCACTTTTGATGCCCAGCAGCAGGGCGAAAAGAAAAAAAAAGCAGGATCCCGTCGATCCAGCGTCTGCGTGCCGAGAAATGACGAGCAGTCAGGCCCGGCCTGCATTCAGCAGTAGCGACGAGGCTCGCGTGGAGGCGTGAGCAAGACAACGCAATCAGAACGCCTTCACTCCCACCCCCTTAAACGGTCTTCGTTTTGCGTCCTTTTTGTACGGCCGCCGTGCCGCTCGTCGTGCTCAAACCTGTCGCCTCGCCCGGACCTCGGACGCTGAAGACCCTCTGTTCGGGCTTGCGGCGAGCACAAAACTGTACACACACATGTACTTGCACGTACATGCCGCACTCCGTGTGTAACCCACAATAAAAAAAAATACGCAGGCACGACATGCATACGCGAGCAAAGTCTGTTGCGGGCTGGCCGGCATTGGCCCTCACTGTTCGTACGACTCTTGCATCCCAAGGGTACAATCTTAGGCCGGGTCCAAGGAGGTAGGTGGCGAACATGTCCGTAAACGACAGCGTGAGCAGAAGCGTGTTAGCGTGTCATGTTCGTATTCTGTTTGTGTTTGTATGCGTTAGATGCGTGGAAGAACAAGGCTGAACCCCAAGAAGGGGGGGGGGGGGGTGCGATGAACTAGCATCGGTCCTGGCTAGTAGGTTTTCCCGTGTTAGCCAGGACGGCGCTTCACGCTTCGATTTGCTTTTTATTTTGCAGATACGTGAGCTGTCTACAACGTCGCAGGCGGTGAGAGATGGGCCAGGAAGCGCGAGTTGCGTTGTTTTGATGAGCCCGTCCGCAAAGGGAACATTGGCATGTGCATAGGAGAGAAAGGGGATATTTGATTTCTCACCCATTCCCTCCCGTCCTTCTCCCTCTCCCCTTTAGAACGCGAGGAACGGGACCAGAAGGGAACGGCTGACATGTACGTGATCGTCTACCGCTAGGATGCGTGACGTGGAGCCCCACGCCTGCAAAAAAAAAAAAAAAAAA